ACCTGGCCTTCAGGCTTCCGGTTCTGCCACGTAAAAGCCGTGTGGTCTTTGCCAAGTCCATTTCCCCTTTTGGCTCTTTTTCCTTTTCTGCAAAGTGAGAGTTGGATTAGATGACATCTCAGCCGAGGTCCCTTCCCACTCCAATAACCTATCCTTTTGTATTTCTGATAACTCAATGCCAGGCCAGGTGGAAAAAGAATAAGTTAGGGTTCACATGGACTAGAGGTCTGAGCCACCTTTATTCGTTAGTAACCTATTAACAGTTTACATAGTAAAGGGAGGTTTAAAATAACTTGTTTGGATTCAGAGATACAGACAAGAGAGGCTTGGGTTGCAAACCTTTGTCATCAAAGGCCCCAGCTGACATGGCCAGAAGGGGCCAAAGCTCAAAGGAATAGGAAGGAAACTTTCTTGCACCAGGGTGCAACTCGCTCGAACAAGCTGTCAGCAGGGTGAAAACATTGGTTTCTAAATGCCATTCTGTATATAGAGGGACAAAGGTCAATAGCCTTATGGCTGACCTTGGACTTGGGAGTAGGTAGGTGGCAGCAATGAGCACCTGTTTGTCTGAACCCCACCCTAGGCCAGAGAACTGATTCAACCCCATGGTTACTTCCTGACAACTAGGGACACCTGGGCCCAGCCGAAGGACTCTGAACCTGGTTGGTGTGTGAGAAAGAAGCTGAAACTTGACATTGTTGATTAAGATTTTCTTCTCATCATAGAATACAAAATGGAAAAATACGGAAAAGAAGAAAAAGGTACAGATCCTACCATTTAGTGGCAATGGAAAGGACAAAGTCAGCGCCATTTGCCATCTGGGCACCATTTGCAGAGCAGGCCTATGACCTTGTTAAACATGACGCCATCCTACTCTTCTGTGCTTCTGTCCTCAGAACTGGAAGTTACTGGAAAGCTAGACCAGAACATGATTAACTGCTCCCTACAGCCAAGGGCGGAAGGTAATGTTGGAAGAAACTGCAGCCTCGAGTTATAATGCCCCCAACAACAATGCCCCCCTTTAATCCTATTACAACTCAATAAAAGCTCAAAGCCCCACCTCCCACTGCTGTGTGTCTCTCCACACCTCTCCTTTCTTACACAGTGAATAAAACTTTATTTTCTACACTTTCTTCTCTTTGTGAATTCTTGCATAGCCCACGTCACCAATTACCCGAATGACAACCACTATCAAGGTCTTGATGTGCTTCACTTATTTCTTGATTCATTTAATACAAATATTACTTAGGGCCTCTTCGAGCTACTTCACTATTTTGTCCTCCATAGTGTTATGTTGTTTGGAAAGCCCATATGTACTTAGACTATTCCTTTGGAAGGGACATAACTCACCTGCTTTCACAAACGACTCTTCCTTGCACATCCTTACACATATTTGTGTACTCATGCACAAGCAGGTTTCACCCACCTGATCATAATCCATATCTTGTCTTTTGGTAATTGGTAGCTGACAGAGTATTTTCTTCTTACTCATTTGCATTTTTTATATCTTGAATTGGATATTTTTCTATGTTTATCAAACTATTTCTTTTTCAATAAGCCGCCTGTTCCTATTTTTCTACTTATTGTCTATCTTACTGATGTGTAAAATAAAAAATTCTTATGTTAAAAAGATTAACCCTTTCAAAGGAAACAAGAGAAAAACAAATGAGATCACATCAAACTAAAAAGGTTTTGCACAGCAAAGGAAACTATTGACAAAACAATAAGACAACCTACCAATGGAAGAAGATATTCACCAGTAATATATCTGATAAGGGGTTAATATCCAAAATACTTAGTATAAAGAACTTATACAACATAACACCAAAAAAGCAATTTAAGACCTGAATAGACACTTCTCCAAAGAGAACATACAGATGGCCAATAGACAAGTGAAAAGATGCTCAATGTCACTAATCATCAGAGATGCAAATTAAAATCACAATGAGATATCACTGCACACCTGTCAAAATGGCTATGAATAAATCAACAAACGACAAGTGTTGGTAAGGATGTGGAAAAAAGAGAACCCTCATGCACTGTTTGTGGAATTAAAAGCTGGTATGGCCACTATGGAAAACAATATGGAGTTTCCTCAAAAATTTAAAAATAGAGGAAGTTCCAGCCAAGATGGAGGATTAGATAGAAACACTTTGCTTCCTCACACAACCAAAAGGATAACGACCAATTTAAAAATAAAAAGCAACGAGAAGTGCCAGGAAATAAAACCGCAGGGAACTCTCACCACCAAGGAGTTAAAGAAACACTCATCCAGACCAGTAGGAGGGGTGGAGATAGGCAGCTGGGCTGGCCGAGCAGATGGTCCTACATCTCCCTGTGGATAAACCAGGAGGAACAACTGGGGAGTGAGGCAGACCATGCAACCCACAGTCCCAGTGCTGGGATGTAAAGCCTCAAAGCCTCTGAGTGAAAACACCTGTGGGGGTTGAGGCAGCGGGAGAAACTTCCAGCCTCACAGGAGAGTTCGCTGGAGAAACCCACAGGGTCCTAGAATGTACACAAGCCCACCCACCCAGGAATCAGCACCAGAAGGGCCCGATTTGCTTGTGGGAAGCAGGGGAAGTGATGGAAAGCAGGACGAGAGCCAAGCAAGCAGCACTGTTTCCCCTCAGACCCCTCCTCCACATACAGCACCACAGTGCAGCGTGGAGGTAACCCTGAAGTGGGAAGTGGGAGGGGGGAAAATTACAGGGAATAAGAAGCATAATTAGCAGGAACAAAACAGACAGGGGGAGGTTAAGAACAGTATAGAAAATGGAGAAGCCAAAGAACTTATGTGTACGCTCTATGAAAATGAACTAAGTAGCTGGTGGGGTGGAGGAATGTTGGAGGGTAGGATGTTGCAGGGCAGAGGGGAATACAGGGGAGGAAAAACTGGGACAACTGTAATAGCCTAATCAATAAAATATACTTCAAAAAACTTAAAAATAGAACTACCTTATGATCCAGTAATTCTACTTCTGGATATTTATTGGAAGAATTCCAAAACACTGATTCAAAAAGACATATATATCCCTTTATTCATTGCAGCACTATCAGTAGTGCATAAGGTCGGTCCAGAACATATCCAGACATGTCATATGAAAAATAGAGACATTTGTTGAAAATACAAGATACAAGAAACACTGTCCATAGGACAAGGACACCTCAGTAGTCCCCTTCCAAGTTATGACTTCCTTGAGGAAATCTGGTTCATTGATAGTGGTTTGAATCAAGTCATTAGCAACTGCAGCACCATGTTCCTTCTGCTCTGGTAGCAGAAGCTGCAGAACAAATTTTGCCACGACATGTTTCATGCCAAGATCCTAAGTCAAAATCTTGGACACAGTAGTTTTTGGAATCCCCAGATCAGCTTCTAGTTCTCACACTATCAATCACTAATCTTTACTGATTGCAGCCCATACACGTTCAATATTCTCAGGTGTTCTGCTTGTTGCAGGCCTTCCAGAACGTGGATCACTTTCAACCGATTCTCGACCATCTTGGAAGCACCTGTGCCACACTTTTGTTTGTGCTGCACTCATGGCATCATCCCTGAAAGCCTTCTGAGTCATCCGAATAGTTTCCATGAAGGAATGTTCAAGTTTAATGCGAAATTTGATGCGGATTCATTGCTCTACCCGCTCAGTCATTTTAATGAAACACACAGAACACATATTCACTCAATGGCATCTGCCGCCCCCACTGACTAGTACAGTGAAGTCATCATTGTTCATGCTTGTGCTTTCCAGTCCACTCTCCTTGGCTGCCAGTTACATAGATGTCTTGCAAACCATTCTTATTATATTAACAATGGCTGGACTTTTTCTGGGTATACAATGGAATATTACTTGGCTATTAAGAAAGAGTGAAATCTTACCATTTGTGACAACATGGTTGGACCTAGAGGGTACTATGTTAAGTGAAATAAGTCAGAGAAAGACAAATATCATATGATTTTTCATATGTGTAGAATCTAAAAAGCAAAATAAACAAAACAGAAACAGGCTCATAGATACAGAGTACCAAGGTTACCAGGTGGGAAGGGGCTTCGAGGGCTGGGTGATAAAGGTGAAGATATGAAGGAGTACAAAGTGGCAGTTACAGACTAGACACATGGACGTAAAGTACAGCACGGGGAACACAGCCAACAACATTGTACCAACTATGAATGGTGCCAGGTGGGTGCCAGATTTATCAGGGTAACCACTTTATAAGTTGTGTAAATGTCTAGCCAGTTAGGCTGTACACCTGCAATTAATATAATATTGAATGTCAACTGTAACCGAAAAATTAAAAAATAAAAAGAATAGCCCCTTATGCAACCATCCGGCTACAAACAGGCTGCCCTTTGCCTTTTTACCCTAACATTCTTCTCATCACAAAGTTACGTCTTTTTCGAATGTCTAATTCATTTCCTTTCTGGCCTCTGGGTTTTGTGTCTTGTTCAGAAATGCCTTCTTCACTTCAAAATTCTTTTGTGAAATTACAGGATAATTTCTCCTAGTATTTCCCCAGATCTTTTGTTACACTTGAGTCTCTGTCTGGAAAGTATCTGAGACGAGCCATCAGCTCTCACGTCTGTGTCTTCTAACCTTGACTCTGTGACCCATGATCCAGCTTCCTGGGAGCTCCGAACAGTCCAGATCTTTCTGGATCCTTGGTGATGTGACTGAACCTGACTTACTGACACACTGCTGCTGGTTGTGACCTTGGACCCCTAAATCCTCTCCTGCTCGCTGAGTCCTCAGTCCAGACCCCAGGGGGAATCTGGGCAGACTCCTCTCAGCGGGGCACGTGGGCTCCAGGTGGGCACGCAGTGATCTGGATACCCATTGTCTGGGTCCGGGGTGGCAGCACTTCGTCTGTGAATTGGGCCCCCAGCTCCCTTCCACTGCTTCCTCCCATCCCACCTGTGCCCTGCCCCCCGCCCCAGCTCCTCTCCAGGAAATTTGCATCCTGCCGCGGAGGGCAGGCTCTGCAGGACTGCTTCACCGGCCATGGTCTGCTCAGCCACCCCCGTGCTCCTGCTGGCCATGACTCTGCCCCTGGTGGGGTCCCCAGGGGCACCAGCGTCCCAGCCTGTGAGTAACACTGGGGTGAGGACCCCGGGAAGGTCTGCAGAGGCAACAGTGAGGACATTGGTGTGAGAGGCAGTAAAGGTGTGGGATGCAATGACAGGCGGAGGGGAAAGGACTTAAAAAAAGAGGCTGGGTTGTTATAAGGTCTCCGAGAGTTCAGTCTGTATTCCAGAGTGTGGGGGTAGCTTCGTTTCTTCATTCGGGTACCTGGGAATTCCGGGGACACCGGCTGCACTTCCAGTCAAGCTTGCAATTTAAACATGAAAACAGAAACTTCCCGGATTTGGGGACCATTGGCACAGAGGAGAGGAGAGAATCTGAGGAAAGGCAGCCAAGACTCGAGTCTCGGGTGTACATTTTCATCCGTGTTTGCTCCCACGTAGCATCTCTGCCTCTGTCTCCATCCACATCCTGATCTGTATCCCTGTTTTCAGCTCGATATTCACATACACGCACAATTTTGAGCATCAGGGGAGTTGGTGAGGAACAGTTTCCGGGAACCAGGGACTGCAGGAGACGCTGCCTCTGCTCACCCCAGTGGCAGCTCCTACGGAGGGAAGAGAAGTTCCCAAGCCTCTGGGCCCCAGTCAGCTGTGGCCAGCCCTCCCATCCCCTCCCCCTGGAGCAGCAGGCCCAGCCATTTCAATTAGCCCAGAGGCCCAGGGACGAGGGAACTCAGGAAGGAATTAAGCAAAGCTTGTTGACTCTCCGGGGTGTGCCTGGCTCCTGGGCTCAGGCTCTGGCGGGTCCCTGGAGCTGCATCTCTGCAAAGTGCTGCCAGAAGCCTACTTTCCCCTCCTGACTAACTGCAGGCAAAAAATAAAAATAAACATTTAAAACGAGGCCCTTCCAAGAGACTGTGTCATGCCAGCAGATTTGCCAGGCTGGTCCCTGGGCTACTTGGGGAAGAAGGTGTCCCAGACAGAAACCTGGGGCCGGCCTCTCCTCAGAGGTCTGTACTCTGTTCCAGGGGCCCAGTCCAGCAGGAGGGGAATCTGGGCAGCAACTGGACCTCTCGAGTGGAGCAGGTGATGAGTGGATGGAGGAGGAGGAGCGGGAGCAGGGAGCAGGGCGGGAAGAGAGGCGGGGGGAGGCCGCGTGCAGGGCAGTGGGTGAACGGAGAGGAGCTGCTCAGGCAGGCCTGTCCGCCCGGTCTCCAGCTGTGAGGCCTCAGGAAACTCCTCCGTCCCTGAGAGCCTGGTCTGTGACATGGGGGTTGTTGGGAGGGTGACAGAAAATGGGTGTGCCACAGCTAGATGAGGAGTAACTGTCCCCAAGTCCTGGCTGTGCCTGGAAGGGCCGCGGGAGGGGGGCCTGCTCCGGGTTCCTGGCAGTGACCAGCTAGGCATGGGAACTGCGCCTCCTGGCCCCTCCTCTCCAGCAGCCCCCTCTTCTGTAGAATCGGTCCTGGCCTCCGTCCACGTGCAGCTGGACGTCTCCAGCGAGATCTGGCTGGCCGCACTCTCCAGGCCCCTGACTCTGCCCCCCACCCCGGCTTCCTCTTCCCCAAGAACTCTCACTGGCCTCAGCCTCTCAACAGGTAGGGGGAACTGCACTGGGTCCTGCCTCTTGGGGCGCCGATGGCATGGGAAGGGGGCTCAGAGCGAAGGGAACGTGGGCCTCCCAGCCCTCCTGCAGCCAGCTTGCCTGTTGTGCTCTCCATTTCCTGGAGGGTCTGCATGGCCCAGCTCCTTCCTCACTTTCCTACCAGACAGACCCTTCCCCTCCTGCTCCACGGCCCCACCTTGTAACAGAGGGCCCAAGGGGCAGGTGGTAGGGAACCTGGACTTCTCACCCCGACCCCAGGCGCCTTTGGGAGGGCATGATCTCCGCTGCTTTGAACTCTAGACAAGGAGGCAGTCCCAGCTGTGCCCTCGACTTTGGGATTGCTCCAGACACCCAGCCCCAGACCTCTCAGGCATCCGGTGGCGGTCAGTCCTGCGGAGGTGGCCTTTCCAGGCAGCCTGCCCTCTTCTCACCCCCTTCCCTATCACAGGGTGCACCACCAAGCCCAATGGGTTTACCCACTGTGATTGCCTGACCGGATACCAGTGGAATGCCAGCGTCTGCTCCCACCACAAGTCTTGCCATTCCCCCTACAACCACGGGCCCTGCAGCTGTCTCGTCTTCAGCTCCCCGGAAGCTGGGTACTGCCAGTTGCTGCCACCTGGTGAGGAGAGTGGAGAACTCAGAAACCACTGGGCCCAAGTGAAAGAAACCTTCCCTGTGTTTTTTTTCCTGGCTGACTCCTGTGTTTCTGCCAGCTGGCCCAAGCCCAGAGGCTCCTCTGGGTGGGAGAAGATGCCATCACAGCAGATCACAGGCCCCCAGCTCGGGACCTGAGTAGTGAGACTAATGAGCAACAGGGCTCTGAAGACACCCTGACGAGGAGAGAAAGTTTCCCCACTGGGAGAGGGGAGGTCATAGGTCAAAAAGGTTCCCTGTTTGGTTCCCAGTGACAGATGGGTCTTCCAGGCTGGACCGCAGCAGCCACACCCCTCCGGGGAGAAAATAAAATAAAAAATGCTAGGTGGGGAGGGAGCGAGGAGGGGAAGGAGTCTGAAGATGGGGAGTGCCACAGCTTAGCTGCACGGGGGCCCATGAGTTCCTGCTGCAGTGACCCCCTGTCCCCTTCCTCCTTTCAGTCCCGGCCACCCTGAGCCTGAACTCCGGGCTGCAGATGCCTGGTGACACGCTGAACTTGACCCTCCTCACGAGCCATGAGACCACCAACCTGAGCTGGTTCCTGCGGCGCCGCACAGGGAGCCCCATCCTCCTGCAGCCAGGGACACAGGTGTCCCTGACGTCTAGCCAAGGCCAGACTGTCCTCAGCATCTTCAACATTTCCCACAAGTGGGAAGGTAGAGGGCTGTCCTTCCCTCTTCCTCTCTCTTCCCTTCTACTTCCTCCTCCCCTTCTCCTTCTTTCTTCCTTTCTTCTCTCCTTTTCCCTTCCCTTTTCATCCTTCTATTTATTTGTTTTGGGGAAATAAAGGCTAAGAGTCCTGTTGATGTGAAAATTTATAAAGGAAGAATGCTGAAAATACGGTCTCAATTTTAACTGAGAACAGACAAGTTCTTTTCTTCCAGCTGTTGAAATGGTAGGGGATGGTGCAGGAAGGGCATCTGTTGGAGGGGAAAAGGTTCACTTTATCTGTTTTTCTTTTAATATTTTATTTATTTTTAGAGATAGGGGAAGGGAGGGAGAAAGAGAGGGAGATAATTGTCGATGTGCAAGAGCTACGTCTATTGGTTGCCTCTCATCCGCACCCTGACCTGAGACCGGGTCCGCAACACAGGCACGTACCCTGACCAGGAATCAAACCTTTGACCTTTCAGTTTGCAGGACGGTGCTCAACCTACTGAGCCACATGATCAGGGTGAGACAGGTTCACTTCAGAATTCATGGCTACAAGCTAAAAAATAAGGGTCAGGAGCCTCTTTGGTTCTCTTCTTCCTCTTAGAAATGCTTCTGGGGGCAGGCATCTCTTGCTGTGGTTAAGCAGAGCCTAGACTAAGAAGGCCCTGTGTCTGCAGGTGAGTACCTGTGCTGCTTTGAGGCCCGGGGGTTCAGATGGGAGCTGTACCAGGTGGTGAGGGTGCCCCTGCAGGTGGCGGATGTCGCTCGACTTCCAGACCGGCTCTCCCTCTCCTGTGCCGCCTCCCCTGGCTTCCAGCTGAGCTGCTGCATCCCCCACACACTGCTGGGCTACGAGGCTGCCTGGAGCCCTGGAGAGGGCGGCAAAGGTACGCAAGGGGCCGGCTGTCTGGGGCAGAGGAGAGGGGGCAGCTTGTCTTCTCCAACTCGTTGAAGCAGATGCGCAGTTCAACGTGGGAGTTCCAAGTCCAAGTCCAACACAGTTTTTTACCTAATAGAGCAGTGATTTTCAACCTTTTTCATCTCATGGCATACATAAACTTCATGCAGCACACCAAAAAAAAATTTTTTTGTGATCTGGAAAAAAAAAGGGTATAATTTTGATTCATTCACACCAGACAGCTATTGTAGTGTTGGCTGTCGTCATTTTTTATTTGACAGTCTAAGGGAAAAGAGGTCAGTGTCTGCGACTAGTCAGGTATCATATATATTAAAAATTCCTGTGGCACGCCAGCTGAAATTCTCTGTGATAGAGCAATCCCAATTCTATCCATACAGTAAGAACCACATGGGTGTAGATGACGTCCTGCTGGATGCTTTTTACACGGTTCATTTAGTGATAGTTCCATTTTACAAAGGAGGAAACTGTCCCCGGGCTAGTTCGTGGTCCTCGGGGGTCTTCAGTGATTTGATGCCCACACAGTACTCTGCTCTTGCCCACTGCTTAACCTACTTCTGAAATTGCTAGAAAAACAGAACCAGCAAATCGGGGCCTGCTGGGTTCAGGGTCAGCTCCTGGCCTGGTGACCGACAGCTCCCTTCTCCCGTCTCACCCTCAGCCTCCTTATTCAACCAGCCAAGTGAGCAGTGCCTTGTGCTGGCCATTCAGCATTGCCCTGCCGCTGACACCACGTACACTTGTGACCTGCAGAGCCCAGGACTGACCCCTCTCAGAGTCCCCATCTCCGTCACCATCATCCAGGGTACGTGGGGCTTACGGTCCAGCTGGCCGACCTCTCACCGGCTCGCCCCGGGAGCTCTCCCTGGACATCCCCCTGCCTGGGCACCAAGGCCAGGCTCCAGAGCCTGCTTTGGGCTTCTGCCCCAGGGAAGGCTCAGCTCGACTGTGGCTTCTGATGTCATTCCTCAGATGGAGACGTTACCTGTCCTGAGGACTCCACGGTTGTTGCCTGGAATGTCACCAAGGCTGGCTATGTGGCACAGGCCCCATGTCCCGTGGACAGGACGGGCATGGTGAGGAGGACGTGTGGGCCCGATGGGGTCTGGGGGCCCGTCCACAACAGCTGCACAGACACGAGGCTCCACGCCTTGCTTCAGAGAGCCCAGGTAGGGCTTCTGGCTCCGCTGCCCGCCGGTTACACCCTCCACGACCTGCCCCTTCCTCGCTCGAGACCCAGCCTTAGACTCCTTTGCTCCTGAGGCTCAGCCCAGAAGTTGCTCAGCTTCTCTGAATCGAAGCCCTAGCAGAGCCAGGAAGTAGGTGTGGGGGCCTGAGAGTGGCCAGGACTCTGGTGGCAGTGAGGGCGCTATTCCCAATCCTTTGTCTATCAAGGATCCCTGCCACTAACGTTGGTGTCAGCTCCATCGACATGGCTCACTCTGCTCTCTGCTCCCTGATCCCCTGGGAGGGGTGTGGCTATGGGGAGGAAGGAGTTGGGTGTGGGGGAGGCGGCCCCTCTCCGGTGCGGACTCACTCCCCCTCACGGGCCCCACTGCCGTCCGGTCTATCTCAGCTGCTGTGGGCAGGCCAGGGCTGCCCTGCTGAACAGGTGCCACAGAGCCTGGCAGAGCTGCAGGAGCAGACAGTGGCGGTGAGCTCGCCTTCCGACTTGCTGGCACTGCTGCGCACCGTGACATACCTGGCCAAGGTGGTGGCAGACACCGGAATACAGCTTAACCGCAGGGCCCTGAAGGTAAAGTCTCTGAGCCACGGCAGGTGCCAGCTGGGTAGAGGAGGCTGGAAGTTCTTCACCTTTGGGCACTTCTGTCCCTCTGACATCACCAGGGGCTGTCAGACAACAGACCACTCCCGTGGTCCATCTCTCTGCTTAGACACCAGTGTCTAAGGCCGCAGAATGTGTAGAAGGCTTGGTGCTGAGAACACATGGGAGATTGAGGGCGGTGTGTGCAGACATGAGTTTAGAGGCATACGTTCACACACAGATATGTAGATATGACATGACTTCTCCCTATACACACCCACGCACACGCAAGCATCTGCATGAAGACACTCGAACACAACTGGCTTTACTGGGCTCCCCTAAACCAGCTCCCAATACAGACACCAGTTGGTGACCCTTAGGCTGCAGCCAAAAGAATAACTTGGGGCTAGGACACTGCAGGCCCTTCATGTCTGGAAAGAGGGGTCGCGTGTTGGTGTACAGACATGTGCGTGGCTCTCTAGTTCAGGACATTGTACCCTCTCCCACCATTCCTGCTTTTCAAACCAGTAGAGGTCAAGAAATTGAAGAAGGCCTCCTCAGGGCCTGGCTGACCCCGAGGGATGGAGGGGGAAGAAGGGTTGTCGGGTGGAGGGGGGGATGAGCCTCAGGAGACCACATACTCGAAGAGGCCCCAGTGGTTAGCTGAACAGCACCCCATTCTTCCCATCTAGAAACTCCCCCTTCAGAGGCCTGTCTTCTTTTCCCCCTATTCTCCAACCTTGGGTCTTGCAGTGAATGAGGAAAGGTAGGCTTGGGGGCCCATGCACCCTAGTGCCCAGGCTCAGTGCTGAGGGTGCTGGCATTCCTCTCTGTTGGCCACCACAGGCTCTCCTGAAAACCACCGACAAGGTCCTAGACATGGACAGCAGTTCTCTGTGGACTGCGGCCCAGGTGCAGACACCCATGGTGAGCTCAGACTTCCTGCTGGCTGTGGAGACCCTGGCGTGCCGCCTGCGCCCACAAGACCACCCCTTCACCTTCAGCTCGCCCAACGTGCAGATGCAGACCCAGCTCCTCAGCCCCGCACTCCCTGCTAAGTGGAGAGTCTCCTTCTCCACTCAGCCGCCACTGCGGGCACTGATTCCAAGACACTCACTGGCCCCCCTGGTTACTGGTAACAATAATATCACCATGACTGGCCTGGTGCTGCGCAAGCTGGACCACCTCCTACCCTCGAACTATGGACAAGGGCTGGGGGACTCCCTCTATGCCACTCCTGGTCTGGTCCTCGCCATCTCCATCACGGCAGGTGGCCAGGCCTTCAACCAGGGAGAGGTCATCATGGACTTTGGGGACAGAGATAGTATCCTTCACTGTGTCTTCTGGGACCACCATCTCTTCCAGGGCAATGGGGGCTGGTCAGAGGAAGGGTGCCGGGTGCAGGCAGCCAATGCCGGCTCCGCCACTCAGTGCATCTGCCAGCACCTCACTGCCTTCTCCATCCTCATGTCCCGACACACTGTTCCGGAGAACCGCACCCTGGATCTGCTGAGTCAGGTGGGCTTGGGGGCCTCCATTCTGGCGCTGCTCGTGTGCCTGGGCGTGTACAGGCTGGTGTGGAGAGTCGTGGTACGGAACAAAGTTGCCTACTTACGCCACGCTGCCCTACTCAACATGGTGCTCTGTCTGCTGGCCGCAGACACCTGCTTCCTGGGAGCCCCACTGCTTCCTCCGGGGCCCGGAAGTCCACTCTGCCTGGCCGCTGCCTTCCTCTGTCATTTCCTCTACCTGGCTACCTTTTTCTGGATGCTGGCTCAGGCCCTGATGTTGGCCCACCAGTTGCTGTTTGTCTTCCATCAGCTGTCCAAGCGCCGAGTACTCTCCCTCATGGTGGTTCTCGGCTACCTGTGCCCGATGGGGTTTGCAGGTGTCGCCCTGGGCCTCTACCTGCCTCGGGGGCAATACCTGGGGGAGAGGGCATGCTGGTTGGATGAGAAAGGTGGGTTGCTCTACACCTTTGCCGGGCCAGTGCTGGTCATCGTGGGCCTGAATGGGCTGGTACTGGCCGTGACCATGCTGAAGTTGCTGAGACCTTCGCTGTCAGAGGGACCCCAGGTGGAGAAGCGCCAAGACCTTCTTGGGGTGATCAAAGCCCTGCTCGTCCTCACACCCATCTTCGGCCTCACCTGGGTGCTGGGCCTGGGCACTCTGCTGGAGGATGACTCCACAGTCCCTCACTACATCTTCACGATTCTCAACACCTCCCAGGTGGGTGGTGACGAGGTGGCTGTGCTTTGTGCCGTTTCAGATGTTCTAAGTCACTGCCAGTCCCTTCTCAAGGTGCTGTCACGGTTGAGCAGAGGAAATATAGCTCAGGAATTTTGGAAGGCATAGGTTTGGGTCCCAGTTCCTCCAGTGACTGGCTGGATAACTGGACAAATCCCTCCGAGCTTTGGTTTTCATATCTGTGAAATAATACCTGGTTTTGCCAGAGAAGCCAGGGAGTACCCAACCCTTTGATAGTCCCTTCGCAACCGCAACAGCAAGAACAGCACCAAAAGGGTCCTGTACCCCAGTGATGCTGACTGTACAGAAACCCGAGTAAGACAAGAGGACAGAGGCAAAGGCAGAGGGAAGGGAGTGAGTGGACTGCGGTCGATTCCTTCCTCCTTGACTCACTTATCCCCTTCTCCCTCCTTTCAGGGTGTCTTCATCTTATGGTTTGGTTGCCTTATGGACAAGAAAGTGAGTCTGCCCACCTCGTCCCACAGACTCACAGCCAAAGCCAGGGGCTTCAGCTGCCATAACCCGGCATTTCTCTCTGCAGGTACAACAGGCTTTACTCAGACGCTTCTGCCGCACACAACCCCCCAACTCCACCATTTCCCTGGTGAGTTACTGCCTTCAAATCCTTCGTTGCCCCCCCGAAAGCAAGTCGGAAGCAGGTGACCCACAGCCTTTCCCAGGGGAGATGGGCACCACCAGAGGCTGAGAGAAGATTGGGGTTGTTTTCTAGAGTGAGCACGCCCCAGGCTCCAGCTGTCCACAGTGCAGAAAGCAGCCCGGTCAGGAAAGTCAGAATCAGGTGCCCCAGTTCCCAATTGCAACCTGGACTCCAGGTGACTCTTTTGTCCCTGGTTTCTCCATCTGACCATCTGCCTCCCGTTACTATTTGAAAGGAAAGGATAGGATCAGTAGGCGCGGGCCTCACTGTGGCTAAGAGCAAAGCGCCCCCTTCCTGCAGTCCCCGAAGGAGGGCAGGCGAGAATGTGAAAATGGACATAACCTCGTCAAAGGTGAGAGGGCAATGATCGCCCTGCAACTGGGCCTTTTCACCCCTCCCTAGGCCACCAATGAAACCCACAACCTGCAACACAGCAAAGGAAGAAGCGAAAAGGCTGCTAGGTGAGGATGAAGCGGTGTGAGTGGCGTGAGCAGCCTCCTGGCAAAGCTCTTGAGAGAAAGCTCCTCTTTATATACCTGTCCCAGCCCAAAGCGGGGGAACAGACTTTGCTACGGTAGATGCGTCTCCATGAGCTGGGAAGGTGAAGGCCTGAGGGAGCAGATACGACAGCATCTGCTGTTGCTTCCCCAGAAAGCTGGAGGGACTGTAACCACCAACAGCCCTTGACTCAGTTCACTCTGAAAATTCCTTTTCACACTATCAGATATTTAATTACCCTGAAAAATCCTTGTTTGCTTTTCCTTCAAGATTTTACTTACTTATTTTCAGACAGAGGGGAAAGGAGGGAGAAAGAGAGGAAAACATCCACATGTGGTTGCCCCTTGTGCGCCCCCTACTGGGGACCTGGCCCACAACCCAGGCCTGTGCTGTGACTGGGAATCTAATCGGTGACCTTTCTGTCCTCAGGCTGATGCCCAATCCACTGAGCCCCACCAGCCAGGGCAAAATTTTTTTAAATTCTTGTTTTGAAAGAATTAGCATTGGTGAGCTTGTTGTCCAGAGGAAGGGCGATCTGAGAAGGTGGGGCAAGCTTTCCTTTTACTGGCCTAGAGCTTCAGGACCAGCTCTCTCTCAGGGGAACCATACAGAGACCCCATGTTCCCTCCCGGGGAGTGCAGGGTGTGCCCTTGAACCCACCAGGATGGGCCTCAGCCCCGCGCCCTGAACCCTTCCCCGCTCCCAGAGCTCAGCCCTCCTGAAAGCCAGGCTCTGTCTCCATCAGCCACACCCACCTGTCCCCTCCCCTCCCCCCGCCCCTAAACCAGCTCAGCAAGAAGAGCGGGACAGACTAGCTAAAGCCCGCTAATGAATGGACCTGGCTTTGCTGTCAACATTATCAAGATATCGGAGTTTAAAATAATTGCAAGTAAAACTGTCTCAACCAGTTTTTAACTCACCAACAGTTTATGTTACAGGTATAGTTGATAAACATGGTTTTAACTATTCCGTGATTTCTCATTATTTCTTCTCTACAGTTATGAAGAAAGGATGGCTTAACTGAAGAAAGGAACTCTGATCTTCCAAACATTAGAGGCGAAAGGCAGAATTTGGTTAATTTATTGTCAAAGTTCAAGAAAAGGTGAAGCTGATGAGCCCCTTTCTTTCGCATTTAAACATATCAACATAAAGTTGTTTCATAGACACTTGCGTGTCTACACAAAGTCACTGATATGAACACATTTGAAAGAAGGCGCTGTAAATTTTACAGTAGGAGAAGGGTACTGCAGATTCCTACAAATTAAGAAGAAAAGACAACAAACACATTTAAAAGTGACAGGATCCAGCTAAGGCTAGATATAGAGAATAAAGATTTAAGAAAAGCCTGTAGCGGGCCCCAAGACATCTAGCTGAATAAATTTACAGAACTCACAATAGATAATGACAGGATTCCAAAGAACTTTTAAACTAGATAAATGAAACAATTTTGATAAGTGAATCTTTGTGAATTACAAATTTCATGAATATTTTTATAAAATGGAATGGGGACATTTTTCTGTCGAAATAAAAATGAATACCACATACTATTGAAAATGTTTTTCTTATCAACACTATATGTTCACTTAATGATTTGTGTGAATATTTAAATTTTCTATAAACCGGCCTGAACATTTCTCTAAGTAGATTTGATCGTTCTCTCAAACAGAAGGTACTGAGTCACCAGGGCGGTTGGGATGTTTCTAGGCCTAGGGCTCATTGCGGCCCCCACGGGTGGGGGGGGGGCAGGCAGGCCCTGAAACAGGGGAGACTTTCCTTGCTGGTTTCCCTGGCAACAAGACATGTCTCAACGTGACTATCACTTCATTAGTATTTACAGTGTTGATGTTTTTCAATTATGAAATTACTTTCAGAATAATTCAAACAATGCACTTTGGAAGCAGCAGAGACTCCTGAGAATGCTTTGTAGAACTATGTTCTCATTTTCCTTCTCAAATGACTGCACACACCCAGTGCATGCTCTGCTGGTAAAAAAAAAATGCACTTTAGAATCTATGGGTGAAATGACATTAAGCCTTTGTTCCCTTGGCTCTCACCACAAAAAGAAAGGAAGGACTAAAAAAGGAGGCTCTGGGAGTCACTGTGAGATTTAGCAGCGATTCCATTTCTGAAAAGACGGCTTAAGGGAGTAAGTGGACAAGGAAACAGACAAACGCACAAAGGATGTGCGTTCCAGTGGTCACATCCTCAGAAGAGAGGCACCGATCACAGCGCATCAATACAGAGGACTGCTGTGTGGTCACTAGAAACAATGGATAGCTCCACCTCCTGACGTGGAAAACGTTTAGGCTATATAGCTGTGTAAAGCAAAAGGGGGCCAAAGCAGCATTATATTGGGCAATTTTGCGCCACATGTCCAATATATATGCATTGAAAAAAAAAGATATCAAACTATTAATAGTGGGTATCTTGCTTTTTTCATCTCACTCTATAAATATTTAATTCTTTTACAAATAAGCATGCATTTTTATATTCAAAAATAATAAAATGATTTTGAAAAATGTTCTGTTGAACATTTTGCATATTTAAAAATAGAAGCTTGTGCCCTGGCCAGTGTGGCTCAGTTGGTTGGAGTGTCTTCCCATAAACGAAAGGTCGTGGGTTCATTCCCTGGTAGGGGTGCCTGTGGGAGGAAGCAGATGGTTCTCTCACATTGATCTCTCTCTCTCTGCCCCTCCTTCCTCTCTAGAATTAAAAAAACAAAACAAAAACAAACAAAAAAACTTGACAAGCGAAGAAACAAAACGCCCTCTGGAATTTAGGTTTGTAGGGAGTGTGGGCTACATTAGGGTCCCCGAGAAAGCTCTGAGCCCCTTATTTGGAGCTTTGCTGTGGGAATCAGTTCCATTTGGTCACTGGTGGTCCATAAAGTATGGAAGGGAAAAGCGCTCCTAGCTGAGTTGGTTGTAGGTACAAACATTGCCAACACGTCTAAATGCTGCTTCTCCTTCACAATGTTTTCAGAATAGTATTTCCACTATTTTTGTCCTTCTATTCCCACATTCTCCCATTTACTCTCAATCAGTGATCCCTCTTCATCGAAAAAGCAGAATATACCAGCTCAAGTCTGAAATAAACTACGGTGGACACAAGCAGAGGGACCTCTGAGCCATCCATTAAAGTTTGAGACAGGCTGGGAGACCTTGATACTGCTTTTCACCCTTCAAGAAAGACCAGAATTTGAGAGGCTTGGAGGAATCAGTACAACTAAGAAAGGGTAGGGGGGAAAAGATGGGCTGAGAACTAGGATTCTTCTCTCTGGAAAGATGGAAGCAAAGGGGGCAAGAATTTCTGTCTCTTTTGTTGGTTGCTGTAGCCTCAGTGTCTAGAATAGCACTCGACACATAACAGGCACTCAACAGATTTTTGCTGAATGAATGAACTACACAGACCATGGGAAGAACATGAAGTTTTACTCAGAATCAGACCATCAGAAGCAAAGAGCTGGGCCAGGGATGGGGCAAAGAGGGAAAACAAATGCTCCACTCCCACGTGTGTTATTTGGTGGAGCAGAGGATCTAATTAAAGTTTTACATGAAAGAGATGCTTAACCTGGGATCTTCAATATTATCTAAGTTTATCTAAGAATGGAGGCATCTATAATAAACACACTGCGCCAGTGAAAATAACTTGGATTACTCTTACACATATGGAATGTTTTGAAATAGTATATAATTGTGCAAAGTTGGGTGAACCTATGACCAACCTCAGAACCACGACAGAACTTGAGCACCACTGAGGCCGGGTGCGCCTCTCCTGCCCGATTCCACCGCTCCCACCCACAGGTACCCTCTGTTCTGAACGTTTCCCTTACCTTTTTTCTAAAACCTATTTTTAATGGCGGTATAACACACATAAAATTGATCACTTTAACCATTTTAAAACACAATGTCATGCAGTCAGGCTCCGGACCTCTTTTCATCTTTCCAAACGGGGGCTCTGCAGACACTAAACAACTCGTTCCCGCTCGTCCAGGCCCTGGCAACCGTCCTTCTACTTTAAGTCTCTGTGAACTCGGCTGTTTTAGACGCCTCATATAAGTGGATTCACACAGTATTTGTGTGTGTGTGTGTGCGCGCGCGCGCGCAACTGGCTTATTTCAGTCTGCGTAACATCCTCAAGGTTCATTTGTGTTGTAACTGTGACACGATCGCCTTCTTTTGTAAGGCTGAGTAGCATTCTATTGTATGTCTATTATTGTGTTGTTTTCCATATGAACTCTAAACCCACTTCTGCCCCACCCTGAACGCACATTTTGTTTGTGTACTGACGGACATTTGGGTGGCTTCTACATATAGGCTGCTGTGAATAACGCTATGAACAGATACACAGCTACCTCTTTAGACCCTGCTTTCGATTCTTTTGGACATATGAGTACACCTAGACATGGAATTGCTGGATCCCATGGTAATTCTACTGTTAATTTTTTGAATAAATGACATACTGTTTCCCACAGTGGCTGCACGGGTTCCAATTTCCCCACATCCTCACCAACACTTACTACCTGCAGGTGTTCTGACAGTAAGCATCATAATGTCTACCAACAAAGGTGGGAAGCAGTATCATAGTTTTGATTTGCATTTCCCTATTGATTAGTGATTTTGAACATCTTTTCATGTGCTTATTGGTCAACTGTATATCTTCTTTAGAGAAATGTCTATTCGAACTCTGCCCATTTTAAAATTGAGTTGTCTTATTTCTGGTTGTCGAATTGTAGGATTTCTTTAAATATTCTGAATATTTACCCCTTACTGAATATATGATTTGCATATATTTTTCTCCCATTCCAAAGGTGCCTTTTCACTCTGTCCTTTGATGCAGTTTTTAATTTTGATGAAGTCCAATTTATCTATTTTTCTTTCCTGTGTTTTTGGTGTCATAACCAAGAAATCAGTGCCAAATCCAATGTCATGTAGCTTTTCCCATTTTCTTTTAAGAGTTTTATAAGTTTAGCTCTTATATTTAGGTCTTTGATTCATTCTGAGTTAATTTTTGTATACAGTGAAAAGTAGAGGTCCCACCTCATTCCTCTGCATGTGGACGTTTTGTTGTTGTTGCTGTTTTAAATCTTCACCTGAAAATATGTTCACTCGATCCCTGGTCAGAATGCAGATGGGAAGCAACCAACAGATGTTTCCCTCTTTCTTTCTCTCCTTTCCTCTTTCTCTAAAATCAATAGACATATTTTTTTAATTAAGAAAAAATAGATTTATGTTAGTTGAGCAATGGAGGGGTGGGGAGGGAAGATGTTATTCTAAAACAGGCCCCTCTGTTCCTAGCGGCCCCATGGCTGACTAAAATGGTTAGAAGTGACGAATGAAGACTTAAAGGCAAAATTTGCCCCTAAGCCAAGAGAACTACCTTTTGTCTCAAAAATAATAAAATAAAATAAGGCAAATAGTTCTCTAATACGTCTCCACTTTATTAAGGTTAACCAACACAGTATTTATGTATCTAGACATTTACTGTAAGTTTTCAGTGATGTTTACATTCTGAATTATCTTTCCATAATTAAGTTAATTTAGGCACATTGGTTTGCATTTTATAGAAAATACTTAGCTTTAGGTCACAAATAGGAATGAATATAATTTGCAAATGTTACAAAGATGATTCCAAATTTCAGCTAACCTCTTTCCCATATTGCAACCGCTTGTTTAGTCTTTAATAAAAATACAGAACAAAAACAAATGCTTAAATATAGCATGTGTGAGATTCTGGCGACTAAGAAATCCCTGAAGGAGCAGTAAGCCATGATTACTGGAAAGCTCGGAACACTGGGAAGGCTTAATTGCAAAGTATTTAACAGAAGGCCACAGATTTTGTTTTCCTAAGAGGTGCTAGGAACTACAGATGTCACTTAGTAGTGCATTGAAATGGCATTGCCTAGTGCGAGTGTTGCACAGAAACTCCGGGCCACCGCTCCTCGATCCATTACTTCGGGTAAGCTTCCACTATCATTGCGTGGCCCTGTGAAGGAAAGTAAGTTCAGTTAGAGCAGTGAGCGAGGAGTCCAGCCAGTACAGAGGCATCCGAGGACAATGGGGAAAGTACAGGCTTTGGAGTTTGGTGTTGGCTCTGCCATCCAAATGCTGTGTGATCTTGGGGAAGCCATTCTGATGATCCTCAAGTCCATCTACAGAGGGGAGCTCATGGTAGCCACTTCACAGTGTTTCTGTGAGCACTCAATTAGGTAGCGTATGATACACACACGCACGCACATTTGTCCACATCCACATACATGCATCAGTGTGCACACCGCAGTCTGTCTAGCAGAGCTAGATTCCTGGCAGATGCTTCATAAGTGGTTGCTATCTGAATGAGATGCCATGGGGGGCTTTTTAAGCTGCACAAAAATAAACATGATATAAGGAATGCCAACAACAGTCAATTTCTTGATTAGAAAGCCTAGGCTTTGAAAGGTTAAGTAACTCATCCAAATCCACAACACTATAAACAACAGGGCCAGGGTCTGAAACCAGGTCCAGATGATTCCAAGGGGACTCTTCTTCACTGCTCTCCTCAGATGCAGGTGATCTGAGGGCCCGCAAAGGTAAGAGGGTAGAGAAATCCCTTCTCCAGCACTCTGCACAGTGCTGTGCACGGGTTACCTCCCTAGCTGAAACCAAGCATAGAAATTTATACTTTTATGAATCTAAATCCTATCTGACATTCAGTCATTCTATCTTTTGGACTGTGATCAAACCAGTTAAGCTTAACTGACACCCTGCTACTTGGTTCAATGCAATACCCTTAAATATTTATTAAGAAACTTGCTACATGGTGTCTGTCCTCAATTGTATACACTATAGCTCAAAACAAATTACTAAATACCTTGATACAGGGACAAAGAAACAAAAAGAACAGGGATGCGAAGGTCTGACTGACTTTGGGTTACCCAAGCAAGGCCCATGACAGGCAGAAACTTGCTTCTCCAGCTTTATTTAAAATGCATTGGCTTCATGTCCCAAATCTTTCTGGTTGCTCTGGATCGGTGCTTTCCAACTAGAGGTGATTTTGCTCCTTACCCTCCCCAGAGGACACTTAGTAACATCTGGAGATACTTCTGCTTGTCCCAACTGTGTGTGTATGGGAAGGGGAGTGTTGCTACTGGTATTTAGTGGGTAGGGACCATGCCGAACATCTCACAACACAGAGCATAAGCCCCCACAACACAGAACCACCTGGCCCAAAATGTTAATGCTGCCGAAGCTAAGAAACCCTGCTCTAGATTCAGTAGTGGATTCCTCCTCTGATCTAGTCATGCTCATATCTCGTTTGGCTCTTGATATGAGCACTCAATCAGGTAGCATATAATACACACACATGCACACAAACCAGAATGCCAGATGCAGTCTGGTTTCTAAGATGCATTATCCTTCTCCTCACTACACTGGAACCTTCTAAAAGGTACTAGGTATTACTCTTTGTTCATCCCCCAAAGCATCTAGTATTGTGTTATGTCCACTCCAGGTGCGAGACCAAAAAGCAGGGAAGGGACGCTGCAAACTGAAGAGCGCTGGCCCGTCTGAGCTGGGCTCGGCACGCAGCGCTGCGCACCAGCTGTCGTCCCCGTCTAAGTCGGGGACACAAAGGTAAGAGGGAAGGCTCTGGCTCTAACCGACAATGGCTTTCTGTAAAAAAGGTTAAAAAAATGCTTTTGATCGTGAAGTCTAAAATGTTCCAAGCTATAAATAACTGACCCCTTTTTTCTTCAAAGTCTCTGAAGAAATGCCATAGAAGCTTAAAAATGTAAAATGTTTATGCTTTTACATATCTTATTTATTTATCTTGATTAGCCACAGGAAGTTTCTGAAATCTGAAGGAAAAATCAAATGTTTTTATCAAGGTTAAAAAAAAAAAAAAGATTACAGCCAGCCTTCCTTTTGGATTCTGTTCCCAGAATGAAATGCTATAGCAGGTAGGAAATTGTTCCTTCCTGTACCGCAAGTAAAGCAGGTAAAAAAAAAAAAATCTGTAGAATAATATAATTTCCCTCAGTTAAATAGCAGTAAGTTATCCAGAGGTAAATGAAATAGTTTACCTCCTGGAGAGATTCTGTAGGTAAGTTTCATACAGATAAGTGACTAGACAAATGAATAAAAATTTATTCTTAAAGAATAAAACAAATCAAAGTGTGAATAATGAGTAGTGAGGGAATTATAGGTGATCTAAGTTTTCTTGATTACTTTTATATTTTCCATAATTGCCATAAACAGCACATACTACTTTTATAAACAAAAATGTAAGCATTATTTTAGGGAAAAAATAGCTTGGATTTAAATAGCATCTTCTTTCCAAAGGACTATCAAAACTAAAGATGTACCTGCCCCTCCCCCTGAAAAAATTGGCTACTTCTTTTTTGGTTACATGCCATCAGAAATATTGTTCTGATAATGCTTCAAAATAAACCAAATCAAACATTCTTGGATGAGCTTGTTTTTTTCCAAGACCATGACTTTCCAGAAGCTCCTGTGACATACCTGCCCTCCAGCGGCACACGCAGCCACCAAACCAAACTGGCCGCCTTCCTTCCGTAATCTGTTGGCAGCTGCCATGACCAACCGGACGCCAGTGGCTCCAAAAGGGTGTCCGAGGGACAGCGACCCACCCCAGTTGTTAAACTTCTCCAAGGGGGGAGCTCCAACCTAGCTCACATAGAAACAGACACAAATATAAAGATGAGTTTACTCAAGACAAGAACCAGACCAGGCCCTTAGTAATAAGAAGTAACAGAACTAGAGAAATAACTACAAGACACATCACAAATTATTTTACTGCAAAAGAAAATTCTAGGTCAATTCTGAAAGCCAAGGGTCCATTTATTTTCCTCCCTCTCTCCCTCCCTTCCTTTATTTTTTGATGGGATGTCTTTCTTCATAGATTTTACCTCAGTGCCCCCCAATTTTTTTTTAGATTTTGTTTATTTACTTTTAGAGAGGGGGAGGGAGAAAGAAACGGAAGGAGAAAAACAGCGTGTGCAAGAGCTACATCGATCGGTTGCCTCTCACACACCCCAACCAGGGACCTGTCCTGCAACCCAGGCGGGCCAGGGAATGTGCCCTGACAGGGAATGGAGCCAGCGACCCTTTGGTTCACAGGCCCGCACTCAACCCACTGAGCCACACCAGCCAGAGCCAAAATTTATGTATGTATTTTGTTTCTTTTTTATCTAACATTTGAATAAGAACAAAAAACAACCTGAAACTTTGTTTATAATTTTTTCTAAAGAATTTCGCAATTAAGAAACATTAATGTAACATGAATTCTTCACAAGAGAAGCTTTCCACTTCATATTTTTACTGGCATGTAACTAAGCTCCAAATATTAAAGTGCTCTGGAAAGTCAAGCCTATTTTTAATCAGAAACTTACCTTGGTTTTTCTACCCATGTAGTTTTGTGCAAACCAATCAGAATCCATGGCTTTAAAATTAGCCAAAATCTGACCCTAGAAGGGAAAATAATTCAATAAGGACCTTGTCATCAATGTCTCTTGAGGCCTTCTTTTACACGAGTTATCTAACTTTAAAGTTGAGCAAATTTTCAAATCAGTCGTCACTGAAAATCTTCTAAAGAAACAACTTGGTGCTTTCGAAGGGCATGTAAGTGAGAGCTTCGAAAGGCGTGTTTCTACCACTGTCCACGAGGCCCTGGATTTGCACCCTGCACCCCGCCAGCAGCGTCAGCCCTTCACCAACGAAGCTCCGCTTCCACTGTATGCGTATTGCCAACTGCACCTTGCGCCCTCCCACAAACCTGACTACACTTTTTATTATCATAGCTCTTTAACATGACTTACTGAGAAAGCTTCGTGAAATTCAAAAGCATCAATATCATTCATTGTTAATCCTGCCTTTTCTAGAACTTTTGGAGTAGCATATGTTGGTCTGGAAAGAAGAAAAAAGTAGTATGTTAGAACTTTAACTTTTAGCCTAAGAGCACATTCCCATTCCCCAAACTGAGATTTACACAGGCTTTATTCTTTTTTTTTTTTAAATTTAATTGTTGTTCAAGTACAGTTTTCTGTCTTGTACACCCATCCCAGCCCACACCCCAGTGCTCCCCACCTCCCTCCCATTTCCACCCCCCTAGTTTTTGTCCATGTGTCCTTTATACTTCTTCCTGTAAACACTTCCCCTTTTCCCCTGAAATTCCCTCCCTTCTCCCCTCTGGTCACTGTCCCACTGTTCTCTATTTCAGTGTCTTTGGTTATATTTTGCTTGCTTGTTTGTTTTGTTGTTTAGGTTCCTGTTAAAGGTAAGTTCATATGGTATATGTCTTTCACCGCCTGGCTTATTTTGCTTAGCATAATGCTTTCTAGTTCCATCCATGCTGTTGCAAAGGGTAGGAGCTCCTTCTTTCTTTCTGCTGCATAGAATTCCATTGTGTAAATGTGCCATAGTTTTTAGATCCATTTATTTACTGATGGGCACCTAGGTTACTTCCAGCACTTGGCTATTGTAAATTGTGCTGCTATGAACATTGGCGTGTGTAAATTCTTTTGGATTGGTGTTTCAAGGTTCTTAGAATATAATCCTAGTAGTGGAATTGCTGGATCAAAAGGCAGATCCATTTTTAGTTTCCCTAGAAAATTCCATTCTGTTTTCCATAGTCGTACCAGTCTGCAATCCCACCAACAGTGCACTAGGGTCCACTTTTCTGCACAAATTCTCCAACAATTGTTGTTTGTGGCTTTGTTTATGATGGCCATTCTGACTGGTATAAAGTGGTATCTCACTGTGGTTTTAATTTGCATCTCTCTGATAGCTAGTGATATTGAGCATCTTTTCATGTGTCTCTGGATCCTCTATATGTCCTCCTTGGAGAAGTGTCTGTTCAAGTCCTTTTCCCATTTTTTAATTGGGTTGCTTGTCTTCTTATAGTGGAGTTGTGTAAGTTCTTTGTCTATTTTGGAGATTAAACCCTTGTCTGAGGTATCATTGGCAAATATGTTTTCCCATACAGTTGGTTCTTTTTATTTTAATAGTTTTCTTTAGCCACACAGAAGCTTTTTATTTTGATGAGATCCCATTTGTTTATTCTTTCCTTTATGTCCCTTGCTCTAGGGGACATACCAGTAAAAATACTGCTGCGTGAAATATCTGAGATTTTCCTGCCTATGTTCTCCTCTAGGACTTTAATGGTGTCATGGCTTCTATTTAAATCTTTTATTCACCTTGAATTTATTTTTGTGTATGGTGTAAGTTGGTGCTTGAGTTTCATTTTTTTGCACATAGCTGTCCAGTTATCCCAACACCATTTGTTGAAGAGACTATTTTTACTCCATTTCATGTTGCTGCCCCCTTTGTTGAATATTAATTGACCACAGAGACTTGGGTTTATTTCTGGGCTCTCTGTTCTGTTCCACTGTTCCATGTGCCTGTTTTTTTATGCCAGTATCAGGCTGTTTTGATTACAGTGGCCTTGTAATACAGTTTGGTATCAGGTATTGTGATCCCTCCTACTTTGCTCTTCTTTCTCAAAATTGCAGCAGCTATTCGGGGTTATTTATGGTTCCATATACATTTTTGGAGTGTTTGTTCTATGTCTGTGAAATATGCCATTCCTACTTTAATAGGTATTGTATCGAATCTGTAAATTGCTTTGGGTAGTATGAACAGTTTGATGATGTTAATTCTTCCGATCTACGAACTTGGTATATGTTTCATTTGTTTGTGTCTTCCTTGATTTCTTTCTTCAATCTTGTGTAGTTTTCTGCATACAGGTCTTTTACCTCCTTGGTTAGCTTTATTCCTAGGTATTTTATTTTTCTTTTTGCTATATCGAATGGGATTTTTTTCCTGATTTCTACTTCTGCTCTTTCATTGTTGGTATACAAAACAGCTTTGATTTCTGGATATTGACTTTGTATCCTGCTGTTTTGCCAAATTCATTTATTAGGTCGAGAAGTTTTTTGGTGGTCTACAGGATTTTCTATGTACACTATCATGTCATCTGCAAACAATGACAGTTTTGTTTCCTCCATTCCGATTTGGATGCCTTTTATTTCCTTTTCTTGTCTGATCGCTGTGGCTAAAATTTCCAATACTATATTGACTAGAAGTGGGGAAAGTGGACAACCTTGTCTTGTTCCTGATCTTCATGGAAAAGATTTTAGTTTTTGCCCATTGAGTATGATGTTGGCTGTAGGTCTCTCACATATGGCCTTTATTATGTTGAGGAATGCTCCCTCTATTCCCACTTTGCTGAGTGTTTTTATCATAACTGGGTGCTGTACCTTATCAAATGCTTTTCCCACATCTATTGATATGATCATGTGATTTTTGTCTTTGCTTTTATGTGATGTATTATATTTACTGATTTGTGGATACTGAACCATCCTTGCATCCCTGCGATAAATCCCAGTTGGTCATGGTGTATGATCTTTTTAATGTATTGTTGGATGTGGTTTGCCAATATTTTGTTTAGGATTTTAGTCTATGCTCATCAGCGATATTGGCCTGAAGTTTTCTTTCTTTGTTGTGTCTTTATCTGGTTTTGGGATTAGGATGATACTGGCCTCATAAAAAGAATTTGGGAGTCTTCCATCATTTTGGATTTTTTGGAATAGTCTGTGAAGGATAGGGGTTAGCTCTTCCTTAAATGCTTTGTAGAATTCTCCTGTGAAACCATCTGGTCCAGGGCTTTTGTGCATCAGGAGTTTTTTGATTACTGCTTCAATTTCATCTGCTGCTACTGGTCTGTTCAGGCTTTCTGCTTCTTCTTCACTGAGTTTTGGAAGTTTATATTTTTCTAGAAATTTGTCCATTTCACCTAGGTTTTCAAATTTCTTGGCATACAGTTCTTCACAGTAATTTCTTATAATCCTTTGTATTTCTGTGGTATCAGTTGTAATTTCTCCTCTTTCATTTCCAATTGTGTTTGTTTGGGTCCTCTCTCTTTTTTTCTTGATCAGCCTGTTTAAAGGCTTGTTGATTTTGTTTATCTTTTCAAAAAACCAGCTCCTGGATTAATTGATCCTTGGGATTGTGGTTTTAGTCTCTATGTCATTTAATTCTGCTCTTAGTTTTTTCCTTCCTTCTACTTGGTCTGGGCTGTCTTTGTTGTTGTTCCTTGAGTTCTTGTAGATTTAGGGTTAGGTTGTTTGTTTGAAATGTTTCTGTCTTTTTTAGGTAGGCCTGTATCACTATGAAGTTTGTTTTGTCCCATAAGTGTTGGGTTGTTTTGAGTTCATTTTCATTTGTTTCCAGAAACTTTTTGATTTCTTCCCTAATTTCATTTTTGACCCATTCATTGTTTAATAGCATGCTATTCAATCTCCATGATTTTGAGTGTTTTGGGTTTTTTCCCTTGGGGTTGGTTTCTAGTTTCAGTCCCTTCTGGTTGGAGAGAATGCTTGGTATGATTTCAATTTTCTGGAATTTGTCAAGGCTTGTTTTGTGTGCTATCATGTGGTCTATCTTTGAATATGATCCATGTGCATTTGAAAAGAGTGTATATTTAGCTTCTATGGGATGGAGGGCTCTATATATATCAGTTAAGTCCATTTCATCTAGGGCATTGTTCAATGCCACAATATCTTTGTTGATATTTTGTTTGGAAGATCTGTCCATTTTTGACAGTGGGGTGTTACAATCCCCTACTATAACTGTGTTGCTGTCAATATCTTTCCTGGAGTCCTATAAGATTTCCTTTATGTATTTGGGTGCTCCTACGTTGGGTGCATATATATTTACAATGTTTATGTCTTCTTGGTGGATTCTTCCCCTGAGTATCATGAAGTGACCTTCTGGGTCTCTCTTTATGGCCCTTTTTTGAAGTCTGTTTTGTCTGATATGAATATTGCTACCCTGGCTTTTTTTTCCTATCTGTTTGCTTGAAAAATTTGTTTCCAGCCCTTCACTTTCAGTCTGTGTAGGTCTTTTGTCCTGAGGTGTGGGTCATGCTTTTTTAATCCATTCAGGTATTCCATGTCTTTTGATTGGAGCATTTAATCCATTTATGTTTAAGGTTATTATTGATAAGTACTTATTCACTGTCATTTTCATACCTGTGTACCACCCCCCTTTTCCTTCCTTTCCTTAAAGCAGGCCCTTTAGCATCTCCTGCAATGCTAGTTTTGTGGAGGTGTATTCTTTTAGACTTCTTTTGTCTGGAAAGCTCCTTATTTGGCCTTCTATCTTGATTGAAAGCCTTGCTGGGTAAAGTAGTCTTGGTTGCAGGCCTCTAGCTCTCATTACTTGGAACATTCCTCGCCATTTCTTCTTGCTTGGAGCATTTCCATTGATAAGTCAGCAGCTAACCTTATTGGGGTTCCCTTGTATGTTACATCCTGTTTTTCCCTTGTTGCCTTTAAGATTCTTTGTCTCAAAACTTTGCTATTTTAATTATGATATGTCTTGAAGTGGTCTACTTTGGGTTCCTCTTGATTGTGACCCTCTGTGTATCCTGGATTTGTGTGACTTTTTCTCTCATCAAACTAGGGAAGTTTTCCATCATTATTTTTTCAAACAGGTTTTCTATCCCTTGCTCTTCTTCTTCTCCTTCTGGTATCCCTATTATATGAATATTATTATGTTTCATATTGTCTTGCATTTCTCTTAATCCCTCTTCATTCTTTCTGAGCCTCTTTTCTTTTTCTTGCTCTTTCTGGGTGTTTTTTTCTACTTTGTCCTCTAGCTCACTACTCTGATCTTCTGCTTCATCAATCTTGCTTTTGATTCCTTCTATTATGTTCTTCAGTTCAGAAATTGTATTCTTCATTGCCTCTTGGCGCTTGTTTACAGTTGCTATTTTCTTTTTCATGTTGATATACTTTGCAATGAATTCATTGTAGTTTCCCTGTAGTTTCTGGGAGCTCATTGTGAGCTCATTGAACTTCCTGATACCATTGCTTTGAACTCAATATCTGATAGTTGAGACTTGCCTCTATTTCATTTAGCATTCTTTCTGGGGCTTCCTCCTTTCCTTTCATTTGGGGATTGTTTCTTTGTCTTCCCATTGTTTGTGAGACTCTTCTTGTTAGCTTCAGCTTCTTAAATTGATCTGTTTACACAAGCTTTAGAACACCCTCCTCTCATTCACAGACTCTACTGCACAAATATTACATGGTGGGGAGACAACAGTGAGCTAAATATACATGGCCTCTGCTCTTAATGCAGTTTATATTCTAAAGTCAGGGAAACAGACAATAAACAAGTAAACAATAAAAGAGAAAGGCAAACTAATAATGTGAAAAGCTAGAAGAACAGAGTTCAAAGGGCAAAGCACAGGAAATGGCATGGCTAGTCTGAAGGACATAATGGAGGCCAGTCAGTGCAGTCTTGTGAGGGAGGGGGAGGTAGTCTGAAAGGAGGAGGGTTTTGTAAAGGGCTCTTCTCACGATCGTGTGACAGAGTGTATAGCAACATGGAAAAATACGTGTTAATAAAAAAGAATACAAAGTTATATATAAAAGTATAAGTAGAAATTATAGGAATAAGTGGAAAGAATACAAAACTATAAAATGATATCCGACATAGAGGATTATTATTGTTTAAAAAAAACACACAAATCGATTATGAATTCAGGGCTTAATATACTTTAAAATCTGTATAATAAATACTTTTGATTATAGTCCAAGGATATATATACTGCTACCTACCCGAGTAAAAGTTGATCCTTTGGATCCTGAGACACGTACACAAAATCCCTAGGTCAAAAATGGAGAGGTTAGCTCCAGTAATAAAATAAAGAAATCAAGAGGCAATTTATTTAAACATTTACTTTACCTCAAATATGCCTTTGGCTTATAACCCATGGCCAGAGCTTTTTCTTCTGCCATAATCAGCATTGCAGAGGCACCATCGGTCTGAAATGTTAAGCAGAACAATGATGTTAAATTCTTCAGCCTGTCTGGAGGTCTTTCTACAGCCATCTCCTTCTGTGTTCTGTTCCTGAACCTGCCAACTCGTTACGGTCATATGGTGATTCTATCTGACAAAACCCCTTCGTTTTCTCCATCAAACATCCCAATTCAAACATCCACACCACAGCGTGTTTGACCCCAATTTGGAAAATATTCCAAGTACCACAATTACCACAACAACAGACAAAGAGAATAGGTATTAAGTATATACATATTTATAAACATGCATTTGTAATAAGCTTAAAGCAAAAGTTGTTTACTTGTAGCACAGAATATCAGTAATTTCACGCATTAAAATGATCTGTGATTTATTTATTTTTTTAGCTGCTTCCTGCCTATGGCTTCTAGGTGATATTCTTCTACTAATAGTCTCCAAAAGCAAACCAATGGGAGAAGAGAAACAGGTAGGCAGCTGAGAACATTAGAACCATAGTCTTCCCTCTTTGGACACAACCCATGTGCTTTTTCCTAATTTATAATGGGGAAATTGGGGGACAAAGAGGTACCACTGGAAAAAAAAAGCCCTTTACGGAGACTTTAAGAGCTGGAAAAAAAAATCAAAAATTCCACAAAAGAAACTACTCCGCAGAGTTTGTAAAATAAAAGCAATTTCTACCACATTTTAACATATTTTCATGTTAAAAATATGGAGGGTGGCCACAGAGTCTGGAAACACAGCTTACTATACACAATGCATGGTTTATGGACATTACATTAGTCGGTATACCACTGTGCAAAACTGCAATGGATATGATGCAGTACACATTTCCAAAACCCACATATCTGTGATGTATTGCCTCTGATAATTTGTGTTTTTGGTTTTCAATAAATAAACCTGCACACTCCAGAAATAATCAAGGGGATTCAGATCTGCAAGTGTGGCCCACACCACATGGCCCTGTCACCCAACTTGGTTTTGGAAATGACCATCTAACCAGTCCTTTACCACTTAGGCTTAACAAGATGGTGCATCATCTGTTGGAGCTCCTCCAGGTACCTACCCTCAACCAAGAGCAGCCACTGAACAGTCACTTACCCAGGCCAAATATGTCAAGCATTTACCTATGTTTCTGGACATTATGTCCAGGGAGGGGAGATATGTTATAAAAGAAATACCGACCAGGTAGACTATATTCAGAAGATTACACCCAAGGTGGTAGGAGAAGGGAAACCACATCTCTTAGGCAGAAGAGAATAGGAATGATTAAATGAGGAGGAGCCAAAAAACAAGGAAGGACATGAAGCTACTTGCAAGTAAGTAAAATAACAACATAAGATGAGGGTATATTTATTTCATGATGGGGAAAATGATTTGGGAATAAAAAGCATCATTTTCTTTTTTTTTATTATATGATATTGATTATGCCATTACAGTTGTCCCATTTCCCCTCCTTCATTCCCCTCCACCCTGCACATCCCCTCCCCCTACTAACCCCTCCCCTTTAGTTTATGTCCACGTGTCACAAGTTCTTTAGCTTCTACATTTCCTATACTATTCTTGCCCTTCCCCTTATCTATTTTCTACCTACCGTCTATGCTACTTGTTCTCTGTACCTTCTCCCCCCTTCTCCTCCTCCTACTCCCCTGTTGCTAACCCTCCATGTGATCTCCATTTCTATGGTCCTGCTCCTGATCTACCTATCCACTTAGTTTGCTTTTGTTTTAGGTGTGGTTGTTAATAACTGTGAGTTTGCTGTCCTTTCACTGTTCATATTTTTTTATCTTTTTTTTTAGATAAGTCCCTTTAACATTTCATATAATAAGGGCTTGGTGATGATCAACTCCTTGAACTTGACCTTATCTGAGAAGCACTTTATCTGCCCTTCCATTCTAAATGAAACCTTTGCTGGATAGAGCAATCTTGGTTGTAGGTCTTTGGATTTCATGACTTAGAATACTTCTTTTCAGCCCCTTCTTGCCTGGAAGGTCTCTTTTGAGAAATCAGATGACAGTCCAATGGGAACTCCTTTGTAGGTGACTGTCCCCTTATCTCTTACTGCTTCTAGGATTCTCTCCTTCATTTTAATCTTGGCTAATGTAATTATGATGTGCCTTGGTGTATTCCTCCTTGGGTCCACCTTCTTTGAGACTCTGAGCTTCCTGGATTTCCTGGAAGTCTATTTCCTTTGCCAGATTGGGGAAGTTCTCCTTCATTATTTGTTCAGCTAAGTTTTCCACTTGTTGCTCTTCCTCTTCCCCTTCTGGTACCCCTATAATTCAGATGTTGGAACATTTAAAGATGTCCTGGCAGTTCCTAAGCCTCTCCTCATTTTGTTGAATTCTTGTTTCTTCATTCTTTTCTGTTTGGCTGTTTCTTTCTTCCTTCTGGTCCACTTGATTGATTTTAGTCCCAGTTTTCTTTCCATCACTATTGGTTCCCTATGCATTTTGCTTCATTTCACTTAGTGTAACCTTCATTTGTTCCTCTAATTTGTGACTAAAATCAACCAGTTCTGTGAGCATCCTGATCACCAGTGTTTTGAACTGTGCATCTGATAGGTTGGCTATCTCTTGGTCGCTTAGAAGTATTGGCTCTGGGGCTTTTAGCTGTTCTTCTGCTTGAGCCATAATGTTTTGGTCTGTTCATGCCTGTTATGTATGAGGGGCGGGTCAAGCCAGTTGCTGGGTTGTGACTGGGGGGGAGGTCAGAGAGAAAGCAATGGCATTTGTTCCACTCTCTCTTGAATTTCAGTCCCTTCTGCCGCTTCCCACAAGCAAATTGGGCCCTTCTGGTGCTGGTTCCCAAGTGTGTGGGCTTGTGTACATTGTAGGACCCTGTGAGTCTGTCTCTCCAATAAACTCCTGTGAGGCTGGGAGCCTCTCCCGGCACCTCGACCCCCGAAAGTTTTTCCAGTTGGTGCTTTTAGGCTTTAATTCCCGTCACTGGGGCCCTGGGTTGCACGGGCTGTATCACTGTCTGTTTTTTCTTTTGCCTGGTTTATCTGGGCGACACTATGTGTTCTTGGTCAGCCAGCCGCCTTGTGAGCCTTACTAGGTCTGCTCGTTTTGTCCCCATGCCTGCCCAGGTCCGCTAACCACTGCCTTTTCCTGCCAGGACCCCTCTCCGCCAGCCACCGACTCTGCCCCTCTTACCAGTCCGTATGAATGGTTCGTTGTTGTCAGACTTCGGTACATTCAATTTTCTGTCTGTTTTGGTTGTGTTTTTGTTTCTAAATGTTTGTTGTCCTAAAATTTGGTTGCGCAAGAAGGTACAGTATTTCCACCTATGCCTCCATCTTAGCCGGAAGTCAAAAGCATCATTTTCTAACACTCAGAGCTAGAAGAGTCATCTTGTCACTCTTTTTGCTCATTTTCCATGTCTTATAAGACTCCCCATATTCATATCCTATGTTCCAAAAATGCCTTTGCTCTCAGATCCCCTTGACTTTGCATTTGCTATTCCTTTTGCCTAGAATGCCTTTTACACATTTCTTGAAATGGCTATACTCTTCCCTCAAGATCTGCCGCTCAAGTGTTAACCTCCTCTGAAAAGCCTTTTTGACTTCCCCGAATACGTATTTTCTCTAACAGCCTACGCTTATGGCTATCACAATGCTTCCCACTCTATTACAATAATCTTTTTTTTTTCCTCCAGTGCCTAGTATAGGCACTCAACAACTTTTGACTACTTAAGTATTTGAGGACAACAGCCTTTTGTATCAGAATGGTGGCCAGACTAGATGACTCTAGGGCCTGAAAAACTCTCATTCTATTTTAACATTATCATTTTAATTAATATATTTGTAAGTCTCTATTCTTACTACAAATAGACAGGCCTACAACAGGGTTTTCTATCGAGCGTACAAAAATATAAAAGTCACCAGTAAACACATAGTTACCAGGAAAGAAGAATTTGCAGCTGTCACTGTGCCATAGGGCTTGACAAATGCAGGTTTTAGCTTGCCCATCTGCTCCAGGGAGGAAGGACGAATGCCATTATCTTTGGTAACTGTATCTCTTCCTATAAAAATATGAACTTTTTAACTCTAAGGAACAACAAGCATTATGTATCTTCTCTACAGAAATATGTTTTACAAATGAGAACAGCCCTAGCTCAGTGGATTGAGCGCCAACCTGTGAACCAAAAGGTCACAGATTTGATTTCTAGTCAGGACACATGCCTGGGTTGCAGGCCAGGTCCCTGCAGTGGTCCCTGCAGGTCCCCTGCAGTTGAAGGATATAAGAGACAACCAATCAATGTATCTCTCACACATTGATATTTCTCTCCCTCTCTTTCTCCCTCCCTTCCCCTCTCTCTAGAAGTAAAGAAATAAAATCTTTAAAAATAAAAATTACAAAAACAAGTGAAATGTAAATCATACCTATTAGCTAAAAATAAAGTCCTTTATAGTTATCATGATATTATCAAATTTTAAACTATACCCTTAAAACATTTGGAAAAAAATCTAAATAATTTAACAAAAAAGGGACACCCTATTTTCTTAAGATATTCATTCACATTTGGCTATTGCATACAGAAATCATATGAGTGAAGAAAAACAGGCATGTACATAAGAACTAAAATATATCAGGAAAATATAAAAGGAAATTCATATAAAAACTTCTCTCTTTAAAATATTTACCTATTGTGCCCTGACTGGTGTGGCTCAGCGGGTTGGGAATCAGCCCACAAAGCAAAAGGTTGCGGGTTTGATTCCCAGTCAAGGCACACGCCTGGGTTGCAGGCCAGGTTCCTGGGTTGGGGACACGCTGGAGGTAACCTACTGATGTTTCTCTCCCTCTCTTTCTCCCTCCCTTCCCTTCTCTCTAAAAATAAATAAATAAAATGTTCACCTACTGTTATACCATAAATTGAAACTTGAGTCCACATTTAAGCACAAAGGCTAAGTATTTTGGAAACAGAACTAACAGATGAGCCAAAAAGTCACTTGGGGTCTTGGAGTTTCAGGAGCAACTCAGACCTTCCTAACAAACATCATGAAATCCCCTTCACAAAGGAGAGCAAACTTTTTTACCTGGTACTTTGAAGGGCACAACGTCAGAAAGGAGTCCTTCGTCCTGCGCCTTCTTGGCCAGGCTATGCGAGCGCAGCGCATACTCGTCCTGCTCCAGCCGAGAAACGGCAAAGGCGGCAGCCAGTCGGTCTGCAGAGTGGCCCATGGTCTCATTGGTGGAGAACTCCGCCACCGCAGGGAGCTGGAAAGGAGCCGTACAGGATCAGGCACACTGTTCCAGGTGATCTACCAGGACTAGGGTTATCTGGGGGAGTTAAAATCTGCTATCAATCAAGACCAAGACAAGCAGAGCTCAATGGCAACAGGGCATCTCTAAGGAGGGCTCACAAACTCACATTTTCCAACCATTACCCTTTTTTTAAACCAAACAATTAACTGTGCCCTGTAACTATCAGAGCGTAAGTGAACCTGTGCTGTCTTACCTAATTCTAAGTCTCTGCAGTGAGCTGCTTTGGGAACACAAATCTTTATGCAAGAGTCCACCAGTCTTACCTCAGGTGTAAGGAAGTTCAATCTGAACTTAGAGATTAAAGACAGTCGCTGACCCAGACTCTTGGCCTTGTTGAGATCAAGCATCATTTTCCTCATTTTCCTCGAATGACGAATAGGGATGTCGGACATTAACTCCACTCCACCTGCCACGACCACATCAGACTGGCCAGAGGCAATCAAGCCGACACCTATAGGACACAGGTCAATGCACATGAACATTTTTTGAGAAATCAAAAGGCCACTGATAGTTTAAGCTTTTTTATTTAAAAGGTACAACATCTGTAATTAAGGGTCTTTATCTTTCCAGAAGGATTAGGATGATTTTTTAAATGACTAAAAATACATCCAATGTACCAGAGAAAAACAAGTTCCATTCAGGCCACACAAACACCTGAGGATACCTGGTGGACCAACTCACAAACCACAATCGTACTCTAAACCAGAACCTTTGGCATATTTTTTATGCTCCCAGCTTCAGTTTTCAGATATTTTTACTGTAAAGAGAATTTACATTTCTACTATAAGCCAGAGAAATTCTGGCTTTTGAGATGTAAATCAGCCCCCTCCCTCCTTATGGTCACTGGCAAGTGTGTTATTGCTGGAACTGGGAGTGAGCCCATGCTGGGTAGGTGAAGAGCCCCAGCCACTGCCCCTGGCTTCACCTCCTGCCACCCATGGGGAGGTGGCCCCACCTTGCCTTGAAGCTGCAGAGAGAACACATGACTGCTCTACCTCTCAGATTTCCTATCTTTTCACAATAAGGATGCTGCAAAATGTCCCACAGTTTTACTCAAGTTTGTTAGGAGAATGTGTAACTAATAATAAAAATTGCTGAGCTGTGGAGAGAAAGGAGAAGAGACAGCTGTACTATCTAAAGCAGTGATTTAGCACTTGGAGATGGTGGGCAGAGGAAGGCCACAATCTCCGTGGATCACTTCAGTGTCACCTGGCGTTAAAACTTAGGAGCTCACACACTATTCACGCCTCAGATTCAGAAGCACCTCCCTAGAAACATACTCCTCCAGTTGATAATACAAAGATTTAAATATTACCTTATTTTTAAAAAAACACAAATTCAGAGATCTGTGTTTATCACTTACTTCTGTTAAGAGTATTTTTTAACGACGGAATCAAAGACAAAAGAGAATTACCATGCGCCTTCTGCTTCCCCAAAACATACCTGTGGTCATGGCTTGATTGGCAGAGATGCAGGCCATGGTGACAGTGTGAGCAGGGGTCTTGTCAGAGAAGCCCGCGCCGAGGGCAGCCTTCAGAAGACACAGTGAATGAAACGACCAAGTTACACGTAAAGGACGCTTTGAGCACTACTTTTCCGTGTGCTGAGTCAGGAGAGGGTTTGAGTTTAATATTCTACACAGTAATATTTAAGATAAAATCAAAGCCATCACAGAAATGTTTTACTCATTTTTCACCTAGCTATTAATCGAGAATCACTCTATAAAACTCTTGGTAGCAAGTTTTTACTATGGTATACAAACCTACAACATATCTTCTGATTGCCTAGCAACGCTTTGCTCAGAGCCTTTGAAGATATCAATACATAATTTGATTTTAATGTATTTAAATGTTGAAATAAACCTAAAGTAAACCTGTTAAAAACACTTGATGAAATGGTAAAATATATCATAGGGTGGGGTCCTCATGATCTGTGCTCCTACAGTTCAAAGCCTTAGCAGCAAAAGCCATCAGATATGAAAAAAAATGTACAAAGAACCGACCACCCAGAAACAGTTCTCACCTACGTCCCCGCCCACTTATACTCCTCTCTACTCGACAGTCAGCCTCTCTCCGCCACCGCCTGCAGCCTCAGGTGGCACTCTGCAGATCCACCGTGAAGTCAAACAGGGAAACTCGCCAACTAGGCAGCAGTTCGGGTGGATGGAAGAACTTTGGAAAAATGCCCAAGTCACCAGTGAGCCCCTGACAACTGAGGGTTAGATTAGTTAATGCCTGGACGAGAGAGCTGGCCAGGATGACACAAGGGGCTTCAAAGAACAATCTGAGGGGAACTGAGAAAAACTGAGACCCCATATCAATCTTACAAAACTGGCCTCCATTATGATGGCACAGGAAAGTTAAATGTGAAGTGAACACCTCTATTATTTTACCTCACTATTTATTGGGGATATTAGGTTGCCAATAAACCAACAAATCCCTGACTCCATTGTTCATGTAAAGAATTAAAGCATAGGTACAACAATAAAATACTTATTTTTATAATATTAAAGCTTCCCTGTAAAAATAACACTCTCAATTCCCTACACTCCACCACTATCAACACTGTTTACTACGAAATTCTAACATTAGGGGGATTAATGTTTAGGGCCCTTTCCCTGAAACTATTTCACTACCCTCAGAATCTAAACTCTCCTATAATTTGGTAAAATAAACGTTTCCAAAGTCTAGATTAAAGAGGTTCAATGTTACTTAACTGATTTTCACCTTTATATTTATGCTCTCTGCATACTCCCACAATCTACAGAGATATAAATATGTTACAGTTCTGTACATGCAACATGACCTGACTCTGGTCTTTCCAGGTAGGTCTGATACTAAGTGACCAACTGATTTTGCTAAAAACTACCCTGCTGCCAACTACACCTCAGCTTCTCCATGTAAACCAATCCAGAATCTTCAGGGGGTGGGGAGAGCTCCTCAGTGGGGCAAGTGTAAAGGGCACTCAGGTCACCAGAGCCAATGCTCATGAGGTCCTTCCAAACCTGTGTGACAACACCCTTGGCCCCAGCTGACTCTCAGGACAGAAGGAGCTTTAAATAGAAGTGGATACTGGTGAGCCTGGTCCACGCGCTTCTTCTATTTAAAGTTGGAGCGGCTCTGACAGCAAGCTTAGGCCCTAGATAGCACACCAAGGAGCAAGGGGGAAAGGCGCCTCTTGGTAAAGTGAGAGAGCGGGGAAATATGCTTCAGTCAAGCCAGACTCCTGTGAACTAAGCACCAGGAGTTTTTTAGGGTTTCATATTAATTTTGTATTAACACGGATAATAAATTCCCTCGCTGAAAGTAATTCAGCTTTTAGGTGACACATCTATACAACTGAATCTTTCCCTGCAGCCACCGCAAAAATTACCCGGAGTACAAACAACTGGTGTCAGGATAGGACAGAGAAAGGGACTCTAGCTCACGTCAATCAATAGCTGAGATCTGCATATGGGTGTAAAGCTTCTAGGAAAATAATTAAAAGAGCCCTGGCTGGTGTGGCTCAGTGGATTGAGTGCTGGCCTGCAGACCAAAGGATCACTGGTTCAATTCCCAGTCAGGACAAATGCGTGGGTTGTAGGCCAGGTTCCTAGCTGGGGACATGTGAGAGGCAACTGACTGATATTTCTCTTGCACAGTGATGTTTCTCTCCTCCTTTCTCACTCCCTTCCCTTCTCCCTAAAAATAAACAAAAGCTTTTTTAAAAAATGTGAGGGCCCATGGAAAACATAAAAATCAAAGGAGGGGGGGAAAACCTCTTCCCGTTCTTACTTCTTTCCGGACTCCTGAACAATATACAGTTGACTTTGACGGCTGCAGTGATACCAGGCCCTCAACAGTTAGAACACCCACTGACACGTGAAAAGGTGGGGCAGAACCAACACTTCGGCCCTGCTCATTTTCCCTCCTCTCGGCTGACAGGGTGGAGTAACCGCCCTTACCACTGTACTGAACACAGTATCATAGCAGGCACAGACTAGAAATAGAACGTTTGGCACACTAAAATGTGCTGTGAAGCCGACCTTATCCAAATAATACTTTCAAACAAAAACAAAGCCCAAGAGATGTGTTTGTACTATTCACCACGAAATGCCTGTAAGACACATCACACAAGTTCCACGGTCTGTCCTTATCTTGGTTACCCAATGAGCACTGTGTGGAGTTATGCCAACTAGGGCAAAAGTGAACTCCCATAAAACAGTGTGTTAAAAAGTTGACCCGTGTGTCATTTAGGAGGTGGAAACAAATGAATAAGCAAGGCTACCTCCCACAAAGTCCATGTTAAGAAATAAGCTCTTTGCAAAATGTTAAAATTTTAAGTAAATTAGAAGCCACGCTCTAACATTTATACAAATCACATCAGCCTCACTCTGCTATAATCTCGACTTTCCTTAAGAAAACAGATAGACAAATTAACATTTTCCCAACCAGCTCAAATAACTGATTTGATTTTTACATAGTATAAATATATACTGAAGAATAATAATGAATATTGTTTAATATGCAAAAGAATACCATAAACCAAATGATGTACACTACATTAGTATAAAGTATAGTGTACATCATTCATTATTCAAGTTATAAAATCACACTGCAAGTCAGTTATAACTTTAGTTAGTGGATTTTAATAGCTTGTTAGAAAACATTTCATTTATCTATTTTTAAAGGGAGGGAGAAAGAGGAGGGAGAGAAACATTAATATGTAGTTGTCTCTCATGCAACCCCTACTGGGCACCTGGCCCGCAACCCAGGCATGTGCCCTGACTGGGAATTGAACCCACAACCCTTTGGTTTGCAAGCTGGTGCTCAATCCACTGAGCCACACCTGCAAGGGCTGGATTTTAATAGCTTTTAAAGAATGCATTCTATTAATTGAAATACAAATTGATTCTCCTATCAATCTCTTTAAACAATATAAAGTTTGTTTTACTCACCTCTCTGGCTACATTGCTTGTCTTCACTTCCTGTATAACTGTGCCAAAGATGATATAGTCGATAGTTTCCTTTGGGACACTGGTCCGTTGCAATAAACCCCTGAGAGTGGAAGTCCAAAGCAAAGAAACAGTCAACACATCACAGTGCTGCAACAGATCATTTAAAACACTGCGCTTCTTTCAAAAGATTAAGCCTTAAATTTAAAAGAGCAGAACCTGTATCTTTACCTTAATTTGACAAGCATGTGGCTGGAACCTTATCAAAGAAGAAATGAATGAAGGAGTGATTTAGAAAGTCAGCATGTAATGCTCAGTTGGCGATAAGAAGTTACACAGAAAGAACAAAAGAAATTTGGAATAGGATAAAATAAGTAAACACCGTAACAGTGGGAAACAGCGTTCAGTAAAAAGAGAAGAGACGAATATAAAACCAAAAAAAAAGTAAAAATTCCGGATATGTTAAAGTTAACATTTGTGTGTTAAATATAAATTTGAAGTAATCAATGCAAATATAAACATATTTCTAGTTCTCTCTCCACTGATAGAAACTAGAAGGAATAGGAATGAGCACACCTTGAATTCAGACTTGTTCTCACTGCTGTTCCCCATTAAAGGAATCAGAACATTTTAATAAATGACTGAGACCAGGTCTAGGGCAGGGAAAGTACAAAGTGAACCTCACTGATCTCCTTATGCTGGAACCAGGAAAGCACTCAAAGACTTCTGGGACCATATCAAAAACAGGAATACAGGTGTTCAGATTTGTCAAAACTCATCACATAGTGCCCTTAAAATTTGTGCACTTTATTATGTGCAAATTATCCCTCAAAAAAATAACATTATACTAAAAAAACAAAGGGGCACAGGAGCCAACTGAAGGAATTCCAGCAGTTAAAATGTGAGATAATCTGAATAACATTATACTAAAAAAACAAAGGGGCACAGGAGCCAACTGAAGGAATTCCAGCAGTTAAAATGTGAGATAATCTGAGCTACAAAAAGAATAATGACTAATCTTGGCTATAACATAAGAAATAAATAAAAATCTGTTAAGTCCTCATCATAAAAAAAAGAGAAACTGTTCTTTATACAAAAATACCAGCCAATAAATATAGGAGGAATAACAGAATTAGAAATATCACAAATCCATAATAACTGATTCAGGCAAAAACTATCAATAAAGGCTAAAACCGTTTGGTTCGAGGTTGCCAGGGAACAGGATAGTCACATGGTGCTAAGATGTGACTGTCCTGTTATAGATGACTCATTAACTGCAAAGGGGAACGTGATACCTCACTTAAAATCTGGCTGCATGAACACCCGGCTCATGTGGTTAGATGCAGTGTCACGCCTCATGCCCCCTGATGCAACACCTGTGTGCTCTATCCGTGATGTATCACCAAAAACCCCAAAATATTTAACCTGAATACAATCAAGCCTCAAGATCTGACTCCCAGTTTATAGAAAATTCATGGAGGAAAGTTCAACATCATCATGAGAAAATATCAAGAATAAGGGATATTTTGTATAGCAAGCCTGGACCTTTCAAAAAATTATTGTCATAGGGAAGTGAGTGGAAGGAGAAAGACATTTTCTAAATTAAAACAGAATAAAGAGGCATATCCATAAGTAATAAGAACGGTGATTGGGTCCTGGTTTCACAAAAACTATTAACAGAAAAGACATTCTTGGAATAATTGAGAGGGACTTGACTATGAACTCAATATTAAACATTATCATGAAATCACTGCTATTGTTTTAGCTATGGTAATGGTATCACGGATAGCAGAAAAGGTCCTTACTCTTTGGTGATAAACACCAGAGTGTTTAGGGCAGAGGTATTTTTTAAAAGATTTATTTATTTATTCATTTGTTTTTAGAGAGAGAGGAAGGGAGGGAGAAAGAGGACACAAACATCGATCCTCTCACACACCCCCAACCAGGGACCTGGCCTGCAATCCAGGCATGTGTCCCAATCGAGAATCGAACTGGTGAACTTAAGGTTTGCTGGATGATGCCCAGCTCACTAAGCCACACTAGTCAAGGCATTTAGGGCTGAAGTATTAAGATGTTGACCATTTACTGTCAAATGCTCCAAACTGTACGTTATAGATACAGCAAGTACGGCAAAATGACACCAATGATGAAATCTAGGTAAAGGGTATTCCTCCTAGGAATTCACTGCATTATTCTTTCAATTTTATTGCACATTTCACATTTTTTTTAATTACAAGTTGAGGAAAAACCTGCCAACTGCCAGCCTGGGACTATAATCAGAAACAGGAAAATAAACTGGCTTTGAGGAAAAGATCACTTTCTTTTTAATATGTGAGCTGGAGGTGTCAAAGAAAACAGGTCAGATTTAGAGATCTGTGAGTCCTCAAGTTATAAAAAAAAGATTAAATAAATGAGATATTTAAGAAAAACATGTACACAGAGATATTCGGAGATCTAAGGACTGAAACTTGCAAAATGTCTTTAAAAAGAGAAATAAGAAGAATACTAGTTTTGTTTTGTTTTTTGAAGTAGAGAAGAATCAGTCAGGAGCTGGAAGGGAAGTCATAAAGGCATAATATTGAGAAGTCAAAGGAAGACAATTTCAAGTGGCATGTGAAATGCGACAGAATGTAAAGAGACTGATGCCTGAGAAAAGACTGGTGAATTTAGTGATTACAAAGTCACTGCTACTAAGAAAAGCTTCCAAAGTATAGTTACTGTAGAGCAGTGGGGATGGAAATGATTACTGTGAGATTAAGGAGAATAAATGGAATAACAACTGTTGCTTTTATTTTTTCTTTCTTTTTGTTAATCCTCACCCCAGGATATATTTATTAATATTAGAGAGAGAGGAAGGGGGAGAAAGAGATTGAGAAAGTGAGAGAAAGAGAGAGAGAGACATCGACATGAGAGAGAAACACTAATCAGTTGCCTCCTGCATGTGTCCCCACTGGTAATGGAACCCACAACCTAGGTATTTGTGTGCCCTGATCAGGAATTGAACTCACAACCTTCTGGTATATAGATCAATGGTCCAACTAATTAAGCCACCCAGACAGGGCTGCTTTCATTGATTCTTTAAATCTGGCAGGAACAGAAGAACAAAACAGATGGGCAGAAAGATCAACCGAAGTTTCAAACTAAGAAAAAACCTATGGCTGGTTGAAGATACAAAGGCAAAAAAAAAGCATCAGTGGAAAATAAATGAGATAATGCCCTACATTCACTAGCTGCTTGAATTTGGGTAGCACCTGTGGCTAAAATTAAGAATAAATAGTCCTGGCTGGGGAGGCTCAGTGAATTGAGTAACACCCTATGAATGAAAAGGTCCCTGGTTTGATTCCCAGTCAGAGCACATGCCTGGGTTGAGGGCCACGCCCCCAGTTAGGGTCATGCGAGAAACAACCAATCAATGTTTCTCTCACACACTGATGCTTCCCTCTCTTTCTTCCTCCCTTCTCTTCTCTCTAAAATTAAATAAATAAAGAATTTAAAAATAAAAATAATAAATGAATCTTGTAAAAGCTAACAAGTATTTTCTTATCACATAAAAGTTAAAACATACTAGATATGGAAATTCTATTAATAAACATGCTATTTCAACTGAAAGCTGAAGGAAAGTGCTTTTAATGAAACTGCATTTACTTACGAAAGTGCTGCTCTAGCCAAATCATGTGGCATCAGGTCTTTATATCTGAAAGAAAGTAAATAATTTAAACCCAAAGCCTAGAATTTTACTAAATTTTTTTCCATTCTATTTGAAATCCCTAAAGACATCCTCTAACCTATGCTGCTGCAAATGCATGTCTTTACTATCTGAAGCAGTCCAGCTCTTCAAATGAAGATACAGTGTGACTTGCTATCTGTCATCCCAAAAAATCTGGTAAAGCTTAACTCTGACCGAGTGAAGAATCAAAAGCAATCTGCCCAATATGTTACTGTTCAGCATGACATCCGTCAAATATTCTTTAAATCCCACCTTTTGAATTCTCCTGTTTAAAATAGTATTTACTTATTATTTGTATCTTCGGTGATGCCTACAGGGGCATGAAGGATATATTAGGACATTTCAAGGAATGTTTGGTATTGAACTAATTTGAGCTTTATGAAAGAAATGGAAAGACAGTATGGAGTTCCTTTACTCCTCTTCCTCAAATGCTAGTATCTTAAACGACCAAGAGGCAATCGTCAAAACTAAGAAATTAACATCGGCATAATACATTCACTAAGCTACTAAACTTTATCTGCACCTCACCAGTTTTTCCACTAATACCCTTTAAATGTTCTGTTCCAGAATCCAATCCACACGTTTTGTTGTCATGCCTCCTTAGTCTCCTCCAATCTGTGAGTTTCTCAGTCTTTCCTTGTCTTTCATGACCTTGACACTTGAAGATTAGGGTTATGGATTTGGGAAAAGAATATCATAGAGGTAAAGTGCTCTTATTGTTCCATATCAGAGTGTACGTACTATCAATATGACTTATTAACGGCAATGTTAATTTGTCCAAGGTGGGCTTTGCTAGTTTTCTCTACTATTAATGTTTTTCCCTTTCTTTACTCGATTTGTTAGAAGTGAGTCACTAGTCTGGTCCTCACTCAAGGGGAGGGAAATTAAGCTTCACTTCCTAGTAGAAGAAGTAACAAAGAATTTGTGAACGTATGTTAAAATCACCACAGTAATTAATAAATATTTTGGGAGAGAGAGGAAGAGGCTATGCTACTACCTTGTTTCTTCTCAACATTTCTTATCCACCGATTTTAGTGTTAATTCATAGATTCTGCTGGTAGCGATGATTACTGTGGTGTTCTAATGCAGATTCATTTATTTTCCTATTCCTTCTATATTTATTAACTGAAATCCTTCTGTAAGAAAGATTTATCTTTCCCTCTCATTTATTTATTTATACAACATTTATTTATGTCAGATGGGACTCATGGATATTTATTTTATTCTTTGGCTTATAATGCAATACTATCATAATTTATTTGATTGACCAAACTGTTCCAGGCTTAGTCATTGGAAGTTACTTCAGGTTGGTCTTATGTTCTTTTCGACCTTTTCTGCAGCCATCCTTTTTTCTTTTAACCACTTCTTCAAGTTCTGGCACAACGAAATGTTCCAGGCTGCTCCTGCATTTCCTCTGGCCCAACCTAGCAGTCATCCCTCCAGGGAGTCAAGTTCCTTATATTGAAAAACAAGACCTAAGTGTAAACTCTGTTTGTTTGTTTAAATGTCCAAATCTAAATCCCCTTTACTTTTAGGTCAAATATTTAACCGTTAGATTGAATTAGAAGATTAATTCTTTAAATTACTGGAATTAAAAACCTAAAAATCTAAAATGTTTTTATTTTCACTGCAAATCACAAAAGAATCACCAGTTTTCCAATTTTTTTTTTCAATTCCCTCAAATTTAGACCAATATAATTTGGGGGAAAGTTGTGTCATTTTTTAAATCATAAATTACTGTCTTACAGTCTTTATCTTCACTCTCCTGGACCCCTCTCCCAGGAGGACTGACAGACTCTCACATCCCCCTCCTGGAGTCTATTCTTAGGAGTATTTCCTAAATGCCTCACCTGTTAAAGTACCTGTTCTAACAAGTATCACTCCAGTTAAGAGCAAAGTTTCTTCAAATTGAACAGAAAAATGATCTTCCATCTAGAAAATGATTTTTCCATCTAGAAAATGATCTTCTAGTAGAGTTTTTTGTGATCTCAATTATAACACCAATAATATACCTAAACTATTTGACTTCTTTATAAATTTTCCCCTGTATATTATTTTAGTCACTTTTATTGTTTATATGAACACTGTCTTAAAATTTTTATTCTTCCTTCCCTATTAACTATCATTTCTTATATTACTCAAAGTTTATCTATTCTCTCTACTACTAAATTGTTCATAAACTTTCTTTTTTTCAATCAGGATTCTGAATTAAACTACAACCTAACAATAAAAAATGAATGGAACAAAGTCTATACTAATGTGCTGAATATCACGAATCAACCTTTCTGCAAATACTAATTACCAAAAAATAATGTTTAAATAAATAATTTAGCTGAGCATGTTCATATTTTTAACAGCTAGTAAAACAGTCACTATAAACATCTACACAGTATACAAACGGCCCTTTCAAAAAAATGTCTTCCTAGCCAAGAACTTTCTCTTGATCAAACTTTCCTTTTACTGCTTAGTACCAAGAGGATCCCATCTCCTCACTTTCCTGCCACTAAAGTTTCAGACTCTTTCCCTTACTACTGTTGTGTCACTATAGGTGATTATAGAAACACTGTCAAATGGGTTATTATATTGAGAAAAGACGGTCAGAGAAACTGTGCCACCATTTTCTTGTAGCATTGCTTCTATAAGAAAATACTCTCTAGAAACTAAGTCATCAGTTTAAAAATCAATGTTTACTGTCTGTGGATGTATCTCTACATGCATGCACGTGGGTGTACATCTTCCACAATTAATGGTATTATACACGCTACTTGCTGTTTTACACTTAACATATCTTTAACATCTTTCCATATTAGTACATAAAAATACGTCTCCTTATTCTTAGCAGATGCCTAACTATCCCCAGTGTGTTTTTAAGTTCATTACCAAAATCTGTAATCAGCTTTGGCCAGACTAAGCTTCACTTGGGCACAGAAAAATCTAAGAAGAACTGCAATTTGGTTCTAGGGAATTTTCGGGCTGGTCTAGCATCGTTCTGGTTCTGTTAATATATTTTGGGGGTTGTGCTATGTCAGGGTTTGGACCAGCCTATCAACTCTAATTCTGATCATTTCCAAGAAGCCAAAGCAGTGGATTAGTGGCCCTTCAGAATGCCCATGGGCCCATGTCCTTGGTATTCCAATTTCTGAAGAGGCACAAAAACAATGTACTTACCTCCAGACAGGAAAGAATATCTCTGCTGGAAGCAAGCTATCGGGACCCACATTAGGTTTGCAAAGCAGAGCTAGCTCAGCTACCAGTATAACAAGCCAGTTATACAGGCTTGTTAAAAGATAAAAAATAAATTTGCCATATTATTTCACCACTGCCTTGACTTATTCTGTATTAATTTCTGAAAATGTTATATATATATATATTAATTAGTCCATTAACCATGATATCACCTACATTTACAAAGACCATTTTTAACAATGCCTTAAAAGAAGAAATAAATAGACTGTGAGGTGAGGGACATGTTAATTAACTTGATTGTGGTGATAATCACACAATGTACATTGTATATCTTTTAAAAATACATAGCCTAAAAAAAAGAAAAAATCACAGCCTAAATTGACACAGTTTTTATGTGTCAATAATGCATCAACAAAGTGGGAGGGGGAATAATCATTTTATACGTACGAAGTGCCTGACAGCAAAAATGGAATGCGAACACCATCAACCACCACGATGTTTCTCAGATTGGGTTTTGCCAAGGTTTTCTTCGATTTAGGCTGGGCAGCTTTAATAAAAAGTTCAAAGAACTATTAGTTAACATATACAAAGTCAGATGACCTTTTACATTTCTAAAGATAAACATTCTACGAAGAATTATATTATTCAATGCCATTCACCAAACCACTTCTATATATGTGTGTGGTTGTGTTTGTGTGTGTGTGTGTGTGTGTGTGTGTGTGTGAGTGAGTGAAGACTAAGAAACTCTCCTGGCCAAGATGGAGGCATAGGAGGAAACACTGTGCCTCCTCACACACCCAAAATTAAGGACAGCAAAGATTTAGAAACAGAAACACACCCAGAACAGATAGAAAACTGAAATGTATGGAAGTCTGACAACCATTCACCCAGACTGTTAAGAGGGGAGGAGTTGGCGGCTGGCAGAGAGGGATCAGAGGGATCACAGCAGCAAAAGGCAGTGGCAGCCAGACCCGGAAAGGCAGGCAGCGCAGGGCTAGCAGACCCCAGGCTCGGGGAGGAAACGAGCAGAGCATGCAAGGTGGTTGGCTGTCCATGGTCGCACATTCGTACTCAGATAAACTAGGTGAAAACAGGCAGCAAAACAGACAAAGCAACCCTGGGCCTCAGCAATGGAAAATAAAGCCTAAAAGCACTGATTCAAAAGGTGCCAGGAGAGACTCCCAGCCTCACAGGGGAGTTCACTGGAGAGACCCATAGGTTCCTAGAATGTACACAAGCCCACCCACCCAGGAACCAGCACCAGAAGGGCCCGATTTGCTTGAGGAAAGTGGCAGAGGGGACTGAAATCCAAGAGAGAGCAGAGCAAGCACCATTGCTCCCTCTCTGACCCCGCCCCCACATACAGCATCACAACCCAGCAACTAGGTTGCCCCACCCTGGTGAACACCTAAGGCTCCACCACTCATATGTAACAGGCGTGACCTGAACAAAAATGGCTCAAACAGAAGAACAAATCAAAGCCCCAGAGCCAATACTTCTAAGCGACCAAGAGATAGCCAACCTATCAGATGTGCAGTTCAAAACACTGGTGATCAGGATGCTCACAGAACTGGTTGATTTTAATCTCAAATTAGAGGAACAAATGAAGGCTACACTAAGTGAAATGAAGCAAAATGCACAGGGAACCAATAGTGATGGGAAGAAAAGTGGGACTCAAATCAGTGCAGTGGACCAGAAGGAAGAAAGAAACAACTAAACAGAAAAGAATGAAGAAATGAGAATTCAAAAAAATGAAGATAGGCTTAGGAACCGCCAGGACATCTTGAAATATTCCAACATCTGAATTACAGGGGTACCAGAAGGGGAAGAGGAAGAGCAACAAGTAGAAAACTTATTTGAACAAATAATGGAAAATTTCCCCAATCTGGCAAAGGAAATAGACTTCCAGGAAGTCCAGGAAGCTCAGAGAGTCCCAAAGAAGCTGGACCCAGGAAGGAACACACCAAGGCCCATCATAATTACATTAGCCAAGATTAAAATGAAAGAGAGAATTCTAGAAGCAGCAAGAGATAGGGGGACAGTCACCTACAAAGGAGTTCCCATCAGACTGTCAGCGGATTTTTCAAAAGAGAACTTCCAGGCAGGCAAGAAGGGGCTGAAAAGAAGTATTCCAAGTCATGAAATCCAAAGACCTACAACCAATATTGCTCTATCAGCAAAGGTTTCATTTAGAATGGAAGGGCAGATAAAGTGCTTCTCAGATAAGATCAAGTTCAAGGAGTTGGTCATCACCAAGCCCTTATTATATGAAATGTTAAAGGGACTTATCTAAGAAAAAGAAGTTAAAAAAATATGAACAGTGAAAGAACAGCAAACTCATAGTTATTAACAACCACACCTAAAACAAAACAAACTGCCCTGGCTGGTGTAGCTCAGTAGATTAAGTGCGGGCCTGCAAACCAAAGGATCGAGGTTTAATTCCCAGTCAGGGTACATGCCTGGGTTGCAGGCCAGTTCCCAGGAGGGGACTCAGGAGAGGCAACCATACACTGATATTTCTCTCCCTCTCTCCTTCCCTTCCCCTCTAAAGATAAATAAATAAAATCTTAAAACAACAACAACAAAAAACCCAAAGTGGACACCTTAAACAGGAGCAGAGCCACAGAAATGGAGATCGCATGGAAGGTTATCAACAGGGGAGTGGGAGGAGGAGAAGGGGGGAGAAGGTACAGAAAATAAGTAGCATAGACAGTGGGGAGAAAATAGACAGGGGGTGGGCAAGAGTAGTGTGGGAAATGTAGAAGCTAAAGAACTTGTGACACATGGACATAAACTAAATGGGGGGAATGGTGGGGGAAGGGGGTGTGCAGGGTGGAGGGGAATAAAGGGGGGAAATGGGACAACTGTAATGGCATAATCAATAAAATATATTTTAAAAAAGACTAAGAAACTAACATTTATGAATTTGCAAATAATATTTAAGGTAAATACACAGATTATACTCAATGATGAGGGTATGTATGCTATTAATAAAACTGTTTCTTTTTATTAAGTGATTAACAATCTATTATATCAATATCATACTGAGCAACCAATTTGATAAATAAGCCGTTCCTTAATAATAGAAGCAAAATAACTGATGTTGTTAATTCTTTACATAGCTTAATACTCTTGCTTTTCAATAAAGAAATATAGTATCAATGTGAATGAAAAGGAAGAGGTAACACAAGAGATTTTAGAATGGAAGGTATCTTGATGACCAATCAGACATAGAAAGAAAAAAAAAAGGGAAACAGGATTGTAAAGAAATCTTAGAGACAAAGAAAATCTAGCTACTCTACACTGAAGAAAGATGATCTCATGTTTAATTAAACATGCTATTTTTAAGGAGATGAAGAGACATACAAGAGGACATGTCCGCTTGACAGGTAGCTAGAGATGCAAAACTGAAGCTCCAAAGAAAAGTGAGGTGCAGGTGGGACAGCCATGACATATGTGCAGCTTTGTACAGACAAAAAAAGGAAAGACATATTTTGAAATGCCTGCTCACCCACAGCCCCCTCTAAAGGGTATTGCCCTGCTACAGTCCCCGCCAGAAGCAGCCACACACGCTGTGTCCCTACGTCCACAGCCAAAGCTGAATGGAGTCAGGACAAGTGATGGACCACCAAATGTCAATCTGCAGAGTAGTTAATCAGTAACTGACGTCATCCACCTAGAAGTGATAAGCTGTGCCCCTTGGACTCTCTCTTAGGAATCTAAGCACAGAAGCAGAAGCGCAGAGAGAAACACCAACTAGCTGACACTGAAAGGATGCCATGAGGAAGAACCAGGGTTTCTGCTGCCCCACAACTGTGGTTTACAAATGCCTTCGGTGAGCCAGTCTGTCTGAAAGCTGAGGATGGACTTTGGTAACTGGATTCAAAGGAAATGGAACATTAGTTCTATTCTATTTAGATTATTTTGTTCATATTTTGAACAAGCAGTCACTAATTTAAAAATAAGGAGACTCGGGCAATTCCAACAAAACTAGAATTACTGTGTTTTTTTTAGACAAAGAAACTAAAACACAAGGAAGTAAAGTGACCAGCTCGAGGCCCCGCTGCCTGGAAAAAAGAAGGCCTGAAACAGAGCAGGGGCCTTCTGAGCCCTGGTGAGGTGCTTTTCCTACTGCGTTATCATCCCTGATAAAACCAAAGCCAGAAGCAACAGCTTGATACAGACCTGGCAAGGAGAGGACAGTATAAATTTGTTAGGGTGTTTTTAGCCTTGGCCAATGAAGACACACACCTACAGTAGGTTCTGCAAAATACGTTTTCAACAGTGAAGATGTCTAACTCACTGGGTTTACCTAGTGTCTAAATGGCCATGTAAAAATCGACAAATTTCCTTACTTTTTCATTCCACACTGACCCAACCACCTTCTTGTATTACCTAGTTTCCCAGCTGTCCCTATTTTAAGAATGCATCCTCTTGTATATAGGACAAGATAGCCATTAACAGAGAAGCCTATCACTAACTGCAGATTTAAAATGTCAACCCGTGATCGATAACAGTCTCAAAAGTGTTAGCTAATCATCTCCAGGACTGATAGCCAATGGATGAATAAACTGACCAGCAAGGTTCAGGGAACCTCCATAACTCCATCCACCTCCAAACCCCAGAGCACGGCCTCCTGTCAACGTCCTCGAACCCAACCCCACACCATGCATCATCATTACTGATTGGCCTTACATTATTCTAATTTAAGAGCAACAGTGATATTCATGTTTCTCATAAAAGAGAGAAATCTAGCAAACTAGTTTTGGGTTTCATTCAGAATTTACAAATCTAGAATCTAACATTCAAATTGGAAATGTTTGGGGCCCTGGCCAGGTAACTCAGTTGGAGTGCCGTCTGTATATGCCAAGATTGCCCTTTCGGCCCCAGTCAGGGCACACACAAGAATCAAACAATGACCCTGGCTAGTGTAGCTCAGTGGATTGAGCGTGGGCCTGTGAACCACACGATCACGGTTCGATTCCCAGTCAGGGCACATGCCTAGGTTACAGGCTAGTTCCCAGCAGGGGATGCACAAGAGGCAACCATACATTGATATTTCTCTCCTCTCCTTCCCTTCCTCTCTAAAGATAAATAAATAAAATCTTTAAAAAAAAAAAAAAAGAATCAAGCAATGAATGCACAGATAAACAACAAAGTGATGTTTTCCTCTCTCTCTCAAATCAATACATTAAAAATTTTTTAAACAAACAAATAAATAAATAAATCAGAGATGTTTATTTTACAAGTTAAAGTACCTGGTGCTGCTCGTAGCTGGGAGGAACAGCTCAGAGGTCTTATAGCTGAAAGACAAAATAAAGTGTTTACCAAAAAAATACAATTCAATGTCTGTGTAAGATGCTTACAAATCCAAACCTAATGTTAAAAAAGAAAAGAACAAACTCAACTTACAAAATCTGAAGGCCCATTGTGATGTGCTGGGAAGGTTTTTAAAAGTGTAAGTCAAGATGGAAGTCATAATGAAATCTGAAAAGGACAAACACACATCCTGGGTTATTCGAGTCATTTACAGCTATATTGTAATCCATGATCTCTGATAACCTCACCCATGGCTACTACAGATTTACTAGTCCTCGGCTACTGCTGCAAAATTTAACCTATTACCAACTACCCTTCCTCTAATATTCTTATAACTACACTGATAGAGCTTTCATAGTACACAAATCATTACTCTAAGCATTAACTCTAGTCCTAACAATGACCTGTGAAGTCGGCATGATTATTACACCTCTGTTAAGGGATGAGAAAACTGAGGCACACAGGGATTGGCAACTTGCACACAGATCCACAGTAGTAAGAGGCAGAAGCCACCAATATTAACTTCCTGATTTTTAAATTTGTATTGTAATCATACAGAATGCCTTGAGGGATGTTTGCATTTCAAGGGAATACACACTAAAGTATTTAAGGATGGTGCAATGTCAGCAACTTACTCTCAACTGCTGTAAGCAAAAAGTTCATGTACTACACTTGGTACTTTTTTATAAGCTTGATATTGTCTCAAAATAATGAAAATATGAGCCCTACTAAGCACACCATTAAAGCCTGTAAAGCAGTTTGAAAGTAAAGTGAAACATAATGATACACATGTATGTACATACTGACATGGAAAGGTATCCAGGATACGTATAGTAAGTGAAGAAATAAGCTGCAAAACAGTTTGTATAGTAAGACTCCCTATGACACAGACAGAAAAGAAAGTCCATTAAGCCAAGAGTCTATACGTGGAAGGGATAAAGAGGGACTTTCATTTTATATTCTTCTGACTTAAGAATTTTTATGAGTGTTTCATTTTTTTACATACAGTAGAGCTCCAGTTTTATTTAAAATCTACATTTAAACATGATCAAAAAATGCTTATCAAAATGTTAGTAATTGTCATCTGAGTGGTGGAATTATAGATGTATTTTTCTTTAGACTTTTCCGTAGTTTCTGAAAAAACAAGTTACACAGAATATACGTTCCATCAATAATTAATAAAAAATTGGGAGAGATTTCAAAAAAAAAAAGTAATAGGCAAACTACCCTATGGGAGGGCTGACCCTCGTCATTCGCTCTAAACTTTAGGACACAGACCCAAGGATTTGGGGGGCATGGAAACTGTAGTGTAAGGCTCTACTGAGTGTGGAGCCATGGAAAGCTGAATGAAGTTCAGCCACCTGGGAACAAGGGAAAGAAAGAAGGGGCTCAGCAAGTAAAGACAAGATGGGCTGGCCCCGACAGCTCAGGATTAAGATATCATCATTAAGACACAATGTAATGCTCAAGAGCACAGACTCTAAAGTCATCCCATCTAAATCCAAATCCTGGCTCCACCCTAGTTGTATGACCTTAAACGAATCACTTAACCTTTCTCTGTTTTAGAATTAACATAATTCCTTTGCAAAATGCATCTGTAAGAGTAGATAATTCCAGTACTTACCCTGTAGGGTTGTTGTAATAACTAAATTAATATATATAGAGAGAAAACATTTAGAATAATACCTGATATAGTAAGGGGCATACATGTGTTTGCTATTAGTATTAGTGGGTGGTGTACTTGGTTTCCCTCTATATAAACCATAGTGAGAAACAACATTTCTGCCTTGACGGAGTTCACTATTTATTGCAAATACAGGGAACAAAAAAGTCAAGAGCCAACTGTAACACATGGGCCTCTAACTGATAACAGTTGTTGCATCTCTTAAGAGCCTAGGGCAAGATAAAGCAATTTATGACAAGAAGTCAATGTGGGTTTGCAAAACCTAAGCTACTTACTCTCTGGCTCTTTACAGAAAAAGGCTGCCACCACTGATCTGAATCCTAAGTGCTACAAAAATCTTATAAATTAGAGGGCTTTTGGAGGTCACCAAGAATCCTTTCTGGAAAATTAAATAATCACTGGTCATCCCATTTTTGCCTAAAGTGCTCAGAGTGATGGAGAGCTCTCTATTTGACCTGAGTTTTAAAGACAAATCTCTTTTTTCCACACTCATTTCAGCCTCAACTTCCCTGCCGATTCCCCCTGCCCCTTCTTGCTCCCTCTGGTGTGGAACTTTCAAATGTGCTGAACAGTGAAATGCAGATTTATGTCTGAATTCTGCCGCTGCCTGCCACCTACCAAAAATTTACATAAACTCCCGGAGCCTCCCAAATTTCATCTAGAAAGTCCAAATAACAATAATTCTAGGACTGTGCGGATTAAATGAGATGCCATGAGAGTGCCCTCAACGCTACTTGCTTCGGGAATCAATCAGCGAATTTGAGGACTCAAGCCCATCTTTCCCGAACAAAAATAGCTATTGTGCAATCATAGAGTCCTTGTCTAGAAATTAGTAGACCAAGGCTCTAGTCCTGTTTCTGCCACCTGCGGCCATGGGTAAAATCACTCTTTGTGATTCTGGGGCTTGGGTTTCCTCAGCGATAAAATGAAGGGGATGAACGATCAGATAAATACACGACCAGGTCCCTTCTGGGTTGGAAAACCCTCTGAAGCGTTGGATACGGTCCTCCGAAGAGGATGGGGGGGGGGGGGATGTCTCCTTCCAAAATCGAATCCCGAAAGGTCACTTAAGGAGCCAGTCCCACCCTTGGCAGCAAGAATCCGGGTAAACCCGCGGGGCCTGTTCTGAGCCTCCACAGCCGCTGCAAGCAAAGCCCAGCGCTGTGAGCCGACACACACACAGCAAGGAGTTCGTTCACATGCGGTGGAAAATTAAAACACAGGTGACACCGCTGCTGGGAGCTACAGACAGAATGCCAGGTCCCGTTCCCCGCACTAATCGATTTGGTCCTGGAGCCCTCGGCGGGCGGAGGAGCTTTCTTCCGCTGGCTGGAGCCCCACTCCCCGGGGCGGGGGAGGTGGCCGCAGGCAATGGAGCAGCAGGCTCGGAAAAACTGTGCATCTCGCGGAGGAGAAGAGGCCAGGCAGAAAGCCGAGCGCGCCTCCGGTCTCACCTGCGTCTGCGACAGCTCCCGCTCCCGCTTGCTGGCAAGGTTCGGACAGGAGTGACAGAACGAGAACGGACCAAGAGGCGGGTCCTGCCTAGGAAGGTCCTCACCCCGCCGGCGCGCTCCGGGACGCCCCGGGCCTTTGGGCTGTCCGTCGGACGCCTGACTGAAAAACCCGGCACTGGGCCGCCTTCTCGATGGGCCCCCTTCCTTCCAGCGGAGAAAGAGTCCTTTACGCTCCGTAAGCCAGAAATGAAGGGCAGGTTTAAGGGGCCGCCGGCAATTTAGCATCGCGGTTTTAGTCAGGCAGTGCGTCGGACGCCTCCTCGGGGCCAAGCTGCGGGAAGAAAAGTGTTCAGCTCGGCCCCCCGCACTTGAACTCTTTCCACTTTCGTCCTCTTCTCCCCAAGATGGTGGCCTCTCGGGCAATTGGCAGCCTCAGACGCCTCTCGAATGCCTCCAGGACGCTTCGCTGCCCAGGTGAGACCGGCTGAGGGTGCCCCTGCACCCCGGACAAGACGCCTGCGGAGAGTGGCGGCCTCGAACCCGCGTCTCCCACTCTCCGCCGTTTCCCAGTCCCCGCCTGGGGCCCCAGTCCTGGCTTAGCAGGGGAGAGATGCTGCCCTGCGTCCGGGTCTCTTGTGTCCTTGGGAAATGACTGTCACTTCCTCTCTCATGACTCCGAGTCCTTCATCGACTTAAGGATTCGTAACCCCTAATGTTTCTGAGTCCTGTCCACCCCGCTCTGGCACTTTCCGCAGATCTCTCTGTTGCATTTCTGGGCTCACGTTTCTCTGATGTTCTTTAATGATGGCCTTGAACCTGTCTGCCCCTATGAGATCGGGAGTTCCAGGACTCGGACGCCCCAGTCTATCACATCTTTATGCCTCCACGGCAACTTGCCCGTAACCAGAGCTCTCCTAAAAGCTTCTTGGATGGAATTAACCAGCCTTGCAAATGACTGCCACTGCCAGCTCCTTTCTCTTAGAACCGTTTTTTTAAAAACCATATTTTAATAAGGAGCTCAACTGTGCAGTGCCAATAATCCCAATCTGTTGAATTTCACGGGGAGGTTCTGCAATTTGCTAGAAAAAACATTTTTAAAAAATACTCAAATACGTGTATCTAATGGAATAAAATATTAGCTAATTTTAAGAACTCTTTTTAATCTTGTTTCTAATGATAAGCAGCTTGCATCAGCTATACCATCTTTCTCCAAACTGGCGGTGAAAGGATGAAAGTGGCTGATTATTGAAATTCAGGTATTTTCTTCTCATCTCAAATCTATCAGGTGAAAAGTGACTTTTTAGTGTATGATATTCTTAATACCGATTACTTAATTAGAAGCTTAATTTGTAATATGCTTTCCTCCTCCCAAACTTCAGGGGTAGTATACTGATCTTTAGACAGCTGGCTGGAGTCTGCCTTTACTTTAAGAGCTTAATTTTATATTTTTTAAAGATTTTATTTATTTATTTTAGAGAGGGGAGGGAGAAAAGGAGAGAAACACCGTCTTGTTGCTTCTCACACTCCCCCTACTGGGGACCTGGTGTACAACCCAGGCTTGTGCCCTGACTGGGAATCAAACCTGCAACCCTTGGTTAACAGGTGGACACTCAGTCCACTGAGCCACACCAGCCAGGGCTAAGAGCTTAATTTTAAATAATTGAATCTTTTTCTGTTTTATTTCAACCACTGTTTTTATTCTGCTACAGGACTGATGTGTGTGTGCGCACACGCATGTGCTCTCGTGCCAATCATAATGTTAAATAAAACCGAAATGTAAACATTGGGAAAAGGGATTAAGAAAAAAGAATCACCCATCTCTTACTTTTTACATAGCTACTGTTAGAATTTGGTCATGTTACCTTACAGTTTCATTTTGTTTTCTGTTTTCCACATTTATGATTTAACACTTCAGAAAAATCAAATGTATATTTTTGAATTTGCACTTGCATTGGTTTTAAGGTACTTCTCATGGATTAGCAGCTAAGTGGATAATCAGGTTATGTGATTTCTACTCATTAACTGCTGACTGGGCAGACACCTTACTGTCACTGGGTTTTATTTTCTTCAACTGTAAAATGAATGATGGAGACTATGAATTTACTTTCAAAGGAGAAATTCCCTGACAGAAGAGTCTGGATTTCAGTCTGGCTCTGTCTTTTACTTTTTGATGATCTTGGGCCATTAATTTCTGTCTTCATTCTCACTTGTGAAATGGAGAATAATCTCACCTTGTGAGCATTAAAGGAGTCACTCTAGATGTGAAGCTGTTTTTTTTAAAGTGCTCAGTAAATGTTAGCTATTACTAACTTCCCGCCCTGAGGAACTATGAATTTATGTATCTGAAAAAATTTTAAAGGAATTTTTACATTTTACATGGGTAATTAAAAGCTACAAGCTTAGTTTTTCTATTTTTTAACACACAAATATATACACACACATTTTTGCATTCATTATGTTTTCACCAATAAGAAACTATGGCTCATTATAGATATTGCTGCTTTTAATAGCAATTTATAAATTTCAGACAAATGTTTAGAGAGTGAATTGTAACAAGTGGTAAAATGTTTTCACAGGAAATGGATTAGAGGCAAATGCTTTAGAGGGCATAACCCTCACTTCGTTAATTCTCTTATGTTCTTGATCCTGTCTCTTTGTTGAGGAAAACTGTTGTTGTATCAACCAAGGGAACATTTGCATATTTGAAATTTGTGTCAGCATAATCTAACTTTCTCTACTGCTGTAGTCTTAACTCTTGAACATATCTTCTTGAGTTACATTGTTAAAATTGTTAAAAAGTGGGACAAAGGTTTCTCTCTCTGTTGCTGGCATGAGAAATATAGGCTAAAGTTCACCCAGCTGCTCTAACATACCGTACGTCTTATAGTCGCACCAGTCCATAAGACACACCTAGGTTTTAGAGGAGGAAAATAGGGAAAAAATTTTTGAAGCAAAAAATGTGGTGAAATATTTAATAACCCGTGGCCCAGCTCCACCCCCCACACACACACAGTGAGCCAGGTAAGCTACATTCCGACTATAAGACACACCCCCCCTTCCTCCCAGATTTGGAAATAAGTGCATCTTATAGTCCAAAAAATATGGTAAACTCTATGGGTTAGGTAGTACGTAAGGCTAGATTCCAAAGGCAGAACTGACTTGTACTACAACTTGGCCGTGTTTTGGAATTCTTTTCCAGATATGTTTTTTACATGTACTGATTTTTCTTTTGTTTTTTTGTCTCAGTTGTCTCTAGATGTGAAGCTGTTTTTTTAAAGTTGATTTAGAGGAGGTATTGTGTATGTGCTAAGGGTGTGCAGGCAGTGAAGTTAGGTTAGTGGATGAGTTTAAAATGGTTTAAAATATAAGCTAATGAGCACCAACCTGTTTTCTCAAATATCTGGTCTTTCAAATAGCAACCCATGCCCAGGCCCTCTCACCAGCTCTATTTTCTTTTCTTTTTAGGTATTTATCTTTTAACATACATATTTACTTTTTTTTTTAAAGATTTTATTTATTTATATATCTTTAGAGGGAAAGGAGAGAGGGAGAAACATCAATGTATGGTTGCCTTTCATGCGCCCCCTACTGGGAACTGGCCTGCAGGGAACTGGCTTGCAACCCAGGCATGTGCCCTGACTGGGAATCAAACCGCGATTCTCTGGTTCGCAGGCCTGTGCTCAATCCACTGAGCTACACCAGCCAGGTCCATACTTACATTTTTTAATCTGCCTTTTCACCCGCCCCTCCCACTCTGCATTTCCAGTCAATCCATTCCCCACTTGAATCGACTTTACCCTGTTGGAGCTAGACTTGCCTATTCCTTGACTCCCCTCCTACTGAAATTTCTACTTCATCAGCAAACTCCTTTTTATGCCAGGCTTATTTTCACCTCTTATTTATCTCTACTGAGTAGGAACTAGTTCTTCCCAGATATCATTTCACCTGCTGCCATAGAATGCAAGCTCCACAAAGCAGGGGTTGTCGTCTTTGCTTATTCTCAATGCCTACAGTGTGTGGCACTTGGTAGGGCACAGTAAAGGTTTTGTTGTTGAAGGAAGAATGACTGTGAGGTGAGGTTGGAAAAGATGACAGTTCAGGAAGAGAAACACCTGCTACAGATGCAGTGATTAGAAAACAAAACAGTAGATAATAAAGATAAAATTTTTCCCAGAGAAGGGAAAGATCATTGTAGACAGAATCTCAGAATAAGGCTTTGTGGGAAAGGTTGGAGCCATGATACAAATATAAAGAAGGAAGAGCGATAAATACAGATGATACAGATTTCAAATGATGGAAAAGCAAAGAAGGGAAGCACGTCATTAGTGAAGTAGAGGCACAGGGGATTGAGGAAATGGCTGGCTGCTTCTCTCAGTTTACTTTGGTGTAGCACTGTGACTTCCAGGTACTTTACAATCGTTACATAACTTGTATTTCTGAAATGCACTAAAAGAGTTGCGCATGGTTAGTCAGCTAGTAAATGATAAAGTTGACAGTTGAGCACAAGTCTGACTTTCAGGGCCCTCATCTTTGCCCCAGACTTGGATTGCTTAAAGGAGAAATGCAGAAGAACCACACAGCACATCATTGTGGTTCTGGTGCCATTTACATGGTTTTCTTTTTCCTTTTAAATAATGTGTTGCTTTGCCTTTCAAACCAGCAAGATTCTATTGAAGATTCTATTCATAAATAGTGGGCTACTATTTATGGCCCTCTCCTAATCCACTCCCCTGGCAGTGGGTTCTGATCGGTAGTTTCCATGGGCCCACGTGTCTGCTGTCTACTTCAGTTAACCTGTTTTAAAAATGCAGATGCTGAGACTCAGTCCCCGTAAATTCTGATTTTGTGATCCTGGGTTATCTGTCACCCAGGAATTTGTGAGTATATTTGAGCCTCCCTGGCTGATTCTCATACCCCACATAGTTCTGGAATCACTTTTCAGTGCTGCTCTGGGAATCCCAGACCCGCTGGATATGTTAAATAGCTGTCTCATGTGTAACAGTTTGGCCCTGTGCGACTGTGTTCCGCCCCTGAGGGGTCCCTGCCTCCTGGGCAGATGTAGACATTCCAACTCGGGAACTGGGTGTGGTTCTAGAGTTCGTTCCTAAGTCATGTAGACAGTACTTTTGGTCGAGTCGATTTCTGAAATCGTATTTAGAATACCACCATAACATAAAGTGACCAAAAATCATTTGATTTTATTGTCCGTTGTCCTTGATTAGCATTGCATGCTAATGCAGAGTCTTATTAGACTCTGGGTTTGACATGCCACCTAAAGGGAGGGATTTAGAGAATGAGAGAGCAGGCACAGAGAGAGACAGGCAGTCACAGGCTGGTGGAAAGGTTGTAGGGATTTTAATTAAAAAAAGAAATAATAGCACTCCTAAGTTAGGAGACATTCCACACTCTCCTTAATTATGTTTGTGGATTCCAAGACTATATAGCCCCTAATGTAGCCCAAATGCAGTATATTTTAATGAAAATTAGAAATAAAGTTTTAGTGCCGGTAATCAAAGTTAAATAATATTTGGGGAAAGCCGGTATAGTTAGAGAAGATACACTAGTTATTATTTAAGTACTAGTTCTTCACCACATTTGATACTACTTTCAAACTCACGCCTTTTCCTGAGCACAGGTGTTTCATGTGTACTGCTATTACAGTTGTCAGTTATTAAGGGACAATTTGTTTTATTTTTAGATTCAGAGAAAGAGAAAACTTTTTCCTATGATGATTAGACAAGATTTGGAAGGTATGTGTAGGGAGGAGTAGATGTTAAAGAGGTACATAAGAGATAGGGTTTGAGGTGGACCATAAATGTGAAAGGCAAGGGAAGAAAGAGCAGGGTGTTTTTTTTAAAGATTTGAAGTACGGGAAATGTAGAAGCTAAAGAACTTATGGCACATGGACATGAACTAAAGGGAGAGAATGCGGGTGAGAGGGGGTGTGCAGTGTGTAGGGGAATGAAGGGGAGGAAATGGGACAACTGTCATAGCATAATCAATAAAGTATATTTTTTTAAAAAGATGGGAAGTTGTAATGAAGGGGTGTTAACTCTCTGCTGGCCTCCAGAGCAGCTTGGTTACAGCCTCCAGCAAGGCGCTCAGATGAGAGCACAGCCAAGGCGAGCCTGTAGTGCTAGAAGGGAGGTCGGGTAATGCTCAGAACTAACTCGGAGTCTTTAGAGTTCCCCGGCGTTCCTTCCTTCTACCCAGAGTCCAGATTGAAGGACCCTCGGATGGGACTTCTTGTGATGGTTTTTGCTCAAAAGGTCATCTCAGCAGTGGCATGCTGGAGAGCCTTAAGTGGTGAAGTGGCTGGGAAAGAGGAAGAAGAGTGGCTGGTCCTCCTTATCCCCAGATGACAAAGTGTCTTTGGTGGCGAGCATAGACTTTTCTCATTAGAAATGCTTAAAATAACAAAGTGTGATGTGGACTGTTTTATTAGTCCCTAGTGCCCCTTGATTTTACTTTCAGTAGCACTGGAAACTCCATCTCTCCGTAAAATGCAAGAGGATGTGGCTGAAGAACCTGGTTGAGATACATTTGGAATATATTCGGAACTGCCATTATGGATTACTTTGTAGATAATTTGTTTCTTAGTGTATACATTTCCTATCAGTGCCGTAACAAATTCCCTCAAATTCAGTGTCTGAAACAATACAGACACTAATTTAGTCTCTTGCAGTTACTGATGTCAGAAATGAGTCTCAGAAATAAGTCTCGCTGGGCTAAAATCAAAGGTGTTGGCAGGACTGTGTTCCCTCTGAATGCTGTAAAAGAATCTACTTCCTTGCCTTTTCTACACGCTGCCTGCATTTCTCAACTTCTTCAAAGCCAGCAAAATGAGGCCAAGTCCTTCTTGTGCTGCCATCTCTCTGGTGCTCTTTGCCTCTCTCTTTCCATTTGTGGTCACATCGGGCCCACCTGCATAACCCGGGGTGATCATCCTGCACTTAAGTTGACCTTATGAGCAACCTCAATTCCCCTTTGCCGTGTGACCTCACATACTCTCTTTCTAGGGACATGTACATCTTTGAGGAGCCGTTGTTCTCCCATGTTTGGTATCCAAATAATCACTGACCTGGTAATTGAAACAAGCAAAGATATGACAGTGGTCACAGTACGTCCTAGAACACAGTTCTGATTTTGCTTTTCTGTTACATAGAAAAAGTACTCCAGAAATACTGCTTTGTGAAATAATTAAGTTTGAAATCTTTTTTTCTTACAGGTTATATTTGTCGCAACTTTACAAGGTCATCTGCTTTGCTGAGTAAGTTTAATTTCTTATTAACATGCTTACATTGCTTTTTAGATTTACATAGCAATACAAACGTTTACCAATAAATTTTCTTTCTGTTTTTAGCCAGAACCCATATTAACTATGGAGTCAAAGGGGATGTGGCAGTCATCCGAATTAACTCACCCAATTCAAAGGTACCTACTTCAACTTGCTGCAGTTGTTTCTACTAACTACATCTGTGAACGCGGTCCTGAATGGAAAAGGGAGAAACCCACCAATCTGGCAGTAACCTTACCATAGGGATTTGCAGCTCTGACAGTTAAATTAGTTTGACAGGTTGCCACAGGAATGGAGTTTTCTGAAGCAGAGGTCCTTGTTTAAGAATGCTTTCTAGTTGATTTCAGGTGGCAGATTAACATCAATAATTAATAAAACTAGCCTTCTGCTGCAGTGTAGAATGATGATTTATTAGATAAGAGTTGACTTATTTAATAAGAATCAGTACGGTTTTTGTCTATGAGAATCAAAACTGACCATCTTTTTAAAAAATATACTTTATTGATTATGCTGTTACAGTTGTCCCATTTCCCCCTTTCATTCCCTTACACCCTGCACACCCCTCCCACCCACATTTCCCCCCCTTTAGTTCATGTCCATGTGTCACAAGTTCTTGAGCTTCCATGTTTCCCATACTATTCTTGCCCTTCCCCTGTCTATTTTCTACCTACCATCTACCTACTTATTCTCTGTACCTCTTCCCCTTCTCTCCGCCTCCCGCTCTCCTATTGCTAACCCTCCATGTGATCTCCTTTTCTGTGGTTCTGTTTTTGTTATAGTTGTTTGCTTAGTTTGCTTTTGTCTTACGTGTGGTTGTTAATAACTGAGTTTGCTGTCTTTTTACTGTTCCTATTTTTTATCTTCTTTTTCTTAGATAAGTCCCTTTAACATTTCATATAATAAGGGCTTGGTGATGATGAACTCCTTGAACTTGACCTTATCTGAGAAGCGCCTTATCTGCCCTTCTATTCTAAATGAAAGCTTTGCTGGAGAGACCAATCTTGGATCTAGGTCCTTGCATTTCATGACTTGGAATACTTCTTTTTTTTCTTTAAGATTTTATTTATTTATCTTTAGAGGGGAAGGGAAGGAGAGAGGGAGAGAAACATCAATGTATGGTTGCCTTTTATGTGTCCCCTGCTGGGAACTGGCCTGCAGGGAACTGGCCTGCAACCCGGTATGTGCCCTGACCGGGATTCGAACCGCAATTGTCTGGTTCGCAGGCCCACGCTCAATCCACTTAGCTACACCAGCCAGGGCTGGAATACTTCTTTCCAGCCCCTTCTTGCCTGTAAGGTCTCTTTTGAGAAATCAGCTGACAGTCTGATGGGAACTCCTTTGTAGGTGACTGTCCCCTTCCCTCTTGCTGCTTCTAGGATTCTCTCCTTCATTTTAATCTTGGTAATGTAATAACGATTTGCCTTGGTGTGTTCCTCCTTGGGTCCACCTTCTTTGGGACTCTCTGAGCTTCCTGGACTTCCTGGAAGTCTATTTCCTTTGCCAGATTGGGGAAGTTCTCCTCTATTATTTGTTCAACTAAGTTTTCCACTTGTTGCTCCTCCTCTTCCCCTTCTCGTACCCCTATAATTCGGATGTTGGAACATTTAAAGATGTCCTGGCGGTTCCTAAGCCTCTCCTCATTTTTTTGAATTCTTGTTTCTTCATTCTTTTCTGTTTGGTTGTTCCTTTCTTCCTTCTGGTCCACTCCATTGATTTGAGTCCCAGCAAAACTGACCATCTTAACTGTGAGATTATTTGACCTGGTTTCTTCATTACCTGCCTGGCGTGAGTTACTATTCATAGGTTAGCTGGGCTAACTGTGGTTGTTAAGCTTCCTGAGGGACATGAATGACTCAGTGGAGTTCACATATTGGAGGTCAAGTTCTGTTCAAAGTGGAGCTTCATTTGTTTTTGGCAACTTCAGCAAAGTGTATAGCATTAATCTAGTCTGCCAAGAAGAGCTTTATTGTAGGAGCTCATGAAAGCCCCATCTAAAGTTCTGTAAAGATTTTGTATTCCAGAAATCTTGTCGCCAGGGGCCTAGATGAAATGGGAGGACCTGGGTGGAAGCAACCAACAACTGCCACAAACCGAGGAAAGCAGACGGTCCCCTCCAGAGTAGATCTTGGCGCCTGCTGACCAGTGGCTGCAACAACACATAGTTATGGTGGGGAGTTTTAAAACTGTGAAGAAAAAAAATCCCTTCTGTTTCAAACCCATAAACAACTGCTTTTTAACATTTAATTCACTTTGAACAAAGTGTTTATGAAATTAAGATCACACTATATACCTGATTTTAAATTTTTTCCCTTAATGTTATATAAATTTTTTCCATGCCAGTCAATATTTGTAGACTTACTTGTAACCTATAAACTCTTAGGAACGTGACCCGGGGTTCCTCCTTTGAGTAGACCTGTTTTTAAGGATGGGGTTGCTTATAGCTCATCAAAACTGCCCGAACAGAAAAGTCACTGGGTATTTGATTTTTTCCTCCTGCCTCTCTTTCTTCTAACAATATCTTTCTGATGGATAAACATATTTCCTACAATCAAAATAGCAGCTGATGGTGGCCTACACATCTGGTTCTTCTAATTTAAACCCTTAGATTGATACGTATTTCTCTTCAACAGGTAAACACACTTAATAAAGAACTGCAGTCGGAGTTCCTAGAAGTAATGAATGAAATCTGGGCAAATGATCAAGTCAGAAGTGCTGTCCTCATCTCATCAAAGCCAGGCTGCTTCATTGCAGGTGCTGACATCAAGTAAGTTTTAATGACGTTGATTTAAAAGCCCGGGAGGGGTGGGGGGAGGCAGGACAGGTGGGGCTGGTTGCTTAAGCCATGTAAGACTAGATAGGACTTTCCTTAAAGAATTTGACAGCAGCTCAAACTCCTGTTTGAGTAGAATATAAAAATACTATAAGATTAAACTAACAATGAGATACCACTTAAAAGTTTGAAAATGTGTTAGCAAGGACTTGGGGAAATGAGAAAGTTAATATATTACTGTTACGGGAAAGACTCAGACCAAACACTGGAGGATGGGAAGTGGAACCTTTATTACGCATGCAGACCTAGAGGAGGCAGTCTCCAAATTCTGGGCCCCGATCAGCAGGAAACAATTGCTTATTTAGGGTGAGGGGCAGTCTGTCACTTAGACTGTTACTTCTGGCACGAAAGCAAGAAGCACCTTACAGAAGCAAGACGCGAAACGTTACCTGTAGCACAAGGGCAATTGTTATCTCTGGCCCGCAGAGGCAAGAAACAAAGGAAAAAAAGCCATAAACAAATCATTTCCTGGGTGCTGTGCTGTGTTTTAAAATAACTGCCAGTTTCCTCTAACATTACCAGTAGGAATGCCTATCGGCACAGCCACTTTGGAGAGCAGTTCAGCAGCATTTAGTAAAAATGCAAATGCACGTATCGTAAAGTCTGATGATACCTCTTCTGGGTATGTTTGCTGGAGAAATCCTCCCCTTTGTGTTTAAGGACCCATGTACAAGGGTGTTCAGTCCTGTGTAGTTTAAACTAGAATTTGAAACAAGCTAAATGTTTGTCATTAGGGGAAAGGACAAGAAAAACATGGAACAGAATTCTACAAAATAGTTCAAAGGAATTAACTGGATCCATAGCATATTACTAGATGTTAAGTTTTTTTAAAAAAACAAGCTACAGAGTGACTCACACAGTGTATACTTTATGTGAAGGTCTTTAAACCACACATGAAACACTTCTCTGTAATATCTGCGGGCATAGGCAGGTAGTTGCCCTGGAGGTGCACACAGGCGTGAGCGTGCTGTTCCTGGCAAATGAGGAGCCCGTAGGCCCTGAGGAGTGTGTCAAAGGGGACTTGACTGATGCGGCTAGTAGTTTCTTTCTCTCATTAAGTGATTGTGTGACTCTAAAACTTGTTTACAACTCTTTAAAGCATATATAAGAAGGAGAAATGCTACACTAGTTTTAGTTTAATGGGTTAAAATTTTAGCAGTTAATTTTGCCAAAATATGGGTATTTGTTATTCTTTGTACTTTAGGCAATGGAAACTAATATTATAGGCTTAATAATTTGTACTTAAAGTGCTTGTATATCTTTAAACCTTGTTGTGCATTGTGTGCCCTTTTTCATTTATGTAACTAGAAATTTACAAGTATTCTATTCAATGTTTAATTTTTAGAAGAAAATTATCTGTATCAAATACTTGTTTTGTAGCCCAGTTATCTGAACCTAGTGACACTGAGGTACTGTAGCCACATCCATAAGGAGACACTGCAGCTTCCACGAGGCTGGCTGAGCAATGCCCAGGACGCAAAATGACAGAAAACTAGTTGTGTCTGGGCACAAGTACAAAGGTCACAGCTTAAATGTGTTCAGAAACAAAGTGGGAAATGAGGCAAACTGAAATTAAAGGACATTGATTACATTATCGTAGCAGATCTTTTTGGTCATTAGGGGATCTATTTAAGATTTTTAGATCCCTCTAATCAATTTGAGAGCTTTCTTTTTCTGTGATGTTGATTGCTGTTTAATCTGAAACCCACCTGATAGAAAATCTTTAATCTGATAGTGGAAATATTTACTAGAAGATGATTTTCTCCTGTTCGGAGCTTCAAAAGTTAATGATGTCTTGTTCATGGGAATGAAAATAAAATTGTGCAACACATTCTGTTTCATGTTTTCTGGATCCAGAAACTTAACACTCTGTAGGGAGCGACTGTGTCACTGATACTAGTGCCCAGGTAGAGCCTTTCTCAAACTCCCTGGTGTTTGAAGATGCACCGCCGCGTATCAGTGTGGGGGAAGGTGGGGGTGTGGTGCATGAGGTCTTCGACAAAGCGGGCTACAGTTTCATCTCCGGTTTTTTTCTGCTCTCGCTTCCATGCTCACTGCAGCATGATAGCTTCTTGCAAGACCCCTGAAGAGGTAAGAGAACTGTCACAGGAAGGTCAGAAAATGTTTGAGAAACTCGAGAAGTCGACGAAGCCGATTGTGGCAGCCATCAGTGGATCCTGCTTGGGAGGAGGCCTCGAGGTACGCGCTTCTTACAGACTCACCGTTCGGCTCATGGGGAGGGTGCTCTAGCTGGGAAACTTCAGGCACTGTTTTGCCGGAGGAAAGTTCTCAGAGAATCAGCTTTCTTTTTAGTTAGTAAACTTCTGGGTCTGTTTTAATCCTTGTTCTTGTGGCGCAGAGCATCTGAACCAAAGTGTGACGCTTTCATTTATAAATAGAAGATCTTTATTAGATCTCTTAGGTCCCTTTTGATTCTGAAAACCCGGTTCAAGTTTTCAGGGCAGAGATTCAGAAGTGTGATGTGTGCTCTTGAGCTGCTTAAGCCTGGTTGAGACACACAAAGCCTAATATACACTCGAGTGCTCCATAGCAGCAGAGATGGCAAATAATAAAAGATTTGACAGAAGAGATGCTTACTAGACTAGGACAGGTAGGAAAAAAGAAAGGGAAAAGAAAATGACATTCATCAAGCATCTGTCTCATGCTGGGCTCTATGCTGGACTCTTTTACCATAATTAATTAGGGGAACCTGTGCCTGGCCCTCAGCGATCAGCAGAATTTGATTGCCTGGACCATTCCACCTATGGCGAGGTGTGGGCAAATGCAAGGATAAGTGAAGCCTACTAGGATGCCGTAAGTCAGCTGCTTAATTGAGAAGGAGAGTCTCTAGGGTACAGGGCTTCCTAACCTGCGTTATGTACACAGTTGTGTGTGTATTTTTCCACTGAAAGCTTCCATAGCTTTCAGCAGAATTTTCAGGAAATCTGTAACCCAGAAAGAGGTTGATAAATTAAGGGAAAGGTATGAAATAAAGCTGGGAAGGTAAATTGTGGAAAGTGCCAAATGCCAGCCTGAGGAATTGCAGTTTATTCTGTGGGCACGTTCCTGCTCTGAAGAGGTCGTCTTTAGCCCTGACTGCTGTGGCTCAAGTCGGCTGGCCATTGTCCACAAGGCGAAAGGTTGCAGGTAGAGAGCTGGTCAGGGCACGTGCTTGGGTTGCAGGGTCAGTACCTGAGGCAACCAGTTGGTGTTTCTCTCTCACAGGAATGTTTCTCTCCTCTTTCTCCCTCCCTTCTCCTCACTCTAGAAATAAATAAATAAAATCTCCTTTTAAGTAAATTTTAAACCCTCACAGATCCTAACATGTTATAAAGTTACATTTTCTAACGTTCTAATTTCCTTTTATTTTGTTTGAAGCTTGCTATTTCATGCCAATACAGAATAGCAACCAAAGACAGAAAAACAGCACTGGGGGTCCCTGAAGTCTTGTTGGGACTCTTACCAGGAGCGGGCGGCACACAGCGACTGCCCAAATTGGTGAGTTTAAACCAGCCTGTGAACTGTAGAACCTTGGTACTTATGTGCCCCTTTAGATCTATTTTTGTTACTGTAAAAGGCATAAATATGTGTATTTACTGTAGAATTTAGAAACCAAAGAAAATATTAATATTTAGGATCGATAACAGATTTCCGTTTCTGGTATTTTTTAATTCTACTTTTAATTTATTTTTTTCAATTTCTTGATTATAATTATTCATCAAGGTTCTTTGTTAGGCCCCGAAGAAGGATAGAGATAAGTAAGATACACGTCTTGCCTCTCCAGTGGTGCTTGCAGTTTAATCTGTTTTGCACATCCATGGGTCATTCATAGTGAACAGAGGGGGCAGACCTTTTGCCTGATTTGGATGATCTCGTCGTGTTCTGCAGAACCAAAAGAGGCCCTTAGAGTCCTGAATCCTTAAGGAGAGGGGACGGACAGCCAGGCCTGGAGGCAGCAGAGCAATCTTAATATCAAACCTCAGAGCTCGCCAGACCTCACAGCTTCTGGCAGTACAGATTCCTTGGTGAAAACGCCCTCAGCAGAAACACCCTTTGGAGGGCAGTTGCTACGTGGTGGGCACAGAAAAATAGGAAGAAGGTTTTATGTATTAATTCCCTGATAATAAATAGTGTACATCCCTTTATGGGAATTGTCGAGAAGATTTATCCAAAGAATGATGAAGGTGGTGTGCATGTAGCCAGTACTGCTGAGTTTTGTTTTATTGTAGCTGGTATTTGAATGTTGCTAGGAGCCATTCTTCTAGTATCTATATAAGAAACACTTGGCTGAGTTCAATTTTTGTTAAGCCTAAAATCCCTTCAAAGATGTTGTCAAAACTCTCAGGTTTCTCAGTCTCTACTAGTTCCCATCAAGGAATTTGAGATGGTACATAGGTGATAAAGAAGACACTTAGAATGCCATCTATACACAATTGTAGGATACACAAAGTTATTTCTCCATTTTATTAACTGTATTAGAAGTCTTGCATATTGAATTAAAAGACCAGATATAAAGACATTTTTGCTTCAGCTGAAGATTTCTAATCCCAGGAGTTACCTAAATGTGATAAATAGCACAAAAATTTGGTTCACCTTTTTTCACTTGAGTATTTATTTTGCTCAGGTGAATGATTTGTAAACTGTCATCATTGCTGATACTTTTTTCTTCTGTGCCCTGACCCTTGCTTGCATGTTAGGTGAGCATACCTGCTGCTTTTGACATGATGCTGACTGGTAGGAACATCCGTGCAGACAGAGCAAAAAGAATGGGACTGGTTGACCAATTAGTGGAACCGCTGGGTAAGTGTGGGCATGCCTTAGAGTTGACTCTTACAAACTTATTTGTTTTCTTAAGGAGTTAATATCTTGAGTATTGGTTAGACTGAAACTCAGACTCTTAAGGAAAGAGTCATCATTCTAAAGAGCGAAGTTTCCTAAAAATTGTAATACTAAATCATTTCAACATCACCCCAGTTTCTATTTTACTTTATTTATAATTTGGACATCAGGAGTACAGAATTGAATTGTCATTATTTTTGGTTATTAAATTACCTGTATCATTATCCATGATAACCTACCTTCCTTTTTGTTTCTATTTTAATAATGCAATAAACTCATGAGACAACCTGAGTATATTAACTGTAATTGTCACCTACTGATGTACTACTTCCCCACATATAATTTCTATGCCTCCCCTCACCCAAGGAAGTCACTGTTCTAGATTGTGTGTTCATCACCCTTTTATTTCTTAAAAATCAGCATTATGGAGATGTTATTTGCGTAATAATAAATTTACTACTCTTGAAGTACAATTTGAACTTAGACAACTGTGTGTAACTGTATAAACACAACCACGATTGCATAATAGAACATTTTAGTATGTAGTCTTTGTGAGTCTTTCACTTAGTGTAATGTTTTTGATACTCATCCATGTTGTTGTGTGTATCAGCAGTTTGTCCCTTCTTACCGATGAGGGTTATTCCGTTGTGTAGACACACCATGATCTGTATATCCATTCACCAAATGATGGACAGCGAGTTGTTTCCAATTTAGGGCTGTTCTGAATGTGGACCTGTATTTCATTTCTGTTTGACAAATATCAAAGAGTAGATTGGCCAGACCATATGCTAGGTGTGTGTTTAGCTTTTAAGAAATTGTCGAACTGTTTTCCCAAAGTGGTCATGCCATTTTGCACTCCTGCCAGCATCATTTGAGGGCTGGCAACATGGGTTCTGTTACAGTTACCAACCGCTTTGCATGGTTAGTCTTTTTTAATTCTACACATTTGAATAGGAGTTTAGCGCTGTCTCATTGTGGTTTTAGTTTGTACATTCCTAATCACCAAAGATACTGCGTTTCTTTCTTGTGTTTATTTGCTTCTGTGTATCTTCTGGTGGAAGTGTCCAAATGTTTTACCCATTTTGTCTGATCGGGTTTGGTTTTGTTTCATTTTATGGAGTTTTCAGAGTTCTTTATATATCAGAATACAAGTCCTTTATGAGATTTGTGACTTTCAAATATTTTCTCCCTGTCTCTGGCTTGCCGTTCCTTATCTCAGAGCAGAAATTCTTGAATCTCAGTGAAGTCCAAGGTCCTTATGTGCGGACCATGCTGTCGGTGTTGCATCTGGGAGATCTTTTTCTTACAAGATCACAGAGATTTTCTCCTGTGTTTCCTTCCCGAAGTTTTGTAGGTTAGCTCTTACGTTTTGCTCTGCGATCTCTTTCGAGTTAATTTTTTGTATATAGTATGAGGTAAAGATTCAGGGTGGTTTTTGTTTGTTTGTTTGTTTGTTTATTTGTTGGCATAAGAATATCCAAGTGTCCTAACACAATTTGTTGGGAAGACTCTTCTTTCCCCATTGAGCTGCCTTGACACCTTGGTTGAAATCAGTTGACCCTCTGTGTTTGAATCTGTGTCTGGATTTCCTTTTTCCAGTCACCCGTATGTCTTCACTCAAGCCAGTACCATGCTGTCTTAATTACCGTGTTGTTTTAATAATGCTCGAAATCAGGTAGTGCGACCCTCTCTAACTTGGTTCTCTTCTTTCAAAATTACTTCGCCTGTACTAGTCTCTTTACATTCACATACAAACTTCATAGTCCTCGTAGCCCTGCCTGTAAAAACCCCTGCTCAGACCCCGACTGACGCTGCGTTGGATTAGCGTGTCAGACAGGGAGAACTGGCATCTGTCAAGTGCGGAGCTTCTTCGTTGGGAACGTGGGTAGCTCTCCGTCTGAGTCATCCTCAGTTCCTCGTCGCGGCGTTACGGGCTTTTCCTTGAACAGATCTTGCACACACTCTGTTAAAGTTATACCTAAGTATTTTATACTTTACTTTTTTACTTTAATGTCTCATTATTAATTACTACTATATAAATATAATGATTTTTATATGTAGACCTTGTTTTCTGTGATTTTGCTAAATTTACTAGTTCTATTAGCTTTTTCTGTAGATTCCTAAGGACTCGCTACATAAATAATCGTGTTGCCTACAAACAAAGGCATTTTGACTCCTTCCTTCCCCATCCGGATGTTCATTTCCTTTTCTTGGCCAACCGCACGTGGCTAAGACCTTTAGTGTGGCACGAGATTGGAGTGGGAAGGCGGCTGCAGTGAACTTGCCCTGGCGTTAGGGGGAGCATTTGCCCTGCGGGGTGTGTGGTGTTAGCTGTGCAGCTCTTTCTTGTGTGCCCTTTATCAGATTGTGGGGTTCCCTTCTATTTATATTTTGCTGAGAATAGATGTTCAATTTTGTCAAATGGTGTTTCTGCTTTTATTGAGATGATTGTGTGGGTTTTTTTTTTTTTTAAAGATTTTATTTATTTATCTTTAGAGGGGAAGGGAAGGAGAGAGGGAGAGAAACATCAATGTATGGTTGCCTCTCATGTGTCCCCTGCTGGGGCCTGGCCTGCAACCCAGGCATGTGCCCTGACTGGGAATCAAACCGTAATCCTTTTGGTTCACAGGCCTGTGCTTAATCCACTGAGCTACACCAGCCACAGCAGGTTTTTTTTAGTCTGTTGACAATGTCAGTTACCCTGATATTTGACTATTGAACTAGCTTTGCATTCCTGAAATAAAATCCAGTTAGTCATGATGTACTAAATTGTTGGCTGGATCAGCTAAAATGTTGTAAAGGATTTTTATGTCTGGTTATGAGAGGGAATGGCCTCGGTGATAGTTTTCTTGTGATATTTCTGCCCGATAATCTTATTAGAGTGATGCTGGTTTCATTAAATGAGTTAGAAACTCTTCTCTTTTCCCCCCTCCCCTCCCCTCCCCTCGACTTTGTGTAGAATTGGTATTATTTCTTCCTTCAATCCTTTATAGAATTCACTAGTGAAGTCACAGACTTAGAGTTTTCTTTTGGAAGGTTTTCATCTATAAATTCAGTTTCCTTACTAGATACAGGGCTGTTTGGGTTTTCCATTTCTTGAGCGAGCTGTGGCTGTCTGTTTTTCAGTGATTTTTGTCTGTTTGATTTAACTTACCAAAGTTATTGCAATCAAGTTTTTCTTAATGCTTCAAAATTATTCTTTTACTATCTTTATACTTTGGAATGATGTTTCCTCTTTCATTCCCGACCTTGATAATACATGTTTTCTCTCTTCCTGATGAGTCTGGGTAGAAATGTATTAACTTTGTCGTTATTCTTTAAAAACCAGCTTTTAGTTTCATTGGCATTTTTTTCTGGTGTGTTTGTTTGCTATTTTATTGGTTTTGGCTATCATTCTTTCTTTCTGCTTGCTTTGGATTTAATTTACTCTTTTTCTAGTTTCTTAAGGTGGAACCTCACAGCATTGATTTTAGGCCTTCTTTTTAACATAAACATTTAAAGCTATAAATTTCCCTCTTAGCATTGCCTTCTTTATCTGAATATTTTAATGTTATGATTTCACTTTCCTGAATGTCAAATATTTTCTGATATTTGTGTGTGTGTGTGTGATTTCTTCTTTGACCCACATGTGATTTATAAGTGTTAATTTCCAGGTATTTGCAGGGGGTGTCAGGTGTCTTCCTGTTATGGGTTGCTAGTGTAAGTTTGTGGTGGCCTGAGTACAGAGAGTCCTCACCTGCTCTGTCCCCAGCTGGAAGTTGTAGTCCATGACTCCTCCCCCTCCCCATCTCTGGCCTGACTGACACAGAAAGCTGTGCTGAAAGCCAGGACTAGTGCCTCTGGCTTTGGCCCGTGGGGTGGGCGTTTGCCTCCCTGGGACTGATCTAAGCCGGTTTGCATCCCAGTCTATTGTTCATTTTTACAGGACCAGGAATCAAACCTCCAGAGGAACGGACAGTTGAATACCTAGAAGAAGTTGCAGTTACTTTTGCCAAAGGACTAGCTGATAAGAAAGTCTCTTTAAAGAGAAACAAGGGATTGATGGAAAGTGAGTACTGTTGTTAAAAAACAAGGCAGTGCTTCTCTGCAAGGAGTTGACTTTGCTATAAATTTTAACTGAGGAAGAGGTAAGTGGATATTTACTAGAAGCACGAGGTCAGCCTTAAGGGGCACAGCAGCGCCGCTCTGGGTCAGGTCCTGATCCTTACCCTGCCTGGTGAAAAACACTATTTAAAAACTTCTTTAGAAAATTTCTGACATTAGTACAAAAGAAGAAGAGTACAAGACCTAGCTTTAGAATTTATCAACTAATGACTCTGTGTTTAAAAGAGTGCTTAGATTGAAATGTAGATTTTGTATATCAGAGTGAAGAGCAGTTCTTTCAGATAGCTTAGAACTGCATTTTTATGGAGTTTACAGGACAAACTAACAAGGAATCTGCTCATTGCCATCAAGTGTCTAAAAGCATTTTACCTTACAGGATTGACATCGTACGCCATGAATATTCCATTTGTCAGGGAACAAGTTTATAAAAAGGTGGAAGAACAAGTACGAAAGCAGACCAAAGGCCTTTATCCCGCACCTCTGAAAATAATCGACGTGAGTCTTCTTTCCCCACTCTCAGGTTCTGTGTGTTTTCTCCCTTTGTACAGCTCAGTGCTCTTCATTGCCACTCTGGACCGTGTATGGCAGTTCCTCATTCTGCTGTTAAAGTACCTGCCAAAAATAAGTGAAGACTACACCAAGCTATAGAGATGCATATAAACTGATGTATTCGGGGATGATACATCTTAGTCATTAGTTGATGAGTTTAAAACTGTCACTTATAAACCAGGATGGAACTTATGTCAGTATGACAAGGCCAGTGAAATACTGAGCCTTTATAGAAAGGTAGTTGAAACAAAAATTGGTGGCTGTATTCTATCTGTGCTTTGTCAAAACCTTGTCGGTCGCTCCAGTGTCTCATGAACTTCCTCATTACCATAATTACAAAAAAGCTGCAATGTTGTTGAGAAGTTCTGAACAGAACAAAGAGAACAGGTGATGTGATCGTAGGGTTGAAGAAACTTTTTTCTAAAGGTAGACTTTGAAACAGAACTCTTCGATCTGGAAAGTCTAAGATTAAGAGAGCATATAACTACCTGGCTGGTGTAGCTCAGTGGATTGAGCACAGGCCTGTGAACCAAAGGGTCTCTGGTTAAATTCCCAGTCAGGGCACATGCCTGGGTTGCAGGCCAGGTCCCTGCAGGGGACACATAAGAGGCAACCACACATTGATGTTTCTCTCCTTCTCTTTCTCCTTCCTATCCCCTCTCTCTAAAAATAAATAAAATATTAAAAAAATACAGGATAACTTTTCCTTTTTTTAAAAAAAAGAGCATATAACTAAAGACATCAGAATTGGAGAATGGGTTAATCAACAGATATATTTTAAGCAGGAGACACCAAAGTAAATAAATATGAAATGCGATCCCCTATCTCCATTCATTTCCCCGTCTGGGCTGGGGAGATGAGACACGTGTACGTGGTGAGACAGATGGCAGTGCAGCATAGGAGTTTCTCCAGATAATTGGGACGGAGGAAGACTGCCGAGTGCACAGAGGAGGAAACCGTCCCTGTGGGCCGAAGAGATCAGGGAGAGCGGGGTTTGGCCTGTGCCCTGAAAAATGGGTAGAGAGGAGGTGGAGGGAGAGTGACTCCAGGCAGCGCGGGCGTTGTGAGCAGAGTTACAGGAGGTGGAAGACAGTAGGCTCTTCAAGGTCAGTTTTTGTAGGACATTGGAATGTCCGCAGAACAACAGACCAAAGCTAGATTTTAGAAGGTCAGTCAATAATGAATTAAGAAATTTGACCTTGGTTCTTTGTAGACCACAGAGAACCATATTCATGATAGTGAGTAAAAATGGATTAGAGAGAAACAAAGTAGAGCCATGAATTAGAAAGCTACCTTGGTAACCCAGACTTGAAGTTCGACTAAGACCCTGAGATATAACAGTAAAAAAAATAGTGAGAGACTCACCAAAGACAGACATGAGTTAAGTTTGAGAAGTGCTGAGTGTAGGTGTTTGAAAAAATTCAAGCATCAGTAGTACAGACGGAGATGTCAGTTAAGGATGTAGGTCTGTATGCTTGTTTTAATTTGTCATTCCCATAAGGTACAGTGATTGAGTACAGGGTCATTTCTTCATCTGTTCTGTTTGCCTTTGTACTTAGGATAGACCTTACCCCGAATGTTAAATCCAGTTTCGTAGAGTTCATGATTAATGTGGTGAGCTGGGCGAGGTGTCGGGGGAAGAGAGCAGAGAGGGAGAAGAGGCCTGAAAGGGAAGCTTTGGGGATCAGGCCGCTGGTAGAGAACGGGCGGGAGACCGAGCGAGCAGTGCAAGCAGGCTTGGGAAGGGCGGCAACAGCTCTTCCTCTGATAGAAAATAGAGTTCAGAGGTGGATGAGGAGGTGGAGTTCAAGCTGTAGAACCTCTTTGTTTTCCTATTCTGACTTTTTATTCCATTTATTTTCTTCCATTTTTCAATGGGCTTGGCTCTAGCCTCAGAGACAGAGAATTAAGTTGACCTTGAGGAACCACCAGGCACTAAATCCTCTCCCTTTCCTCACTCCAATCTAGTCTTTCAAAAATAATGCTAGCGATTTTATTCAGCATTCTTGTACATCTTACCAATCCACTCCAACAATGCACAAATATTTTGTATATTTTTTTTAGGTGGTAAAAACTGGACTTGAGCAAGGGAAAGAGGCTGGCTATCTCGCTGAATCTCAGGTAAAGTTCTTTTCTATTTTTTTGTTATTAGATACAAGAAAACCAAAGATCTAAAACTGTACAAAACTGAAAACAACAAAAAGTATCCGAAGCCTAGTGAAACTTTTTCTCCAGTGGCTATCATTTCTTTTGATAGATTTCAGCAGGCAAGTTGCTGCAAGAGAGCAATGGTGGTCCCAGGTGTTTGAACTTGCCCTCAATGATGAAGGCAGTGAATACAACTAGGGAGAGCAGGGGCAGAGTTATAATCCTTCCGGCATGAAGCGTGGACATTTTATTCTATGGTCAGGCTGCTCTTGTGGTAAAGTGAAAACGATAGATCAATCCGATCCGTACTTGTTAGGGCCGAGAGATAAACTTTGAAGCCCAGCCTCTCTTTGGTGAATTAGAAAGTGACAGGAGATATTTTGTGCCCACTAAAAAAAGAAGAGAAGGGACACAGGAACCAGCCTCACTCCTTCCACTTTCTGAGTTGGTGATGTGGCAATTTAAGTGGTTTGGGTTGTTTTTAAGTTTTAAGCAATCACTGAAGGGTGAATACTCTGGTGACAGGACAGAAGGTGTGCAAACAGCTAAGGACAAGTTCCAGAGAAAGCATGTCGTGTACTTTATTGCTTATTGCCGTGCACTTTCTGTTCCTTCTTTCCTATCGTAACCAGCTGTACATGGTCGTATGTACAGGGAAACTGAAGCCTATTTTATGAATCAAAATTGGGAGCATTATACTCAGTGTTTCCTGTCTCTTCTGCTTGGCACAGCCCACTAAGTTCATGACTGCTGATGGATTTCTACCCACAATTTGAAAATTGCTGTTTTTTTCTTTATTTTTTATCTTTTTGAAAATCACTGGTTTATTGAATAAAGCCTACTAAATCAAGATTGGTAAAGCATTAATTCTGTAGAACATTGTTTAATGCTTTATTAGGACCTAATAGCAACTTTAGTAGAGGGATTCCCTCTTTGAAATACTATCTGAAACCATGTAATTATACTAATAATTTCTAGTGTTATCACTGATGACAATAGCTGACAGAGACCCCAGTCATTTTACTGGTGTTCTCATTTAGTCCCCACTGCACTGTAAAATAGGCCTTGTTTTTCTGTTTTATGAGGCTGAAGAAAGCCTCACAGCCGGGAAATGTCAGAGCCAGGACTCAAACCCAGCACTGTCAAACTCAGGCTCTTAGTCTCATGCTCCCCACCCACCCCCCGTTGAGACTTGTTCTCCATAAGTGGCAAGATGCTCTTCAAAGTGGCCGAGGCCACGGGGGCCACCTGCTGGAGGCCAGTGGGAAGAGAACTGGAGTTGGACATCATACTGCTCAGGTTCACCTTCCCTCTTTGCCACTCTGAGGCAGCACCACTCTGAGCAAGGTCACTTAACTTCTCTGGGCCTCCCCTTCCTGATTTTGAAAAGGAGGGGTGGGTCAAGAGGACCCTGAAGATCCATTTGGGTTCTGACACCCCCGTTCCATGGGAGGGGTTACCGCTGCGCTAGTGTAGAGAATGGGAGTGCAGCCATATCCGAAACCTTGTCAAAGCAGTGGTCAGGAAGCGCTGCAGGTGAGTGGGGGGGGACATCCTGGGAGACAGACTCTGCAGCACAGGTGCCTCGCACATATCACCTCTGCTTCCCAGAGAAACCGAGACTGAGGTTCTACCTTTTCTTATGTCTTTTTCACGTTTCAGAATTTTGCCCAGCTCGCAATGACCAAAGAATCAAAGGCCTTGATAGGATTGTATCATGGTCAGGTCTTGTGCAAGAAGAATAAATTTGGAGCTCCGCAGAAGGAGGTCAAGTAAGTTAAACTCTACCTAGGAAGCCCTTGTGGGTTTCATGATATGCTAAGCTTGCAGCTGTCTTTGAAGGTCTACAGAGCTAGGCTTAAATCTTCAAACTTGCCATAAACTCCTGTCCTGAGCACATTAGGTGCCCATTCCTCCCAGGAACTTCTTGGCTGTCAAAGTTAGGCCCCTGTTGAGTTTTCTCCAGCCCTCTCTGATAGGTCCTGTGGAGGCTTCCTTGTCTTGCCACTGATGTTTCCTAGGAGTCTGGTTTAGGTGCCCCTCCAAACACACACACTGTACCCCGTTGGATGATCTTGTCTCTCCCTGTGACTTTAGATACCATTTCTGGGAACTCACACATCTGCCCCATTAAAGAACATAAAGCCTTATTCTAATTGCTAAAGCTTGTCCTTTTTGCTTACAACCTAAGCATCTGAGATTCTACTTGCCTGTTTCATACGTATTCTCTTTAGCAAGCCTTTCAATGCTGCGCTTCCTAACGAGCTCTTTAGCATTTTAAATTTAATAATGCCTTGAACTCACCATCTTGCTCAGTGGTTCTCAACCTGGGTGGTGTTGCTCCCCAGGGGACATCTGACAATGTCTGGAAATGTTTTGGTTGTCACAGGTGGAGAGGGAGGGATGCCACTGGCAAATCGTAGCTAGGGGCCAGGGATGCTGCCAAAGGTCAGCCCCCCACAACGAAGAATTATTCAGTCTGAAATGTCAGTAGTGCCAAGGTTGAGAAATACTCGTCTAGATGAATTACAGTGAGGGATTTAAGAAAAGCAGCTAATGTTACCACCATCTCTGTCCCCTCACCTTTAAGGAGATTTCAATTCAAAATAGAAGGTAAAATGGGCAAGAAATCTGGATGAGATGGATGAGAGGGCAGGTTTCCAGACAGACCGTGAACTGCAGCCGTAACTGCTCTGGCACATGCGGGGCCAGCACCATCTGGGTGCGTCTGGCTCACGTGGCACTGGCGGTGTCTTGCGTTCCATGGGCAAGGTCGGTTCCTTCCGTGCTGACGGCGGCTGCTTCAATCTGCATCTGCTCACGGGTCCTGCAGAAACCAAACAGATGGACGAGGATGATGGGGCCACCCATTCCCCATGCACAGCACAAACAGAGGGCAGCTAATGCTACTGATTTCTGTTATATGAGAGGGAGAGACTGCACTTTGCGGTAGAAGAGGGTACTCTTCGACTTACAGACCTGATTAGCCACTCCAGACTCCTGTTCCTGTCTGCGTGTAACGCTAAGAAGTATGCGCACCTGGACAAGGTGGTGTTGTGTGCCAGATATACCAAAAAGGCAACGGCCATGTAAAATTCATATGGGAAGAAAAACATGAGAATCAAAATACTTAAGCTTGTGAAAATTCTCCCCCAAAAAAACATCCACAAGAAGAAAACTTAGAACACTTCCAGACTTGAATTAAATATCCTTAAAACAAGCATTTGCAGATAAGAAAACAAAATCACCTGAATCAAAATTTAAAACTCAGAACTAAATGGGTAGAAAAATATGATCTACGTGTCGACCTAACTGGAGAAATGAAGGAAAAGGTAATATCATTTAAAAATGAAGAATCACGGGCCTGCAAACCACACGATCGCAGTTCGATTCCCAGTCAGGGCACATGCCTGGGTTGCAGGCCGGTTCCCTGCAGGCCAGTTCCCAGCAGGGGATGCACAAAAGGCAACCATACATTGATGTTTCTCTCCCTCTATCCTTCCCCCTTCCCCTCTAAAGATAAATAAATAAAATCTTAAAAAAAAAAATGAAGCATGGATTATAACATACCCAAGGCAGAATAGGTTTGAGTTGAAAATTCAATAAAAAACATTGGAAAAGGGGGTCCCCCTCTCTGCTTTCCCAGTGGCGGAATCATTTATTAAACAAATTTTAAATTTTGAAGCAGTAAATGTATCAGTCCTTTTTCAGCTCTATTCTTTATATTTCTCCACCCTATTTTCTCATCGTTCTCCAATTATTTAACACTCACCATATAAATATTTTTATTATTTTAAAACTACATTTGAAAGATGCTCCCAGTACTTGAAATTAGGTTTCCTTTTGGGTCATGGATATGATATTTTAAAATTATAATCAGAATTGTTAGGAATGAAGTTTTATCCTGCATTATAACTCTAGGTCTAATGTACTGTAAACTCGGTCTTCTGTTATGAAGGAAGTTGTGGGAAAAGAAAACTTACTTAGTTACTGTGGGACTGGCCATGTTGTTCCGGAACCTACGGAAAACTGAAAGTAACCAGGTATGAGCTCTAGCCTCCAAAAACTTAGAATGTAATTGAAGAGACAAAAATAATGGTCATGAAGCCATTTCAAAATGCTGTAGAGTAAACCAAGTAAGTGGTCCGGACAAGTTCAAGAGGAATTCAGAACTGGAGGAGCCTGTGCATGTGTGCAGGTGTTGGAGGGAACGGTGAGGTCTGGAAGCAGAGGCGCCTCCGACACACTGGGACTAATCCAAGTAAGAGGCGATGAAGGCCCAGATTCCAGGAGAAAAGAACGATGACTGGGAAATGGCAAAATCACTAACAAAGCGGCTGGAAGAAGAGCAGCTAGTCTTGGGCACGTCACTGCATACAGTGGGCTTTTCTCTGGAAAACAAAAATACTGACGTCGACCTAGGCGTAAACCAAGTTTTCAGTGATCTCAGGCATGAATGAAGAGCAGTATAATTTGATCTTCAATAGACCAGTTCTTTTTCTTATTGTATTTATTGGGATGACATTAGTTAATAAAATTACATACAGGTTTCAGGCATACAATTCTAATGGGTAGGCCCATTCTTGTAGACCTAATAGATTTTTGCATTTCACTTAGGGAAAATCAATCATTTATTAAAGGTGCATCCTTACAGATAAAAATTATTCGAAACGCCTTATTGTTGTGCCTGCTTCAGTTGGTTTATTAGATAACAACCAGGGCAGCCCCTGCTTGCACCGAAATGACTACAGGTTGTTTGCTGAGAGTCGTTCTGTCCTTGTCTTTCAGGCACCTGTCCATTCTTGGCGCAGGGCTGATGGGGGCTGGCATCGCCCAAGTCTCCGTGGACAAAGGCATAAAGACTATGCTTAAAGATGCTACGCTAGGCGGGCTGAGCCGAGGGCAGCAACAGGTGTTCAAAGGGTAAGACCGCCTTCTGCCTTTGCCGTGAGTTAGAGCGGTTTCAGGGGCATTTTCCCATCACTGATTCCTTTTTCCTGAACGCAGTGAAAACAAGATACTCCATAGTTAAGTTTCCTTTGTGTTTTGGAAACACTAGTGCCTTCCTTCACTTTGTGTTGGAACAGGTATTAGAAACCATTAGCATCATTGAGTGCAGAAGAAAAAACTTTTAGATATTTCAGAAATGCCATTTACTTTGGGCTTGGACGTCAGGCTAGAACTCGTGGTGTTTGTGAGTTTTGACATTCCCACGTAAGTGGCTGCGTGGCTAGGGAACCCTGAAGCAGCAGGGCTGTCCCTGTGGAGAGAGCTGAGGGTGTCAGGAAGCGTGTGGTGACCGCAGGTGGAAGTCGGGACCGGGGCCAGGGCTCCTGAGCTCGTGTTGGTTGACTGGTGTTGCTGTAGAGAAGCAGGTGACTGGCTTGGTCCACAGTGTCTGAGGCTCTACAAGACTGTGTCCATCCTACTTCTGAATTAACGAAGAATAAAAATTATTCTCCCTCCTGCCCGCCTGTCCCCTACCCCCACCACACACACACACACACACACACACACACACACACACACTCTCACTCTCTCTCTCTCTCTCTCTGCCTATTTTGCAGAGGGGAAGTGGGGAGCAGCGGCTTCACCAAACTGGGCATGGGTCTTGCCTCAGTTCTCTGCTCCCCAGTGGTAGACTAGCTGGCTGCACTTGGACCATCCTGCGTGTGACTTTGAGCTGAGTGGGCATTTTTTGTTTCTTAAGTGGACTGTGTGGCTTAAGCATGGTTTTACCCCTTTTCTGCAGAGAAGCTCATGTGTTATCACTGTCATGCTTTCCAGGACCTGGCAGGTTCAATCATTTTGGCAGATTATTTTAAGATTGCAAGGAGTTGGAGTGAAAGAAAGGGCGTGTGCTAGGTGCCAGCATTGCCTGAGACTAGACTGCCAGTGTCCCCGACCAGCACTTCACACAGCCGCCCACAGAGGCCTTGCTGCTGTCAGACAGCGTCCTGCTCTCGGCCCCTTCTGGGTCCGGGTACCCTGGTGTCCCTTGTGCCTTAGAAACATCAGGCTCCGGTGAATGTCCCTCAGCATACTGCTGACTAGGGACCTACATTTGGTTTCTTCAGGCATTCAATTTAGAGCAACTAATAATATTTTGAACTTCTGGTTCAAAATATTTGGTTGCTGACCACTGACATGGTTGTTGGAAACCAGGAGTTTCGAATCCATACTTTTAAGGCTTGAATTCGTCTTTGAAGTTCTCTGAATCTTGTGGCTTTTTTTTAAAGAATTTTATTTTAATAAAAATGTTTGCTTTTTGAGCTTGCTCCTTCCCCCACCATTAGAGAGTAGTTTTATCATTAAAAAGCAACTATCTTGTGGTTTTAGTTTTTCTTTTGGTTAAGGAAATTAGTGAATGGGTTTAGCTTCATTCTTCATTCAGAGGAAAACTCTCAGCCATTTATTCTGAAAAGGTGCTCAGATGAAAACCTGAGAACGCCTGTCTTCCTGGGCAGTAAGAAATCACCAGGTAAGTGTCTGCGTAGCAGGAGCCCTCCTTGGCCCTCGGTGAGAAAGAAGGAACCTGGAGCTAATATTTCATGTGATCACTACAATACGCTGTTAGGTATGGACTGGGAAGCAGATCAAGAATATAAGAAATAGTTCTTGGTCTCTGTCCTCTAGGAGATTATAACTACAGAATAACAAAATAATGTATAAGCAAGTGTAGGTCCGTGGGGGCTGGGACAGGGATTGGCTCTTTCCCCTGCTGTAGGTGGAGAATTGCCAGAGCTGCTCTTTTGTTTTGCCATTCAAGTGTTCATGATCACTCCTCTTGGCAGATTTAACTGTTTTATGAATGATACAGTTTATGTAAGTTGGGAAGTTCAAGGCATCCTGTAGTAGAAAGAATGTGGGCCCCGAGTTACCGGTGTGAATCCTTGTGCCCTGCTGACCTGGTACCTGGTCGTTTGACCTCGAGTGTCCCGAGCCCTTCTGCATGCGAGCCCCCTCCATTGCCCCATTGCCCCCTCACACCGGGCAATGCTCTCCGGGCCACGGGCACTCCATTAATGTTAGCTTCCTGCTCTTCCCCTCTGACCAGAAATGTGGTTTTTTTCTAGATTGAATGATAAGGTGAAGAAGAAAGCTCTGACATCATTTGAAAGAGACTTCATTTTCAGCAACTTGATTGGGCAGCTGGATTATCAGGGTTTTGAAAAGGCCGACATGGTGATTGAAGCTGTTTTTGAGGACCTCAGTCTTAAGCACAAAGTGCTAAAGGAAGTAGAAGCGGTAAGTAAGGGGCCAGTTGTGCTTGAATCCTAGCGTCACAGGGAAGACACAGAGGCGAAGTTGTTAAAGGAGCTATTGGAAACTTGTGGTTCTTTTTATAGGGCTGTTCATTCCCAGACCCGAGTCTTCACTGAGCTCATATGCACTGCTTACGTTATAAAGGTCAATTCTAAGTCCTACAGGAAGAAAATCAAATAGCCTCTAATCCTGAGCACAGAGCCTGCTGGCTTCTGTCTCCCACATCACCCAAACACACAATGGCCTGGTGGAGGATGGCCAGATGTCTTGCTACTTTGGGGCGGCCATGAGCCATAACCAAACTTCTTCAAGTCTAAGTGGCAAAGGAAAGGGGAGAAACAACTTCCCCAGGCAGGATTCAAATGTCCGTTTTATGGAAATGCTGCTTTGGTCTCTGTTCCAAAGGCTCTAGCCAGTTCTGGAGATGGGGTGACGTGAACGAAACGAGTACTTGTGGTGTAGAGTCCAGAAAAGAAGCGGCAGTGACGCAGGCACGAGACAGAGCCGGGCCCAGACCGGCCTGCACTCGGGGAAAGACTGTGGGCTAGGACACGGTGTGAACGGCGCTGACTCGGTGGCGCACTCGGAGCCGTAAGTGGCGGGCCGAGCTCTTGGGCTGCCTGTCGGGGTGAAGACCGCCCCCGCTCCAAAGACCGAAGACAGGCAGCTCGTGAGACACAGGTTCCACAAATCCTTTTCTTTAGACACAGTGCGATGCTGGATGTAGCCGAGGAAGTTCAGAAAAGCTGGGTGGATTTGCGTTCCTTCTCTGCTGGGTGGCACTTCAGTCTAGACGTGCAGATGATGTCCCCAGGGCTCCGCTGAGCCAGTGACAGGTAGACTGCAAGGAGCGGCAGGAGCAGACATGGCCAGAATGGAGAGAGGCGCAGCTACCAGCCAACTGGGTAGTATTAGCTGTTTTTGGTAAACCTCGGTTTGGGAGGATCAGAATGGAGGAAAGTTGGAAGCCAGTGGTCAAGGAAAAGGGAAGAGAGACCCGATCAAGAGAAGTGCAGACTAGGAACAGATCAGTAGAGCAGTTCCAGTGGAAACAAGGTTATTGTGGGAGAAAAGAGATGGCGTAGAGCCTTGAAGGGAAAGAGAAGCAAAGCAGAGGGGGAGGCACAGGGGGCAGCGATCAGAGAGATGAGAAGGGGAGGTTCTCAGGGAGTCATTGATGTTCAGTGGAGAGTAAGAAGAAAAGAGATGCCAGCTTTGGGAAGGAAGATTATTACTAAGGCTAAAATCCAAAATGTGCTGTATGTCTTAGTTTCTTATGTAATATGTCAAGTGCCTTTACTTTCTTAGTGAAGCCAGCGAAGTCATCTAAGGTAGGAGATATTCGAAGTTATTCAGAGAAGACAAGAGTAAGGTCTTGTTAGGTCATCAAGGTCATCAGAACAGACCGTTAGGTCATTAAGTTCATCTTCTCGTCTGTGTTTTCTGCCTAAGAAAAACCTTAGAGCTACGTTTACATGACACCTTAAGGATTGAAAACTTCTTCCTCTTCTCGGAACTAAACTCACTCCTTTGACATTCTTCATAATCCTTGTCTCCAGACCCCTCCCTCGCAGTCCTAGTCATCCCTCTTGGTGTCTTCATCACATCCCAGTGCTCTATTGCCCTGTGACAAACCACTATAACAGCAGTTTACAGCTCTGCAGTTTGGGTAGGGCTTCGCAGCAGCAGCTGGCCCTTCACTCTGGTTTCACATACAGCTGAAAGCTTGGCCGGGGCACGCATGCTCCTCCAGGTGGCCTTCCTCCGGTGGCCTGTCCTCCCTTAGCGGCCTGGCCACACGTGGTCTGTAGCAGAGGCTGCCGGGCTTAGGGCTGGGCCTGGAACGGCACGGTCACTTCTGCTGCGTTCCATTGGTAAAAGCATGTCACGGGCTAGCCCAGAGGCAGGGGCCGGGGAAACAGACTCTGCCTCTGGATGAGCGACTGGCAGGCACGTACGGGAGGGGAAAGCTGTTGCCAGCTGTCTTCGGAGACATTGGTTTGCTCTTGATAAAAAACTTTACCACCAGCCTTGGACCCTGCACCGCGGTATTGTAGCTTGAGGCTGCGTTAGCTTTCTCACAGCTGAGCTCTGCGGTCAGCTCACCTATACTGTCATTTAACCAAAGTCCTGAGATCTTTATCACAAGCTTACTGCCGGTTCAGGGCTTGTTCATCAGGTTCCTATCCAGTCTCCCCCCCCCCCCCCGCTTTTCTTTTTAAATGTTAATGCAGTACTTTACCTTTATCCCCACTATAATTGATCTTATTTTACATTCAGCTTCCCAGTGCGTCAAAGGCATCTCGAACCTTGACTCCCCTCTCTGTTAGGATCCTGCCTGCCCTGCATTGGCCCACATGTGACAGTGTGCTCTCCGTGTCGGCCCCAGGCCTCTGAATGTGGGCGAGAATGAGCTGGGGTGATGGGAAGGGCTACACAGAGACTCTTCTCCAGGCCGAGGGCGCTAACAGTTTACAGACCGAGTCCTGGAGACCTGACTGCGGTGCTGCACTGCCTCCTAGGGGCCCGGAGTGCAAATGAGATGGGCGTGCTCTTCGTGGCTTACTCTTCCAAAGTGCAAGGTGGACGTGTAGTAAGCTCTTGTACTTGAGCGCAGATCCAAACAAGAAGAGGGATTGACACCCATGGTGGATTTTTATTTTTTAAGATTCTATTTACTTATTTTTAGAGAGGGGAAGGGAGAGAGAAAGAGAGAGAAACCAACGTGTGGTTGCCTTTCACTCGCCCCCTAATGGGGACCTGTCTGGGAAAACCTTGGCATTTGTCCTGACCGGGAATCAAACTGGTGACCCTGTGCTTTGCAATCTGGTGCTCAATTCACTGAGCCATGCCAGCCAGCGCCCATGATGGATCTTGAGATAAATGAGATTTGATTCAAGGTCGTCTTTTCAGTGTTTATCTAAGGTCTCTTATGTACCACCTGTTGGGTGTAGTCTCCAGATTAGGATGAGGTGGTTTATGACGGACCGTAACCAGAGGGCTGGACGGAAAAGACGAGGCCAGCACGCTCCCCAACACGGCTGCCCCGGTAATCGGAAAAGTCGGCGCGTGGTGTCTGCCTCCTGAGAGGTTCTGGCTGAGGCCGTGGGCCAGGCCCAGGGACACTCCTTAGCCTCTCTGGACTCGAGTCATCTCCCAGGCCTACTTGACACATTCTTAAATGCTCTTCCTCCGCAGGTGATTCCAGAGCACTGTATCTTTGCCAGTAACACATCGGCTCTCCCAATCAATGAAATCGCTGCTGTCAGCAAAAGACCCGAGAAGGTAAATTCTGAAGAGAGAAACACCCTGAAAGGCTTTATGGCTTCAGACTCACTGGTGAAGGGATTAGTGTGGATTATGAAGTGAATGGGGGTGACAGCCAAAACTGGGTGCAGCAGAAGCTAGTACCACGACCAGCGTCCAATGCAGGAACGAGTGACCCGCAACTCAAGATCCCTTTATAAGTGATTTGCAGCCCCACTGTGCACTACTATGCAGGTTTAGACTGTGAAACCTACCTTTATCACAATTAGACAGTGAAAGATAGGCCCTGAGAAGGGATGTTCCAGAATACCACTTTGGCTCCATAGCAGACTCAGGCGACTGCCCAGGGCAGGTTTGGCTTCGTCTCCAGACTCAGAAATGGAGGATCAGAGTGCATGGTGGGATGTCTCCCCCTGTGAGGTAACTTAGACCTTCAACCCAGGGCATGAGGGGCTGGGTGTGGATGCACTTTCAGCGATTGGGAATGAGGCCTAGAAATGTATCTCTGGGCTTCTCCTGTCTGCCAGAGTAACCGAGGGAGAGTAAAAACACTCAAAGAGAAAGAACACAGCTCAGCTCTCGGGAGGATCCAGGTGGCCTCATCTGACCAGAACCAGCCCAACGTAGGCAGGGAGTAGAAGACTTGAAGGATTTGAAAAGGCTCACACACAATCGTGTGCTAAAAACACAGAAGCTGCCTCATTCCTATTGTAAGAGCTGGCGGATGCAAGGCAGTCTCATTCCCTAGCAGTCAGCAGGTTAGGGCCCGGTATAAAGGCAGGCTCAGTGACAGCAGGGAGAGGTCCCAGGGAGAAGTGGCAGCTGACAGCGTGACACCAGGGAGGGCACAGAAGCAGTAGAAAGGCAGGTGGACAGCTCTCATCACTCAGAGCACTTCCGCAGCAGTGAAAACCAGCAAAGGCCATCTGCCACCGTTCCTGGGACGCCGGCCTCTCATTCTTCCCGGTGGAGTGGAGCGAGCATCACACTTTGCCATCCAGCCTGCAGGCGTCCCGGGTAACTTATCGCCTGCTGGCCTTATAGCGTTCTCATTCGAGGAAGGCCGGAGGGGCACAAGTAGGGTGACCAGCCGTCTCAGCCTGCCAGGGTCTGACGGCTTTCCGCCTGCCCCACTCTCCCCCCGAAAAGCTGGACTCTCACCTAAACCGTCAGCTTCATTAATGTAAGTGGGACCTTCACGCTTCCCTGCTAAGTCCGATTTGGCCTTCAGCTGTCATTTTTGTGCCGGTTGTTGGTAGGATCAGTCGCCCTTAGTGAAAAGCCCAGGGAGCAGATGGAAGAGGAGTCCGGTGAGCTCTCCCTGACCCTCCGAACCTGGGTCAGAGAGCCGTGGAGCCGAACCATGTGACCGCAGCAAGCAGTGTCCCTGCATCCCAGCCGCCACTCTCCCCGTGGCTTTCCCAGTGGGAAAGGACGCTGCTGAGCTTCCCCTCGGCGCTCAGTCTCGTGGCTTCCTGTTCCCCCTGCCAGGTGATTGGCATGCACTACTTCTCTCCTGTGGACAAGATGCAGCTGCTGGAGATCATCACAACAGAGAAAACATCCAAGGACACAAGTGCTTCCGCCGTAGCCGTGGGCCTCAGACAGGGGAAGGTCATCATCGTGGTTAAGGTGAGCGGCTGCGTAACGGAGTGGCAGGTCGGGAAAGTTTTATGAAGACTCCTTTTACCTCTGGGCTTGTTTATAATGCGTCTGGGGCAGACACACCAACTTTGGATATGATGGCCCCCTGGTCATCTACACCCTGGATAGTGGTGCTGACTGTGTCGGGGTCAGAGCGCGGAGTGTCAGGGACGTGGCGGGCTCCCGCAGCTGTTCCAGACCTTTCAGGTGACTATGAAACCATGTGCTGTGTCTGGGATTCAAGCCAGGCTGCCCTGGCTATGGCTTCCCACGCAGTTTCATTTAAGGATTCCGATTGGTTGTAGTCATGTTGAACTAGAAATGAGATCTGGGGAAGGGAAGCTGCTTTCAGACTCAGGCAGTACCCACAGCAGAGGGGCCACCAAGTTCCTGTTCTCTCCCTTCAGGATGGGCCTGGCTTCTATACTACGAGGTGTCTCGCACCCATGATGTCTGAAGTCCTCCGAATTCTCCAGGTCAGTACTGCTCTTGGAATGTGAGGCGCCTTCCACTCCTTAGACGGGTCCTCCACACTGGTAATGTCAGGACGAGGAGCAAGCGGTCTCCAGGTGCACTAGCTCCCGGCTCTTCTCCAACAAGGCCCGTTTGTGCCCTCCCTTTCTTCAAGTGGTGGGAAGTCGTGGGTAGGCGGCAGAATTTTAACTCTGCTCCCTTAGCTTCCTCTGCTGCATGAGGCCAAAGGCCTCCCAACATGCTCTCCTGTGCTGTTTCTGCACCCTCTTTGAGGCAGGGAGCTTCCAGAACAGGGCCCACCTGGCCTGACTGGTGCTACATCTGCCTCTGTGCAAGCCAGCCCCTCCGGCGGCCATGCAGGCCATGCACCGGAGCCGTAGACACGGGGATCCGGGGCTCTGCAGCACTGCTCCTCGGTAGTGCCTCTTCTCCCAGGCGTGGAAGCCAGCCCTGTCTGCTGTAGAATCGTGTTGCTACTGAGATTCAGAATTGCAGGCAATGGGGAAATGAAATATTTGTTCATCTCAAGCCTTCCTTAAAGGCTACAGGTTAGGGAAGGCTCAGACTTTGCCCTTGTGACTCCTGCACGTCTTACGTTTCCCTAAGTGCAACAGTGCCAGGTCTGGCCAGGTGGTACCCAGAAGAGACGTGGGTGCTGCCCAAGGCTGTTTCCGAAGGCGGGCACAGGGGGCCCTCGGCAGGGTCAGAGATGGCCTTCCCCTGAGGCCCTGCTTCCCTTCCCATTCAGGAAGGAGTGAGCCCTAAGAAGCTGGATTCCCTGACCACAGGCTTTGGCTTTCCTGTTGGTGCTGCCACACTGGTGGATGAAGTTGGCGTGGATGTAGCAAAACACGTAGCAGAAGATCTAGGCAAAGCCTTTGGGGAGAGATTCGGAGGTGGAAGCCCAGAACTGCTGAAACAGATGGTGTCCAAGGGCTTCCTGGGTGAGTATCCTCAAAGAAACATAGCCAGCACCATTACTCTCAAAGTTCCGAGCAGTTTTTTGAGACCGGAGTTATAGGAGGCCCGTGTGTTTGCTAAACATGGAGCCTGCTATCATAGGGGGTTTCAAAAATGATTTCGTGACCACTCTCCTTAGCCTGGGCCTGCAGATTGTGGACAGAAGGCGGAACTCTGGCCTCCTGAAGATCCACCACTACCTGCCCAGGTTACGCCAGATTGACAGGCATTTTCCTCCTGCCTATGGCCTCTCGTACGTCTGCTCCTGCACTGGCAGGCTTGCATCTGGCTTTTACCGTGTTGTCTGGCTACCCGTGTGCAGAAAGTAAAACCTCTGCACAGCGAGTACATGGCTGAGGCCCACCAGAGGGAGGCGGCTCTCTCTTTTGGCAAAGTAGCAGCAGAATAGGAGCAAGAACCTGGGCATCCTACGGCCTGGGGTTGCACATCTGGATGATAAAACTCACCCACTGGCCTTTCCTGTCCACACACACACGTATTTTCAAGAAATAAGATCTTTTTCCCTGTCTGTGAACTTTTCTGACAAACACTAGGTCCCTAGGGTTAGCTAGAAATACAAATTCAGGAACACAGAGGAGAGGAAGAAGCTGTGTGGCCAACTGGCAACAAAGATACTTCTCAGGCCCAGGCCCCGAGTGTTTAACTCTACCTTTCCTGCTTCTAGGTCGCAAGTCTGGGAAGGGCTTTTATGTCTACCAGGAGGGTGTGAAGAGTAAGAACTTGAATTCTGACATGGATAGTGTTTTGGCAAGTCTACAGGTGCCTCCTAAGTCTGATGTGTAAGTCAGTTGGAGTAGCTTATGGCATGGAAACATTTCTCATCAGCCCAGAGCTTCTCGGCCCCCCTCCCACCCTGGTTATGATCGCTGGGCCTGACCCAGAGCACTCCCGATGCTGGCACTGTGCACTTGGGCCTTCCGTGTGCCATCTCGTTCTCTGCCATCATCGCGGGAGTGGCAGCCAAACCTTAGGGAGACCCTGCTCCAGCCCTCCCACTGAAGGTTCCAGAGAGCAACTCGAGGGACAGCTACCCCAGGCCCTTCAGGCTCCAATCCCTTTCTCGTCATTTGTAATTGACCATGGCTGATGTCAAGGGATACGAGTTACCTACTCTGTGGCAGGCCCTGTCCTGGGTGCTCGGTTTCTGGCTAATCAGGGCCAGCAGCTCTGCGCTGCAGTCTGCAGTCTTCTTCCCGGGGATGGGGTGGCCCTTTCATGTGTGGCTCCTGCGACCCTCCCCTCCTGCTCTTCCTGCCCCTGAACATCTCTCCCTGTGGACAGGTCCTCTGATGAAGACATCCAGTACCGCCTGGTGACCAGGTTCGTGAACGAGGCTGTCCTGTGCCTGCAGGAAGGGATCCTGGCCACCCCCGCAGAGGGAGATATCGGAGCAGTCTTTGGGCTCGGCTTCCCCCCCTGCCTTGGAGGTTGGTCTTGCAGGTTGGGAGGCAGCTCGCTCTGTCCTGGAGCTCGTGTTGCCGCCCGCTTCACCCGTGTCCTGTCTCTCCCTCAGGGCCCTTCCGCTTTGTGGACCTGTTTGGCGCTCAGAAGGTAGTGGACCAGCTCAGGAAGTATGAGGCCGCCTACGGAAAACAGTTCACCCCATGCCAGCTGCTAGTTGATCATGCCAACAGCCCTAACAAGAAATTTTACCAGTGAGCAGGCCCTCACGCCCTGCTCGCCCCCCACCTACTAACCCCGGCTCCTGGCAGCGCTGGTTGCCCAGCAGAGTGGCATCTAGATTTTTGGTAACCTCAAGGAAAGCAAACTCTGACACTGGGTCTGTGCCTTGATTAAAGTGCCTTCAGCTGTGACTGTCCCGCCCTCCTGGTGAAGTCTGGCTGTGTTTGCACTTCATGTCGGGAGGTGGAACCCACTGTCCTTGTGAATCTGTAAGTCCCAAGACCCAGAGTGGCAGCACGCCTGCCTGGAGGCCGGTGGTGGCCAACAGCGGTGACGGCAATTATGCCCTTGGCCAAACACAGGGCAACAATAAAAACCAAACTTATTTATCAGCCTCCCTGCCTGCTTGTTCCTTTTTCTTCTTTGTGCCTCTGGTTTAAACCCTCCTTCAAGGAGTGAACTAGGATAAATACCCCTGTGTGTTTGGGATAAGAAGTGTTGAGAATTCTAAGCAGCACCTGAAGGGAGAGACAGACTGTGATGATCGGAGGTGGTACTTTACAAGGCGTAAGCCTTTTAGACCTGACTGTATTGAACTGCTTTGGCTGGGCTTCTGCGTACAGCAGGGAAGCGGCCCTGGCTAACCAGAGCCCCGGAAAGACAGGTGCGGAGGACCAGGACAGAAAGCAGACTCCTTTCCCAGCACGGCACCTCCTTGTTGCAGTTTTACAGTTTAACCAGGGAGAACGTTTCCCTGGTCAGTACATCCGGCCCCTGAGCATGGAGAAGGCCTGCAGCGACCAGAGGCAGCGCGGGGGAGCCCACAAGGGCTGCCAAGTCAGCCCGCCGCCACCCCACTGCCCCTGCCCTCGGTGTGCAGCGCTCCTAAACGTGTTCCGGCAGAAGCTGAGCCCGGTGCGGCTAAGCAGCATTGGGACTCTTAACTCTGTCTGCAGAAGGATCTGTGATGAGTGTGTGCAGAACCGTAATCCGAGTCCCGTCACTGTGCCGTCTCGACTTTCCTCCAGCCTCTGGACCAGCTGCAAGCACCTCGGGTACTGCCCGGCCCAGTTCTGCTGTTGGACTGGCAGACAAGCACCTTTAACTCTGGTTCTACTGAACACTGATGGTTGGCAGCTAGGAAGCCAGGCTCTGGTAGAGAACCGATCCCTCACCATGGCCATTAACAGGCTTCTAAATGTGGGGGTCTGAGAGCCTAAGGCAGGCGTTCAGCCAGTGCAGGGAGTTGAACTTGGGCCCTGGCTGGGGGTGTGGAGCTTTGAAGTTGGGTCTTTCCACGCAGCAGCATTCTGTAGGTGTGAATCCCGTTGAAACAGTAGTGGGGAACTGGAAGGTTCTCAGGCAGGGACTGCCAGCTGCCTCTGGAGACACATGAATGGGCTGCGTGCACACATGTTCCAGAGTCCCCTCCTGCTGGAGGCATATCCGTTGTCCCTCCAAAAGAAAGCAGCTGACAGCCAGAACTCCACCTGACTACCCTTCAGCAGTCTAGCATTTATTTCACTAGCCCTGGAGGGTTCATTCAGCGACGGGCAAGGAAGCCAAGTCTCCATGTCGGTTTCTGTGCTCTATTTCCCGACACCCCTTCCCTCAGAACTGAGGCTGCCTGCTCGAGGCACAAGCGCCAGCATGGCTTTGCTACACTTGAGACAGAAAGTGGAAATAAATATTTAGGTTGGCTAGGTAAGGCGGAAGAGAAGACTGGTACCTCTGCTGCCTGGCACTAGTGAGCGTGAGGATCGGTGCGATCCTGGGCAGGTGAAGGGGGCCGGGAGTTGTACACAGTGGCCAACCTGCTCTGGGTGCAAAGCAGGTGACCGTGCTTGAGACGCAGGACACCAAGACCTGCCCTGAGGCACGTGAGCAGGTGCAGGAAGGCCGAGCTCCAGGGGAGAAGAGGCAGGTTTTCCCAAGCCACTGTGCTTTCTCCTTCCCACCAGCCCCCTGTACACCAGTGACAGGAAACCAAGGAAGGACACCAGGTGTGTGCCAGAGTCGAGGGGTGGGGACAGAAGCCAGGGGCAAGTGGGCGTGGTTGAAAGCCACTTGCCTCTAGGATCAAGGAGCAGCTGCCTCAAATCCACCTGCTCTTCCACGGAGTCAGGGTCTTGGCAGATTGGTCCGACCCTGCAGGATGGAGGGGGGCCTGTTGCACTGAGACCAGGGAAAACCCAGGACATGAGGGGAGCATGTGCCTCCCTGACTAGGTAAGTACCTCAAACGCAGAGCTGTGCTCTTGCCAAGTCATCACCCACGAGCCGGGACCCAGAGGTGGAGCCTCGAGCTGCCATGGCACGGGCTTGTACTTGATACACTTGTGCCCAGGGCCAGGGACCTACCCACCGTAGAGCAGAGGTCCTAAAATTGGCACCCCAACCCTGGGGCAGCTTAGGCCAGAAGCCCCCAGAGCTCAGAGGAGAGAGGGCACTTGGGGAATTTGTGCTTAAATTACGGACCAGCTTCCCTTTTCTCTAACCTGAACCTACAAACAAGAAGTGCGCGCTGTCTGTGAAGCTCTGCGGCAGGGCGTGGGAGGGTGTTAGGTCACCACGAAGGCCACCTTGTGACCCCACGGTGGGAACTGCAGCAAATGCCTAACCAGGTCCAGGTGCACCTGGGCCCTCCCGTCCTCTCCCCACTACTCTGCACGCTCGAAGGCAGGCCGTTCCCGTGCAGGGGTGCGGCCCCAGAGCACCCCATTTCCAAGTGTGTCTCCCCTAGACTCACAGACAGCTAGCTACCTAGCATCCTCAGTCTCAGCAAAGATTCTCCCCACAGGCAGACCGGCCCCCGGGCTTGCACCCTGCAGCCCCACGGTTGGCCCCAGGGCTTCTCTGCCACCATTCCGGTTGTGCAGCTACGAGCTGGGAAGGTCAGATCTTGGGCCGCCAGCCTTTGATGAACTGCATGATCTTCTTGACCTGAAGCTTGGTGAGGTGGAAGTCGTCTGCCAAGATGTCCTCACTGAGCTGCACAAAGATGCTGCCGTCGATGCGTTCTCTGGCGAAGAAGCTCACCACATCCTCTGAGAGTCCGATGAAACGCAGGCTGCGAGAGACCTCCTCCAGGGAAAGCGCAGACAGGTCAGCGGGGGGCTGCCAGGAAGCATCCCGGCCTCCCCAGCCCGTGGTCCCGTCCCGGGGACTGGCAGGAGGCCCCTCTAGGCGCCCTTGGTTGAGGAGGAGTCGTGCTCCACCTGCCTTGGGCCCCTTCAGGGCCACTGGTGACAGTGGAGCAGACGCCTGTCGCAGTATTAAACCTTCAGGCTCTAAAACCTTGGGGGGTCCAAGTGGTGAGAGGCGGGGTCCAGATCCAGGTACCCCCACAGCTCTGGGCTCCTGGCAGCGCAGCACCTCAGGCTCTGGAGAACCACCCTGCCCCAGCTCAAAGGGATCAAAGGGCTCCAGGGCTGGTTCCTGCCACTCAGAGGAAGAGGAAGAGGAGGTGGGACCTGAGGAGGTGGAAGCAGCTGAATAGGCCTGGCCTGGCGACCCTGGGCCTGGGGAATACACAGGGCTGCAGGTAGCCACGGCCCCCGAAGTGGTTGTGGGCCCAGAAGAGGGGGCCGCTGAAGGGCCCGAGGGGTAGGCAGGCCCGGAAAAGGGGTTGAGAGCTCCAAATGGAGCAAAGCGTTTCTGGGGCTGAGAGGGCTTGAAGAGTGGCGGGCAGCCGTGGTAGGTCTTGACAGAGGGGTCGGCCCCCAGGAGGGAGGCCGCTCGACTGCTCGGGGGCTCTGCAGGGGACCTCGAGGCCTGGCTGGGCTGCGTGGTGGAGGGCAGGGGCCCCGAGGGTGGTCGGCTGGAGGGCTCGCCCACTTTGCAGTCTGCCCAGGTGCATGGGTAGCAATAGAGGGAGTAGGCATCTGGTGACGGAGAGCCACTGCCACTGCGGGAACCCGTCCTGTGGGCAGAGAGACAGACACACATGGACAGGGAGGACAGAGCAGGAGGGAATTGTGCCGGGTCACACGTGACACTGCAAACCACCGCTCTGCCAGCTCACAGAGGCTGCCACCCTGATCCCTGCGACCTGGCCCGTCCCCCAACCCTCAGGCCTGAAACTCTCTGGGGTTGCTCACTTCTTTCTTCAGGCATCCCCAGCCCCAGGAAAAAGTAAACGAAACTGAATTACACAAAAAAACTTTAGACAGCAAGGAACACATCATCCTGTGGCAGAGTTCCAGTCTGGAAAGACTGGAGCAGCATTCCCATCCAGTCCTCGCATTCAGGAAAGAAGCAAACTGAAGCAGGACAGTGCAGAGGAAGTCACAGGGCCTTGGGCTCCCAAACCCAGTGCCCTCCCTCTCAGGACTGCTCAGCGACTTGCACCCCCTGAACCCCCAAGCCAGAGTCTCTTCCTCAGCACTGACTCCCTCCCTGCTCTCCCCAGCCTCCACCCACCATGCGAGGACCCAGGACTAGGAGAAGGAAGGGGCTCACCCATCCTGGAGGCCAGAGGAGTAGTAGGAGAGACTGGAGTTGGGCGAATGGACAGGCTGTAGCTTGGGGAAGCGTGGGGGCACTGGGGGGCTGCCAGAGAGCTGGCCACTGCCACTGCCACCCCGGGGAGGCACAGGCGGGGCATTGAGCAGGCGGCACTCCTCCTTCACCTGCAAACAGAGGGCCATGGCTCCGTCGGTCCCCAGGCAGCTGACACTCCTCATCAACCCCCTCCCAGCAACCCGGACGGACGTTTTGCCCCCCCTTTGCAAAGAGGCTGCCTCACCTTCCACCCCACCTCCTCACTCAGCTGCCCTCCACCCCTTCTCTCTCCAGCCTGTCTCACCCATCAGGAGCCCACAACACGCAGTCTCCTACTGCCTTGGGAATCCTTCATGAATATAAGAAAAGAATAGAGAAAAGTGGGTTCAAAAACAACCATTCAAAAAAAAAAAAGGGGGAAAGAGGGAAAGCACACGAGGAGGGGGCCAAACTACAGTAGCTGCCATCTGGATCCCTTCCTTACAGGTCGGATACTCAAAGTGGACGCCCTGGGGTGTCGGTGGGTGCTGTCCACAAACTGTGGACAGTGTGGCTGGGAAACTGCACTGAACACAAATGAACAGGCGTCCTCAGTGCGGGACTTCGCAGGGCCCGTGAGGTGCCAGGGCTCTTAACTGGAAGGGAAGCGGAGTGGAGGGCAGAGGCCTACTCACATTTTCTCAACTTGGTTCCCCATAGACCCTTCTTCTCCCTAGATAATTTCAAAGGCTGTTTTGTGGAACCTTCTGGGTATCGTTGTTCTAGACTCATCGCAAGTTTTCTGTAGCTTGGAACCTACTGGCATTCCTGTCCTACCATTCCCAACGCCACCGTCCCTGGCATCCCAAACTACACTGCTCTTGCGACCCTTTCCCCTACATATTGGCCACCCTCTGTCACACACTCCAAGGGTTGAGGGCCCTGGAAAATTCACTTTTCAGGCCCAAACGGAGCGTCCTGGCTGGTCCCTCTGTGGAGGACAGAGTTCAGCGCCTTGCCCTGTACCCTTCCCCCCTCAACCGAGTACACTCACCGCCTCGGATTTGGGAGGCACGGGAGGTGGCTGCGTCTCGGGCTCCAGGCGTGGGGGCCCCGGGGCCCCGAAGGAGATGAGGTCGGGCCCCGGGGGCTGCCGGGTCCGGCCCTCGGCGAGGCCCTCGGCTGCCTGGTGCGCCCACAGCTCCTCGTAAGGGATCTCGGCGGGTGAGGCTGCGGGGTCGGGTGCGCCAGCCCAGTCTGGGCTCACGTACTCCTCCTGGTCGCAGTCACCGGGAGGGCTGGGGGCGCGGGCGAGTGCGTGGGCACGCTGGGGCGCGGGCAGGCAGAGGCGCGCGCGGCGCGGGCTGGCGCAGTCCTCGGCCAGCTCGGCGGGTGCCTCGCGCACCGCGGTGGAGTACTCGTCGGGGTCGAAGCGCTCGCGGCAGTAGGAGGCGCTGTCGCGCACCAAGCGCTCGACACGCGGGTCCCCCGCCAGCAGGCCCTGTGGCAGCGCAAAGCGCGGCGTGTCGGTGAGCAGCAGGAAGTGCAGGGGCGCCGGGCCCTCGCGGCGCAGCGCCAGCCCCAGCACCACAGTCTTGGAGATGATGCTGACCAGCTTGTAGCAGTGGCCCTCCCGCACCGGGTGCAGGTCGTAGGGGTTGCGTGGCGGCCGGCTGGGTACCAGCACGTTCACGGGGAGCCGCACACGCTCGATGATGGCGCGCACCGTGTGCTCGCCCTCCTGCATCTGTAGCTCCAGCGGGCTGCGCGTGCTGAAGCGGCCCTGGCACTGGAAGGGCAGGCTCAGACTCTCGTTGGTGCGGTGGTTCATGCAGATGAGGCAGGGCATCTTGCCTTTGATGGGCCGGGCGCCCCCGCCGGCGGCCCCTGCACCCCCCGGTCCTCCCACTCCGGCCAAGGCGCCAGCCCGGCCCAGCTTGCGCAGCAGGGTGGTGAAGCGCGAGCGCTCCTTGGTGGTCTTGGCGCACAGGATCTCTGCCTGGCCCATGAGAGTGAGCTCATCGCCTGCGTGCAGCGTGAAGTTGTACACCTCACTGTCCTCGCTGAACTCTCCCGACACCACCTGGGGATCCCAGAAATGGCGAGGCTTAGCCACGGTGCCAGGGAAAGCCACCCTGTGAGAACTTCCAGGACCCAGGAGGGCAGGCTCGGGGTCTTCCCAAAGCTGGGACCAGATCCAGAGCACTTGACCAGGGGGCGTGAGGGGGACAGGCAGGGTCAGGAACCCACGCTGGATCCTGGACAGGCTGCGTAGTGGCTGCGCAGCCTTCAGTGAGTCACCTCTGGGGCCTTAGTTATGTAGTAACACTTGGAAGAGTTGCTCTAAGGGTTAAATAGGCTACATGTATAGCGACATACTTTGAAAATAATAAATGACAACTTTTATCATTATCTTTATAATCTGGATGATAATAATACTCCATTCACAAAGGCTACTGAGAAGTAAACTGCTGGATACGAAGAGTCTGTAAAGAGCTACTGTACACAGAGGAGAACTGTCTACATTTTGTTCCCCCCACCTCCACCCCGTCACCCCTACCAGTGGATAACGAGGACAGCCTTCCCTGAAGGTCTCTAAGGCAGGGCAGGACCCTCCACACTCTTCCTCCTGCTTCACCACCTTTCGAAGGAAGTTCTTCGACCCCACTGGGTCAAAACACCCCGCTCATTTGTCATGGCCCGATTTTGCCAAAGGCCCTCGAGGGGCTGTCAGAAGTCACAATGTGATCCCTGCTGCCTCCTGGACTCTAAGGTAGAGCCAGCCAGGGTCAGAATTGCTCTGAAGGGAAGGGGCAGCCTGGGGACACCATGCCTAGTACCAGAAAGACTGACCTTGACACTGAAGGTGATGGCTTCCATCACAAAGATGCGGTCGGGGAAGACACTGGCCACCTCCTCCACGCTGCTGAAGTACCTCACTGGCTCCCGCACATCCCGGGCCTGTTCCAGGAGCTTGAACTTCCCTGCACGGGAGGAAATGCGGCTGCTAGGGTGAGCCTGCTTGCTGGGATCCTGGCCTGCATCCCAAAAGGCCTTGTGGTCCCTACTTGCTGCTCCCCTCACCTCAATCAGCGGCTCTGGAACTCAGAAGGACAGAAGGGCAGGTTTGCACCAGCATGGGGTGGAAGGAGCTGGTTAGCTAGTTCAAGCTTCAGCAGGAAGGGAGCACAGATCCCTAACGACTAGAGAACGGCTCTATCCCTGTGGAAAGCTGTGGGTGTGCGATGAGGCTGGTGACTATCTTCCCAGGGATGCCCAAGTGCAAACTGGAGCCCAAATACTTGGACACAGAGCCGGCCTCTAACAGAGCATCACTGTGGCAATGGGGATGCTGGCTCCTAGCTTGGTCCCAGCCCCACTCTGACTTGCTATGACCCTTCCCCTCTCTGGGACTCTGAGTCCTCACCTGAGGAGGTTGGGACAGATGGCACCGGGCTCCATGTGGACCTGGCATGCTGTGCATCTACCTTGGGTTGCTGATGCATACCAATACACTGGGCGGACCGGGGCCCAGCCCCAGGCCTTGGAGGCCCAAGGAGAGCCGCTCTGCCCCCAGCTCTGTTCCCAGAACCTGCCCTTGTCCAACACCCAGCTCAACTGTCCCAGAGGCCTCTCATCGGAGCCCGGCAAAGCCTCCTGCAGATGAGGCCTTCCTACCCCCAGTCTAGGGCTGGTGATTGGGCTGGCAATTTGGCTGGCTTGGCAGACGCCTCCAGCAGACTCAGACTTTAAAGAATGGTGATGATCCACAAGGCTGACACCCTTGAGTCACTGTCTCACCCCACTGGCCACACACACTCTACGTGCCCGCCACACAAGCACGGGGACAGGCTGTGCGTCGCCCTGACGTCTGGACAGACAGCTTCGTCTCAGGCCTGACACAGGAAGAGTGAGGGGACGACAGGCTAAGAGAAGACGAGGTGACGCTTCAGCTTCTGTGCCCTTCCTGGTGGTTGCTTCAGTCACAGTACATTCATTTGTTCACTCCACAGACGTTTATGGAGCACCCGCCCACTCTGTGCCAGACACTGGGCTAGCCCGACCGAGGCTGCAAATCTGCGTAAAACACAGCCAGCTCTCCAAGACCTCCAGATATAGTAGATGTGACAGGGAGTGCCCAGTGATGGCAGGATGTGACAAGTGTTACAACAGACTCATGACAAGAGAGCTAGAGGACCACTGGATTGGGGGAAAGCTGCCTGGCAGTTTGAAGGGACCTTAAGCATAAAAAGAGTTTCACAAAACACCAGTCCACAAGGAAGAGAGTGAGCAAAACACGGAATCACAAGAGCACACAACCTGCCCACAATGGGGAGCCGCTGGAGGGCAGGACTTCAGGAGAGTGATGACAGGGGGTGACGTGGACAGCCCCCTGGGCTGTGCCAAGAAGCCCGTGGAGGGAGGCTCATCAGCCTGAGGTGACTCACGAGGAGCCGGTGGGAAGGAAGGGACTCCGGCTACCGGCCTGATCCAAAACAGAGCCAGCAGAGCTATTAAGCAAAAATGGAGCCCGGAAGAAACAGGCTGTGGGGCAGGGGCTGGGGCAGCCTGGCTGGAAGCACAGACTGAAGGTCACCAGCCCGCCAGAGGCAGGTGGGATGGCTCAGAGAAGATGAAGAGAGGGTCTTAACCCTTTGGGGACTCTCTTCCCAGAAAAACGCCCCGTGTGCTCCTAGCATGAACACTGGCCATTCTGCACATAGTGCCAGGGGTTCCTGGAGCCCCCAAACCCAAAGAGAAATGGTGACTGAGATCCAGCCTTCCCCCCAGTGCAGGGTATGAGGAGCGGAGGGCCAAGGGCAGGGCCTGCGGCATCGACATCTAGGAGCAGGAAGAGACATGAAAACCAAGAAAAAGAAGGGGAAATGCCCAGCACAGGGCCGGGAGGAGAGGCCCAGGCCTTGTTCTAACCAGCCTGAGACCCGGGAGGGAAGAGGCTGAAGGTGCCACAGCCCTGGCGGGCGGAGGGATAAACTAGGGAGAGGACCGGGCAAGGAGCCCAGATCTGGAGTCAAGGGGCAGGAATCAGGGTCTCTGCCACCCAACAGCAAGTGGTGCCCCGCCCCCACCCAACCTCCTCCCCCGTATCCACACACAAACCCCCAACCACAAGCAGCCAAGCAGGGAGAAATGCCCGCTGCCCCCCTGTGGGGAGAGCAGGAGCCAAATCAGGGCTGGAGCCAGGGGAGGATGTGGCAGGAAAGATCGATGTAACCATGGTAGCCAGCACCACCCCCTCCGCCGCAGCCTGGGGCCCAGCACCGGTCATTACTGCCCGGAGGAAGGAAGGGAGACCTCCCGGGAGTGATGCTCCGGCCCTTGGAAGCCTTTTCCTCCCCTTGCAACCCCTCCAGGGGCAGCTTCCTCTCCTGCCTTCCCCTACGTGAGACCCGAGGTCCCCGCGACTCTAGGGACCTGCCCGACCCGAGCCTGCCCCTCCTTCCCTGCCCTTCTTTCCCGGAACACAACCGCGCTGGCCTGAGGGTCCCTTCCAGCCTGGAAGAGTCTCGCCTACCACCCTCCTCCCAGCACCTGACCCACGGCAGATGCTCCACAAAGAACGGTCGGTACAGGCACAGAGTGTGGGGTCGGCACAGGCCAGGATGCATTCCGGCTCTGCCACCAACCAGCCGTATGACCTTGGGCAAATCACCGAATCTCGCTGGGCTTCTGTTTTCCCATCTGTAAAATGGAAGCAAGCTACTTAGCTCCCAGGGTGCGTCTGCCCGGGCTCCGACGGGCCCTCGGCAGACGCTGCGGAAGCAGCCTGGCCTCGGCCCGGCCGGCGCGGGCCTGTCTCGGGGGAGCAGAGCGTCCCCATCCCCTGGGCGGTGCACGGCCTGAAGACCTGGCCCCTCCGCCCTCCTCCCCTTCCCCGCCTTCGTCGCGGCTGTCTCCGAGGTCCGAAGCTGGCCGCCCCTGCCCATCCACACAATTATTAATTCATTAAGAAGAACCAGTTCCAAGCTGTGCACTCAGCTTCCTCGTTAACCCACCAGCCGCCCCGCCCCTCCCCCTCCTAGGGGGCCTCGACCTCCCCTCCCCCACCCGGGCGGACCCGTCCGCCCCAGGACGCAGCGGCGGCAGCATCCCTGCTGCCAGCTGTCACCCCGCGACCCCCGGTGCACGCGCGCTCGGGGAGCAAGTGCTAGGAGCCCCCCGGACTCACAGCTTCCTAGAAGGCTCCGTGCCTTGGTTTCCCAGATTTTTAATGACCAACTAAAATGGCACAGTCCCTTAAGTCACATTTCAGTCAGTGAGGATTATCCTTGCCTTTTTTATCCCAAGAAGACGATCTGGGACCTCTCCCAGGCTAGGAGTTCTAGCTCCAGCAGGCCCCCTGGAGGACTTCAGGCCCAGAACAGAGCCCCGTCCCGGGGCAGAAAGACAACTGAGGGCGCCTCCCAACCTCTTCAGTGGGGTGTCCTGAAGAGCAGAAGCTTCTGACAGCTCAGCCCTGTTCTGCGGGCTCAGGGGAGACCGGGGCAGGACCAGAGGGGGGACAGTGGCGCTTGCGAGGGAGGGACTGTGAGCCTTCCGGGCACAACGGGCCCCAACCTTTGGTGGTGGGAGGAGGTGGGGGTGGCAGTTAAAACACAGAACTGAGCGAGTTACTGAAGTTCCTGGGGCCTGTTTCCTTGTGAGCTCAATGGAAGGGCCGTACTTTCTTTTTTTAGCAGCATAATTCTTTCTTCAAACAAAATCCTACACCACATGTCACAGAGCGAAGGGGGAGTTCACCCACACGATCTTATTCAAAAGTCTGAAAGTTTAACACTCAGTTATAAAGTCAATCGATGAAAACGAGTTTAATACTAAAATCAGGGAAAACCAGATTAAAGCTTTAACCAACGTCACCCCAATAAATTCAATAAACGAAAATAATAATAACAAAAGGTGAGCGCCAACACGTGCAGCCAGATGACCAGCCTGGGCACCTCTCTGTCCTGAGTGTTTGGGTCACACGGTGCCCAGCAGCCGGTGGCGGGGGGTGTTCTCTTTGAGGGCTGTCTAAAAACGGGTTAATGGGGCAGCTCGAGGTTGGATTTGTAACAGTTTAAGACTGTGGGTATTTTTTTAATCAGTTTAAAATAGAATGTGAATCAAAGCTTTGCAACCAAAAACTGGGGGCTGCACACAGGAGTATGAGAACCACTGGGCCCGAACCCCAGCCCTACCCCTAACCCCACCCGCACCCCTAACCCCAACCCTCCCTTAGCTGCCACCCTGCCACCCTCCCTCATCCTACAGCTTCCCCCAGGCCTCCCCTCCCCGCTACCCGCCAGCCTACTGCCCCCACCAGCTTTGCACCTCCTGTCCCTGGCTGGCACACCTGGATACTGCAGGGGGATGTCAATCTTGGGCCCGATGACATAGTGGCCTTCCTCCAGTGTGTGGGCTGTCACCGTCGTCCACTGGCGGCAGGAATGAATGAGCAGGATGTCTCGTTCACTGACGCCCTCGGCGTACTCCCCTGGGAAGGGAGAGAAGGAGGGAAGAGGGAGGAAAGGAAAAGAGAAAACATTAGGGGGGCAGAAAGAACAGGCAGGATGACCTGCGTACCTTCTCACCACGACCTTCCCCGGGGACAGCCCCCCATGATCCCTGTCCAGGTTGGCAATGCTGTAGGGACAGACAGGCTGCCAGCTGTGGCCTTGGGGCAGAGTCAAGCCCCTCTCTCAGGGCCCAGGCTCCTGATGAGGCCCTAGCAACCAGCCCAGCCTCTGTTCTTCATTCATCATTTGACTAGACTGCCTGCTGTTCCAGGCCCTGTGCTGGGGCCAGGGCCTCCCAGCAGATGAGGCTGGACCCCAGCCTCAGGACCCCTTATACCCAAAGGGAAGTGGAAAAACATTCGAACAAAGAATACAGGACAAGTGTGAGGCACTGAGCAGAGGATGGCCGGGCTCGCAGACGACAGCAGCAGACTAGCTGAGTGAGGGTGGGGTGAGTAAGGGAGATGTTACTGAGCAGCAGACACTTCAGGTGGGCCTCAGAACCACTAGCACTCACAGCAGCAGAATTCTACGCCCCCAAGCCAGTGGCGAGGCCAGGCAGGAGGGTCTGGTCAGGGGACTGGAGAGAGCCTCGGTGGGGCAGTCTGTTGTAGGGCCCAGCTGAGAGGGCTCCCCCAGAGCCAGTCACTTGGACCAGGACAGTGGCAGGGCTTCCAGGAGCTGATTCCTAGGCGTCTTACGGCAGCCCCTTTCCCCCTGTGCCACAGGGCTCCCCTGCTTTCAGGGGACCTCGGAGGAGAAGCTCTTTCTAGGCCCTTTGTGCTCCCAGTGTCTGGAACGCAGTGATGACTGCCGGAGAAGGGGGTGGATTTAGAAGTGGAGAGGGGGCTGATTCTGGGGGAAGAGGCACAGGGGCAGAGGTGCTGAGGGGGCTCTGGGCCCCTGGAGGCTCCAACCCCAGCAACGGTTTCCAGGGGAGCAGGAGGGGCTGGCCCAGCTTCCAGGAAGCTGGTGGAGCTGTCTCCTGGCTGCAGCTGGTGGGCAGGGTGGGGGTGGGGATGGCTCCTTCCCAGCCCCCTCAGACACAACTTACCAACCATCTGCCATTCAACCCAATGGGCATTGGTTGCTCTCATGACTAGGTGCCCCATGAAGGGGGCGTGGGGTATGTGCTCAGGGCTGTGGGGAGACCTGGCTCTCCCACCGTGTGTGTTTTGGGGGATCTGGGCCTGCCTCCTGGGGCAGAGGAAGCTCTGCTACTCTGCAACCTCCTCTTGAAGCCCCAGCCCACCCTTCTGCACACCCACAGCCATGGGTCATGGTAACAGTTGAGTCAGCACAGCCATCTGGCCCACAGTGGCAGGGACTTGTCACTCCAGTGGCACAACTCAATCCTGTGGTCCCACTTAGAGGCCCCTTCTAAATGCATAAGGCACACAGGGACCTTCCAGACTTCAAGACACACTTTCGACCTCATATTTACACTCACGAGGACAACAGCCACAGACACCATTGTCACAGACAGCTGGGCCATCCCACCAGTTGCTCATTGGCTCGCTCACTCATTCATTCATTCGTTCAGGGGGTCAGCCCTGCCACAATCTTTGTTCCGCAGGATGCCCCGCTCATGAAGCCTGCAGCCCAGTGCGAAGATAACACACTAACCATTTGTATCAGGTGTGCACAGTAGGAGGCAAGTCAGGATGCCAGAGTTATCAAGGGAGCCCAAAGGAGGCCCGGCCATACGGAGGAGCTCAGAAAGGACCCTCCCCAGAAGAGAGAGGGATGCCAAGGAGGATGTGTGGGAAGAGGCCGGCAAATCCCATTCACACGCGGACATACACCCTTGCTGCCGACAAGCACCGTCTCAGGATCACGTGCTGATGATCCCGGGAACAAGACGTTGGTATGCTGGGCACCCCTGTCCGACCGCCCGGGTATGGTCACTGCCGCTCACTGTGCCCACTCCGAGCCGCCGCGGGTCGGAGGAGGGGCTGTCGCCCCCGCGGAAAGGAGAGGAGACTATGGCCCGGGCCCCATTAGCATTCAGGGAAGCGAGTGTGCCAACGCGGGCCAAACCCCTATTCTTCTCACACACAAAACCCCCGGACTGGCTGCCAGCCCCGGCTCCTGCCCCTCCCCCAGCCAAGCATCCCCTCCCCCCCCTCCCCGCAAACAGTCCTCTCGCTGCTTGTAGCCTCCAGGTGTCCCCTCTCGGGCCCCTAGGCGAGGTTCCATGCTCAGCGCAGCCTAGGCCCTAGCGCCCCAAGATGTGGGGCAAGATGTTGGGGGCAGGGCTAGGGGCTCCAGGACACGCCCAGAGGGAGGGCTCGCTCATTAGGGCCTCTTCTCTAGGTGGCCTGCTCACCCCGGTCCCAGAGGTGCTCTGGAGACGCGAAGGGAGGATACGAGAAGGGTCCCGAGAGGGGCCGAGAGGGGCTGGGGGGCGGCGGCGGTGGGAAGACAAGCCCCAGGGATGCCGGAGGTTTGAGGTGGGAGGTGGGAGACAAAGGGACTGCGGGGGCGCGGCCCAGGCGGGGGTCTGAGGGCGGCTAGGAAAGGGGCGCACCGACGGGGCGGGCGCGGTGGCTCGGCCGTGCTCAAGTTCCAGCTGGGCCGGCCCACTGTGTCCCAGGCCCGTCCCAGGCCGTGTCCTAGTTTCTGTCCCAGAGCCGTCCGCGGGGCGCCGGACGAGGCAGAGCCTCGGCTAGTGGGCCCCTGGTCTCCGGTGGAGATGCGCCCGGAGCTGCGCAGCGCACGTTGCAGAGCGGGGGCGTGCGGGGGCCGCTCCTACCGCCCGGCCGGCACCTGCCTGGAGACTTTCCGGTTCCCCTGCGGACCCGGGTCGCCCTTCCCGGCCCCCCCAGTACCTGGCCCGAGGCAGGCGAGCGTTGGCAGGCGGCAGCGGCTGACGATGAGGTCCAGCGGGAAGGCGACCATGCTCCAGCGCAGGCCGGCCAGGCCGGCCGCCAGCTTGTCCATGGCATGGGCGCCTCCCGGGCCGCCGTCCCGGGCCCCCGACGGCCAGTCCCGCGCGGCCCGGGCTCCGGCGCCCGCTGCCACCTCCTGGGGCCGCCGCGGTGCTCCCCGCCTGGCCGCCCGGCCGGGCAGCGGGCGTCACGTGGCCCGACTGCCCGCGGGGCGCCGGCCCCCGCCCCTCGCCCCACCCCCGGCCCGCCGCCGCCGCCGCCAAGTCCCGCCTCTCCGCGGGGCCCCAGCCGCCCGCCCCTCCGCGAGCGTCCAGGTGACAACCGGGGACCGAGAGTCGGAGGCGCGAGTCTGGGGAGAAATCCCACACGCGAGGCGGCGTGTGCGGGGGCGGGGATGGGGTCGGTCTCCCCGCCCAGCGGCGCGGTCCGGGGCTGCTTCTCCCCGCCGGGCCGCGAGCGGCGCCCCTGCTCTTTCGCGGTGCCGCGGCCTCCGGGGGGCGCCGCGCACCCGCGCCCGATCCTGCTCCGCTTCCCAGGGCTCCAGCCCTGAATTCAGCCACTGGACCCCAGCAGCGGTCGCTGCCCCTGGGACACTTATCACCTCCAGCTTCACACAGCTGGGCGAGGCCACCGCATTAAACCCCGTTTACTGACCAGCAGACTGAGGCTCCAGCGACGACAAGTGGCCGCGGGGACCCGAATTTAGTTTTGACTACACATCCTGCTGCCTTCTCTGGTCGTCGCCGCCGCCTCGGCCCCCACCGTAGACCCCTTTCCGAGTCTCCGCAAGTCCTGTGAGCCAGCGGCTCCCACTCGGTGAATGAGGAGACTGGGGTGCAGGGGTCACCCGGGTGGCCTCCCCTCTCCGGCGGTCCCTTCTCTTAATTTGCTCTTCCTTTTCTGTTCTACTCACCTCCTCCTTCCAGCCCTTCTTGTCTTGGGCTCCGGGGCTCCTCCCGAGAAGCCCTTCCCAGAGGCTGCGGTGGCCCTGGCCGGGTCACCTGGCCTCAGGGCCGCCTTCCCCCTGCACGTGCCTGCGGCGCCTCTGCGGGCGACCCGGGCCGGTGCAGGCTGTCGCCGGACGCGCCCGCAGCGACGGCTCTGCGGCGGTCAGGAAGCCGCAAGGGCTCCATGGACTAGTCCCCCGCCTCGGTGGCCTAGCGAGACTCCCCAGTACAGACACGCGAAGTCCCCTTTTCCCAGAAGACTGACGTCCCTCCCCCGGCCACCGCGCCTGTGGCCTGAGCCCCGAGAGAAGTGGCGCCAGGTAAGATGAACGCAACTTCTCGGCCAAAGGAGACGGTTCCAATCATCCTGCGATCGCCGTCTTTCGCAAAAGAGAGAATCGGAGACTCCAAGAGTGGAAATGCTTTGCTCCAAGATCACACCGCAAGAAAGAAGCAGAGCCGTGATCCGAAGGCAGGTCCCTCCGGGCCGGAGCTAACTCCAAACCCGGGCCTGGCCGGCGCACCCGGCGCGGGAGGCCGAACAGCTGCAGGCAGGCTTTCTCCGCCTCCGGCCCCACGGAGGTGTGACCTGGGGTGACCCGGGTGGGCACGGGGCCGAGGCTCACTTGGGTCGGTGGGGGTGGGAGTGGAAATAGGTACCCTAGGGACATGCGTAGAAGAGAAGAAAATAAACGGGACTAGAAGGGAATAGAGGGTCCGAAGTGGGAGGATGAGAAGGTGGAAAGAAGCCAGTGAATGAAACAGGGTCTAACTTAAAGTCACTGTCTTTTCCCTGAAGTCTCTCTCTTGAGCAGGGTGGCCACACGGGGACACTTCTGAGGCTGAAGGATTCGTTTTCATGGCTGTTTTTGTAGAATCCTTGGGAGCATGTTTGAATAAAAAACAATTTTACTTGATCCTCTCCTATCTGGACGATTTTTATTTTGTGCCAAACTGCTACACCGGCACAGACCCCCAGTCCTGTGTTGACCCGGAGAGGTGACAGTGACGTCCTCGCCTTGTTCCTGATCTTAGAAGGAAAGTCTTCAGCCTTTCGCTGTATTTATTTATTTATTTATTTATTTATTTATTTATTTATTTATCTCTTTATCTATTTATTTATTTTTCACTTTTTTTACAGGACAGTAAATAGTTTATTTGCTCATATGCCATGAAAAGACCAGAAAAGTAACATGAACTGCTTTTATAAAACATTCAAATATTGCTAAGAAGCAAGACTGTTAATAGACAGAAAAGAACATGCCAACATTATTATCTATTTACAGATTAATAAATAGCAAGTATGTCAACATGCTCATCAGCATTGCGCTTTGGAAAACAGCTGCCTCCGGTAAAGGACCAACAGTTTGTATTGTGCATCTCATGGTTGACTTGCTTTACCATCAAAATGAACGTTGAGCCAACAGAAAGACAAAATCCTGGCATGTTCTTTTTAAAGTACACATTCATGAAAATCTGCTGGCAGGTGACAGTTTAAAAGCAATCTCTACAAATGGGTGTGCTAAAGTAAAAAGTAACTGACCCCTAAACTGTCCTTGTAGTTAAATATATATATTTTTAAAACTGTAAGTTAAAATAACATTCAGATTGTGTAGCCTAGGCTGACGCATTTTTAAACAATATTTATAGTATTACCCAGAGGCTTAGGTGGGAATTAAAGAGAAGTGTAAAAACCATTAAAAAAACTGCACCAATTTTGTAGCAAAATATCTGTACATTTAAAAAGAGGTCATATATAACTACACATTATCCAAGGAAAATGAACCTTCACCAAGGAGTTCACATAAGCACAACATAAAATAAATTCCGTGGTTCAATACTATACAGTAAACTTTACAATTAATATATTGATGTAATGTACCAGGAAGGTAAGCCAGAAGCAGAATGTAGATTATGGGAAGTACAAGTTCGCTTCAGGCCAGCTTTTGACTTTGGAATGGATCAAGTGCCCTGCCAGAGAGGAAGGAAACATAACTGGCTTACCTGTAGGGTGTTTATAGATGAGCTCCTTCCAGTTGAGAAAGTTCCTTCCTGTGCCTACTAGTTTATTGTTTTCTGTTCATTGCTTTTGTTGCTGTTGTTCCCTGGTTCTTCTGTCTGGTACCTTGCGTGAAGTTTTAGCATTTATTCTTTATTAAATGCCTTGGTGTAACATTGGTTAATAACATTACATAAATTTCAGGTGTGCAGCTTTATAAGATGACATCCACAGTGTGCTCGCCACCCAGACTAGTCTCCTTCCACCAGCTCGTCACCAAATATTTGGCTCCCTTCGCCCTCTTCACTGGTTCCCCGCCCCTCCTGGTAACCACCAGAGTCTGTTGTCCATATCACTGAATTAGTTGCTTGTTTTGTTTGTTCATTTGTTGCTTCTTATTTTATATTCCAAATATGAATGAAATCATACAGCTCTTGTCTCTTTTCTGTCTTATTTCACTTAGCACGATACTCTCAAGACCCATCCACGTTGTCGCAAACAGCTGCACTTTATCCTTTTGTGGCTGAGTAGTGTTCCACTGTATACATGTGACATATCTTCTTTATCCAGTCAGCTGCTGAAGGACAATTAGTTTGTTTCCACGTCTTGGCTATTGTGAATAAGGCTGCAGTGAACATATGGATACGTGTATCTTTATGAGTAAATGTTTTCCTATTTTTCAGGTAGACAGTACTCAGAAGAGGGGTTTCTGGGTCATATGGTGACTATTCTTTTTTTTTTTACTTTATAAATATTTATTTTATGCTGAATTTACCCCCAGGCCATACATTTTTGTTTCTTCAGTTTCTTCTGGGATATCTGTTTTTTAAAAATATTTTATTTATTTATTTTAAAGAGGGGGGAAGAGAAGGATGTGTGAGAGATCAGTTGCCTCTCACACACTCCCAGCTGGGGACCTGGCCCGCAACCCAGGCCTGTGCCCTGACTGGGAATCGAACCAGTGACCATTCAGTTCATGGACCAGCACTCACTCCACTGAGCCACACCAGCAAGGGCTTGAGGACATTTTTGTCTTATTGCTTTTTTAGAGAGTGGGGAAAGGAGAGAGAGAAACATTGATGTGAGAGAGAAACATCGATTGGTTGCCTCCTGTATACTCCTGGACCAGGGATCACATGCAACCGGACCAGGGACTGAACCTGCAACCTTGGTATGTGCCCCGACCAAGAATCAAACCTGCAACCTTTTGGTTACTGGATGATGCTCCAACCAACTGAGCCATGCCAGCCAGAGTATTCTTAATTTTCTGAGGAACCTCCATACTGTTTTCCACAGTGGTTGCACCCATTTGCATTCCCACCAGCCGTGTGCAAGGGCTCCCTTTTCTTGTCTTACTGATAATGGCCATTCTAACACGTGTGAGGTGGTATCTCCTTGTGGTTTCAATTGTCATTTTTCTTATAACTAGTGATGTGGAGCATCTTTTCATTTATCTGTTGGTCATCTGTGTCTTCCTTGGATCTTTTTTAAAAAAAGTCTATTTTATTTTTCCATTGGTTTTTTAGTGAAATACTTCTTTCCCCCCTTTTGGGGCATTACTAGAGGAATTACATTATTCATTCTTAAATTTTCAGTCTATATAGAGTTAATGTTGTACTGCTTCATATTAAATGTAGAAAATGTGTAACACAGATCCATTTATTCCCTCTCCAATATATTGTGTTTGGTGCTGTGTGTAGTACCTCTGCATATATTTGTGGGGTACCTTAACCCCAAAAGACAATGTCCTTAAAGAGATACACAGCCCTAACGTGACTCCTAGTCCTGCAAAGCAAAAGGTTGCAGGTTGATTGCAGGGCAGGGCACCTGCCTAGGTTTCCAGTTCAGTCCCCAGCTGGGGTGTGTGGGAGAAACAACTAATCAATGTTTCTGTTCCTCTCTCTCCTTCCCTTCCCCTCTCTCTAAAATCAATAAGCATGTGCTCAGATGAAGGTTTTTTTTTTTAAATCAGTTTAATTGTTCACGTTCGGCCCTCACCAAAGTCAGTCACATGCGTTGGTTTTCTTTTTCCTCAGTTCTCTACAATGAAGAACAGTTTGTCTGATATTCTCTTTCTTTATTTCTGTGGTGAGAATTATAAAATGTCTTAAAATGGTGCAAAGTAGGAAATAAATATAATTTGATTGACTTTTGTAATTTACCTAATGTAGTTTATTATGCAAAGAAATATAGAAAGGACCCTATTTAAGGGGATTTTTTTTGCATGTTTATATTTTATG